AACGGCAGCCAGGTGCGCCGAGGTACCCGAAGCCAAAACAAATCCTACCGCCGCTCAAGGCAGCAGTGAGATCCGTAATATTTTCAAGAACTCGCGATAATTAAATTGAATGCTAGTACCAGAATCCAACCTTTCGATTAAATTCAGCACCTGCACCCAGACAAATTCTCTTTACAGAAATTGTTATCCTAGAATACACAATGCTCAACGTACACACCCGAAGGTAGACGTTCACAATGGCATTCTTTATTGTACTGTTAGACGTATTCGCAACACAGCACCGAAGCGCCAGCACAAATCCATCAGAGCAATACGAATTTATCATAGAACTATACGATTACGCAAAGCATAAAAGTACGATACCATAATTTCTTATGCACAACTGATTGCTCAGCTGCACAACTTGAATTACCATAATCCCCTCCGGCCAGGCAACGAATTGCCTCGGATCGCCTCTTTCTTGAAAATAGCCTTCATGACTTCGGACCAGAGCTTGCCGAGGTTGACGAAAGCCACGACTACGCCAACGAGACGGTCGACAAAGCCGTCGAGGAGAGCGGTCCCGAGGGCTTTCGCGTGCTGACTAATTTTACGCCAGATGAGTTTGAATCGATCTGGTCGGTCGTCGAGTCAACCTTCTCTTCACGCTGGAATGATGGACGCGGGCGTAAGTCAAAGATAACACCAAACGACGCTTTGTTCGTTACGTTGGTCGTTTTAAAGCACTATCAAACGTGGGACAAGCATGCCCTCGACTTCGGCAAGAAGGCGCCGACGTTGGAGAAGATGGTCATGCGGGTGATCGAAACTGTCCAGCCTGTCCTGTACGACCACTTTGTGACGATGCCGACAATGACGGACCTGTGGGACAAGGGCACCGTGTTCCGCACCTACCCGTACGCCAAGGATGCGACCGATGTCAAGTTCCAGCCTGCAAACCGTCCAACTGGTCGTTTCGGAGAGCAAAAACACTACTTCAGTGGTAAGCACAAATTGTACGGGCTGAAGATCGAGGCGTCTGTCTCACCCGAAGGACTCCTTGTTGCCATGATCGCCCACGAACCCGGCTCAGTGTCCGACCTTACCGTGTTTGCGACCGCCACGACGTCCACCTGTCTGCCCTACGCAAGTTGGAGAATGAGACTACAATCAACGACAACGGCGAGCTCTTTCAAGACTTTCCTGAGTCGTGGGCGGTACTCGTGGACAAGGGATATGTTGGGTTGACGGGGATGACGCGAGCCATCCACCCCAAGAAGCGACCGGTGCATGGCGTTCTTTACCGGGCCGACGTCGAGTGCAACACCAACGTGTCGTCGGACCGGGTCATCGTCGAGAACTTCTTCGGCCGATATCGTACTTCAACCATTGTGTGGGGGACCAAGTGCTACGATTCAATCCAACGACTCACCTTTGCGCTGACGAACTTCCACTTGGCCTTGATGCCGCTCCGCCAAGACGACTGCCACCAATACCGTGCTGTTTTGGCTCGCTACCGGCGTATGGCGGAGGAGAACAATGCCAAGCGTGCGGCCATCCAGCGTCGCTACGTCGTGCGGAGAGATTGGCGTCGGACTCGCTGCGTTCTGGTGTTACCGCTCGTGGGTCGTTCATGTCTCCACGTGCAAGCAATCGTCGTTAGGCCAAGTAGATTAAATAAGCGTAGATTATACTTTTTTTATAAATAGCGGTCCATCATATAATCGGCCATATTAGCCTGAGTGAACCATACCCCGTCCGCTCTATGAAGTTAACCAGGCTCAAGCGTGGGTAGTACTCAGGTGGGTGACCACTGGGGAAGTCCACGTGCTGATTATTTTTTATCTTGAAATTTGTATTGTTTTTTGTAGATATCTTGCAAACGTCGTTGCTCAGGAACGGCTGGGCCAAAATCGCCCCACTTTAGCAAATCTGAAAGATGTATGTTCTAGCTAGTTGCTCAGAAAGTTTCGCAGGTTTATTTGAAGATTAGATTTGTTTTCAGAGTGCTTCAGCAGCGCAGAGCTTGACATCCGAGTTGCTAAGCAACGGCTGCATAAAAACCGACGCCACTTGTTTTGGTGGAAAGGGTCTATGCTGGAAAAGTTGCTCAGCAACGCAGCACGCCCAATTATTAAATTTGACCTAGTTACAGCGTTCTAAAGCCCGTAACTTCACACCTGGATTGCTAAGCAACTATCGGAGCAAAACTGACTCACCATAGCGCGTTTCAAAGCTAGTGGTATGTAGAACACTCTCCCAAAGTGGCTAAGGTTTTCAAGCTGATCTGAAGTCAGGAGAGCACTCTGAATATCGACTCTAGCAAACTTGACATGGCTGGATGGCGGTGTTCCAGATCTCCAAAGTTGAATTTTCCTCTTTCTACGTTTAGATATGGGTCAGGACAAACCTACCTCAGCTGGAATAAGAAATTCACCCGCTACGAAACACGTGGTGAGCAAGTGAAGTTGGTCACTTTTGGGCCATATTTTGGCGGTTATTCGAGATTTCAAACATGTTCTTGCCGGTCTTGACCTACCTCCGCCTCTGACGATGGTCCCATTGCATATATACACCCTTGACATAGAAGGAATAAGACCCATGTAACCAATTGACTTAACTAGCTGACCTTTTGTGTTTTGGGGGGTCGAAAATGAGTCGGTTATTGGCCGCTTTGGATACGTTGCTGAGCAACTACGTGCATGATTCTTTTTGGACAAGTTCGGTAACGTCAAACCACACGATTGAAGACTAAGTCTGCCGATTTTGGCCCGCTAATGGCTTCGCTATCTCGAAAATAGTGGAAAAAGACGACTTTTGGCACTTTTATCGGTTTTTCGCGATTTAGGACATGTTATTCCCCGTCCCCGCATATATCCGGCTCAGAGGATGTTCCCATACCGTACGCACACCTTGGACACATACGGGCTAACGTCTACGTATCCAATTGACTTGTCTAGCTCACTTTGAAAGATTTTAGGGGTCAAAATTCGGTCGGTTTTGGGCCGATTTGGATACGTTCCTGTGACACGAGGTGCATTTTTCTTTTTTGAATCGTTAGATAACATTAAAAGGCACATTCTGAGACTAAGTCTCGCAGTTTTGGTTCGTTGGTGCCTTCGCTATATCGAAATTAGTGGCCAAAATAGGGTCAGAGTCGTTTTTGGCGGATTTGAATACGTACTGGGAAGGACGGAATGCAACGCCCACTGAAGATATTTGTGTGTCACTCTTTGAGTTATCCAATCATACTCAAGTATCAAAATTGGTGACTCTGAATGGCTATAATTTAAATAATGGAAATCAATAAAAATGTTAGTCGGAAATCCTTCAGGTACTCATATAACCTCTTCTAATCAGTTTCACTATACTAGCTATTGAATGCTGCATTCGGTGATGTACAGTATCTTGTATCAACGCGAAGTTAGGGTGGGCGTTGCATTCCGTCTTTCCCAGTACTTTTGCAAAATGGTGGGCTTTCGTTCTTGAGATCAATAGATGGTATATAATGGCGTGATTCACATCTTGATCTAAAAAATATGACCCGTTAACGGCTTAGATACAGCGTGTCAAAGTTTGAATATCAAATTTCAAGTCTAACAGGCCATTTCGTCGATTCTTCCGAGCAGCACAGTTATGGTTGTAGGACGATTCAGATGTCGGCACATAGCTGGTTGAGATCAGTGGGCGATGTAGATTATACACACCGTCTCCGAAAACGGGGGCAGTTGAATTGAAACCCCGAAAAAGCGTGGCGGATAAGGTCGCCTGACTTCTCTACGAGATTTGACCCAATATTTCCAGCCGGAGAAATTTGGTCGCATTGAGGCCAGAAAACCATGTTCCGGGCATCCCAGCTTCGCTCCAACCATTTGGGCATGTGTCTTGACATTATGAAAGTCCTCTCAAAACGTAGCGTAGTCTGAGAAGATAATACAAGCTCACAATCACCTGAAAACCACTCATATTCGACCTGTTTTGAGCTCACAGAAGTTTCTAAGTGTTTGCGAGTAATTAGTATAGGAATTGGTTTCGGGGTCAAATTAAATACAAGTTCATGATGCGACTTCTACTGATATTACATTATTTTACTTTTATTAAAATATTCCGAGAATACAAAACGTAGTTGTTGTATTATAATAGGGTTAGTAGACAAGTGGTGAAATGAGACCTGTTAGAATTGTCCGAGTCCTGAATACCACATCACATGATCTTGCTCTCATACACAGCCTACAATTATCTCAAGGCTCCTTGCATCAACCGTCATCACAGGAGTAGAATATATCGCAACTCGGCGTGAAGAATCTACGCAGGGATTTTCGTGATTTCACCGCATCTGATTGGACAAAATTAGACAATTTTGAATTCGCAAGGTGACCTGCCTTGCGAATTCCAAAAAGAGACAGACACATGAAAAATAAAAATCATCAATACAAACTTGAAGATATATTTAATTGAAACTATACAATTTCAGAATTATTTATGGAATTCGCAAGGTGGTTCACCTTGCGCTTCATACAAAATTGCTTATTCCACCTTGCTTTTTCTGGTTAATGAGTATTTGAGCAAGCACTATAGGTACTGATCAAACTACAGTGCTGGCAAAAAGTATAAGACCACCCACCGGTTTGGACGTTACGTTACAACCACCTGAAAACAACGGTGCGCCATATCGTACAATTGATTGAATACGAAATTGAGGCCTGTAAGTGCAGCAACAAAGGCAATTCAAACATTCAATCTCACATTGTGTGCAGATTATAAAATCGTCGATGGCAATAAGTATAATACCACGTCAATAAAGTGCATCAATATTTGTCGATTACGATCCAAATTGCTCTCAATACTTTGTATTACCCCCCTTGAGTTCCAGACACTCACGCAGCGCTTCTGCATCGATTTCCACAGCTCGTCGATGAGGTCTTGGCCGATACCATCCCACGCCTTGAGAATGGCTGCAATGAGCTCATTTTTGGACGCAAATTGACGTCCATGGGCGTAAACTGCACGCGCAAGAACACCCCAAATATTCATTGGGATTGAAGTCTGGAGACTTTACCGACAATCTATGACGTGCACATTGTACTCGTTCAAAAACTTCTTGGTCTCCTTCGACGCATGGATTGAGGCATTGTTGTGCTGAAAATGCACTCGCGGCGATAATGGTAGTCGATGTACGGGAACAGATGGTCGGACAGCGTGTACACATATTCGCCGCTGTCTTGATTGCCCTCCAGAATACCAGGCGTCGACGTTCCCTTGGCACTAAAAGCGCGCCAAACCATCACACTTCCACCACCGGACTGCCGCTTGGAGAATATGGCCTTCTCCTTGCGGAGGTCATGCCAGTAGTACTACAGGCCATCAGGACCATCGAGGTTGAACTTTTTTTCGTCGCTGAAGACGACTTTGGACCAGTCAAGGTCGCTCCATGTGACCTTGTCGCATGCCCCTTTTTGGCGCGCAATCTTGTGCTTGTCCGTCACAGTTGGTGACGCAAAGGCCTTGATGTACTGGAGGTGCTTGGCCAGGTTGAGTAGTTGCCGGGCACGCCTAGCCTTAATGACACTCATCGACGAGCTCACACGAGTTGGATGCAGTCCGAAGAAGCCGGCGCAGGTCTTGGGCACTGACCTTGGGTGGCCGTCCACTACGCTTGTTGACATTGTAGCCCGCTGGGTCATGTAAGAAGTGTGCAATGGCACTTCGAGAGCGACTTAGAAGTCGTTCGCTCTCTCTGTGGCCTTTGGCGACCGCGGTAAGGGCCAAAATCATGGCCTGTTCTTCTTCCGTGAGTTTGGGTCCCGCTGGCATGCAAGGATGATGTTTTGAAATCAAGGAAAGGCGGGAATCGGTTAAACTCATTACGCAGAGCATAAAAAACATGGTTTGAGAGCTAAAAAACGCCTATAAGAGCACAATTGGCGTAGTGGTTTTATAGTTTTTGCCACATGGTTTTTTTTGTATGTCACGTTTTTTTTATGTATGTCACGTTTTTTTTGCGTAGCATGATGGGTACTTGGCGCCAAGTTGCGAAGAATGTCATGATGGTTTACAAGGCACGTTCGGAATGGTAGAATCTATCTCAATTTAGAGACGACCAAGTAGAATGTGCAAACCGGTCAAATTTCTACGTGGTCTTAAACTTTTTGCCAGCACTGTATATGTCAATTCCTGTTTTTCTCGATCTATTCGAGGATTATCGATCTTATTGCCAAAGACCGTTCATCACTGTATGTGATCATAGTGTGGATTTTGTCCCGTATATCTCGAAGTACTTCCAATATACCGGTTAATATGATCAGTAATTACGTTTTTGATTCAGAGGCCTAGTAAATTTATGTACTACTAGTAAATAGGATCATATACAGTACCAGTAGATTCGAAAGCAATTTGGCGTCAAGTCCAAATTTGGGTGAAATGCACAATAGTACACGGAGACAACCGATGAGCCTACTTCCCGTTACATCCCCCTTGATGGGTGGGTCTGTATCGCACAAGCAATGATGAAGGGAGGGGTAGCATGAAAATAAACGAATAAAGCTATACGATGACCCAGTAGTGTACTATATTATTTCCCGTACGAGTGCTTAGAATTTGTGTGACACGGCTACGGAGTCAAAATGCACACGGGGCACTTTGCATGGCCGAGCAGCCACTTGTCAATGCACCACGAATGGTACGTGTGAAAGCATGGCAGCACGCGCAGCTCTTGGCTGTCGGTGAAATCGCATAGGCATATTGCGCAGCTACTGGAGGCGTTAGTCCAACGCAAAGATGACTCTTGGCATACCGTTCAGCGCCATGGGGGGCGGTGGTGTTGGTGGATACTGGCGTATACGTGAACGCTGGCAGCTCCACAATCGTCGACGCCAGCATCCGCCCGTGCTTGCCCGTCTAAACGTCCGAGTTCGTTGGCTGGCATACATGGAGGGTCAATGAGAATAGGGATTACCTCTGCGTATTGGGATTCCAAGCGACGGACGTTGCGAAGGAGGGATAGAAAGCGCTAGGTAGCACGGATTAAAGCGTTAGGGAGTGGCAAGGGTACCATGTTGGTGGACGCTTGTTGTGGCGGCAGCAGTGGGCTAATGGCAAATGAGAATGAGGGAGAACTCCTCGATGTACCTCTTTGGTTTGGTAGGATCGAATCGCATGAGCTTTAATGCCAAGCTCTCCTCCTGGTCTGTATCACACGAGGCTACGGATATCAAACCTGGCGCGAGTGACTGGATCTTGCAATCCTTGACCACAACCTCATCCAAGGACATAGTCGGCTCCACCGACGCGGTGCGGGCGCGGGCCTTGGTTGGGATAGGCAATGCGATCTTTGGCCCGAGCTCCGTGGCCAGATTTTTCTTGGAACAACGAACAAGATCGTCGGCGTCATCGGAACCCTGCCCCAACTCCTCGGCCAACGCTTTGGCAGTGGCGGTGTCTTCGCTCCAGTACGTGGCCGCGCGCTTGTTCCACTTGGCCTGTACAATTGGAGTCACCCACCACAAGGTAAATGCAGCAGCGCTTACATTGCCGTTCTGTCCCACCACGCATTGACTCAACTGTTCTTGAACCCACTTCATGACAGATTTTATCAATGCGCAAATTCAACGTTCTGGAATGATTAATGATTTTTGTGGTGCTGACAATGTAAATTCCACCAATCAGATTGATCAAACGAATCGCTGATGGTCATGACGAGCCAATCAAAGCGCCGGATTGTATTGATTGTTACAGGTTTTGGAGCCATATCCGGTGATTATCCGGTAAGATCACCATCGCCTTCAAGATGCTGGTTGCAATGATCTCCTTGCGCACCATGCCGCCGGCCACCATGGAGGAGACCCAGCGGCTCCTGCCCCATAGCGAACCAGAGGCCGCCGACCCACAACACCACCGAACCATCATCACAAACCGACCCCATGCCTTACACGGCATGATTTCCATTGCCATTTGTCTCGTCGTTATCTGCCTCGTTGGTGGCGTGCACTGGGGAGCCGCGTCGGCACTCGTCAACGTTGCAACGCTTGCGCAGTCATCCTTCATTAACGATCTCACGACGCAGCTTGACGCCTATGACCACGTCACATTTCCTCTTGACTGCTCATTCCACCACTACACGCTCTCCGCAGACGACGATGGTCTTGCCTATGTATCAGGGGACGGCCGGTCGTTCCGAAGCGACCACACCAACTTATTTGGCCGCGGAGTCACGGGGAAGATCGTGTCGGTGGATGCCAACGCGTTTTTGATTCGAAGCAATGGCGAATGCTGCCGCTTCATGGATTCGGGCGACGAGATCCTTCTGCGGCCGAAGTCGTTTTACAACTACCGCGCCGTTGGCAACGCCACGTTCGACACGACCATGGCGACCTTGTGGTAACCTTGTCCTCCACGTTCGATTATTGCATGTTCACCACGCGCCTCATGTCTGTATCCTTCTGTGACAGGGTGGACCCCGAACAAGCGAGCACGTTCTGGCTCAATGCGGACGGCCTGCCATTGCGCTGGGATTACATCCCCAAGTCCCCCCCCGGGCGGCGCATAACGTTTGGGAAGATGATATCCATGGTCTTCGCCAACTTTACGCTCGGTCCGCAGGACAGAACCCTCTTCGATGTACCTGCAATCTGCACCACATCCCAGCGCTGTCGCTTTGATTAATGCAATCATGCCCACACTATTCTGCATCTTTCACCTGCACAAATCAATGTATAAAGGATCAGGCTGTTATAGTATTACTAGTAGGACGCATAAAATAGTTAACAGTTAGTTGGACAGCAATCTGGTGAGACTTTCTTGCACCAACAATTGTACTAACGTTAGTAGCAGTACGTCAGTGGTGCCATATTGCGTTGCAAGCGTCTACGAGGGCTCGACTGTATTTCTACCGTACATACGCCATATACATGAAAATACAAGAGATATACATATATACGAGTGGACATATATATATATATATATACCGCAAGAAACGGGTTGGACGGGCCCAGGCGTCGGTGGAACGCGTCGACCGTGCGCTGCACTCGAGCGTCATGCAGGCTTCGATTGATTTTGTCTGGTTTTTCAAGCTTGTATCGCTTGATGGCGGCAGCCAATTCCTAGTTGGTGTCGAAGCATGACCAACAAACTACTTGGACGAGGAATCCAGTACCCGGGCGCATTGATCCTCGGCAAAGGCCCCAAACACGTCCAACGCTTGCATCGCGCTGTCATATGGGACTTCGCCATGCACAACAACAAAGTCGTCGTCGTTTGGGGGGTTGGTCAAGTGTGATGACGGGGCTGTTGGGGCGGAAAACAACATGGCGTTGTCGGCCACGACTAGAGTGGCCAGCGCTTGGAATTGACGGATCCATTGGCCCACGGGAAGGAGTTCTTTGATGGCCACAGCTAGGTCAACCACACTATCATCAGTATGTGCATTCGACATGGAAAGCACAATTCATACTGTCGTGCAGGATGTGGTCGACCCATTTGGTTGCAAATTGAATGGCGTGGGGCATGCCAATCGTATCTTCGTCGTCTAGTGGCTTGAGCATGTGCTTCAAGTCGAGGGGGCACGGCGGAGACTTGACGCTCACGCTGTCGAGGACCGCCGCCATGCGAGCGAGGAGGTCGCCGTCTGCCGTCGCAAGCTTCCGTGGCACCGCCACCACCACATGGGAGGGGTCCATGACGAAGAGACGCCGCTCCTTGTTGTTATTCGAGGCGTCTTTGGCGCGGACAGTGGCGACGGTGCCGCCGCGGAGGGGTTTGAGGAGGACCTGGAGACGGGACTCCATAGCTTTGCAAAACGTGGCCAGTTGTGGCCGAGACAGTTTACGACCAGTGTCCACGGGGAAGACAAAGGATGTGACGGGCACGGATCGACCTGGAGCCAAGGGAAACGCGGCGGAAGCTTTGGACGACTTTGGTTGTTTGAGGAGATGGACCAGGCGGTGCTTGGCAGAGGAAAGCGAGCGGAAATGCTGCGTCTGCGATGTGCTCACCCGCGCGTGGTCGTGGACGACAAAAAGTACGTGGGAGCTAGAGTACAGAAGCAATTGCATTTGCATGTGATTGCGGCGGGACCGCACGGACGCCTCGTGAACTGACGACGCCGTGGACCACGTAGAATCGGGTGGTGGTGCGTGAGTACCGAGGAGGAGGATCATGTTCCGCGACTCGTCGTAAAACATTCGGACTCTGATGGAGGTTACTGCCGTGGAGAACGTCGTAAATGCCTGATGCCCGACAAGGCGGTTGGCAAATTGAGTTGCCGCGTCAACGTGATCGCCGATCACACCCACGACGACTGCAGGGCGTCCAATGGATGTAAGCATTGCCGCCAAGGCCTGCGAAGAACTGGATTCATCTGGTGGAACTAGCGGAAACTCTGTGTTCTGCACGAGGTCCAGCGGTAGTGGCGGCAGCGGAGGTGGTGGCAGTGGCGGTTGGGTTGCCATGCTGCAGTTGTGATTGATATTGCAACGCAACCGGATATTCCGTATAATTCTTTAGTATCCGAAAAAGATTGGCGTCAAAACGTGTGGCCAAGCCTAAAAATGTGGTAGACAAATCACGTTTTTCGAATAAAACGTCTCGTGGACCTATCCCTCCACTAACAATTGAATTCTAACGTTACGTCGAAAATATAATAGAGTTTTAATTTCCCTATGTGATTTACACTTGAAATCGGAGGGTGTTATTATATTATTTTGGACCCTTGGACATAACTCTGTCGAATTGAATTTTGTTATGAAACAATCCTCTTGAAACCCCTGAAAATATTTTCGGCCACGCCACTTTGAGGAGCGGTGCGGCGATGGGGGACAGCAGCAGAGGCGGCGGCCGCAAGCACAGCAGCCAGAATCTGCGGCCCGCACGAGGAGGAAGCGGTCATCATATACCCAACGCAGCACCGAATGCAGGCATTAAGAGTGGCATGACAGTCGAGGTAACGACCATACAGTCGACATGAATGTGGTCACCAACGTGGGGCCAGGACTTGAAACGCTTGACGCAAAAGCGCATGCAAGATTCCGCAATCGCTGCGGCAGCGGCCACGGCTCCCATCCACGTAGAGGTCTTGACGCCCAAGGCACGACCAACAATCAGCGTCCCACTGGGAACGCCACAGCGCGTCGTCCCGCCGCCACCCGCTGCGTTTACACCCAAGACGGGCATGTCTGTGCAGGTACTTGTCCAGCCGATTGCTAAGGAGCGACTAACGACCTCTTAGGAACTGAAACAACTGACGACATTGCGCTTGGCGTCGCAGCACACGCCAACCCATCAGCAGCAGCAACATCCTTTGCCATCCACGCCAACTGCCGCACCTAGCGCGATTAACCCCGCAAGGTCCAGCGACTACAAGTCCATGCTCCAGCAGTACTATTCGCGCGTGAATTCTCCTACGTCGTCGCCAGGAACCACGCCCAAGCGACTCGGTGGGCGGTCGTTCACCACCGATCATCCTCCTCCGACTAGTCAACAGTCTCCTAAAGTCGTTCACTTGTCCGGATCATCCAAGCCTGGGCAGGCCACGACTCGAGCCGCGGCGGTGAGCGCAGACTCGCGCCATCGCGCGCAGTCGATCGACATCCATGGGTACATGCAAGACTTTATCCCACCTCGCACCACACACCAGCAACAGCACGAGCAGCCGATTCAGTCGTTTTCCCCGCGGCATCTCGGCAACAGCCAGCGCCATCCCTACGACGCCATCCCCGACCCCACGCCATCTTTGGTTCGAAAAAACCAACCACTTACACACCTACTCTATAGACAAATACATCATGTATGTGTAGGGTCGCCAGGGGATTCACTTCGAAGCCGAGTCGTTCCCCCCGCCGCCCCCCGTCGACGACACCGGGGCCTTCTACGCCCCCACGGCCCTCCCGTCCTGGTCACCGCCCCCCATGCGGACCAAAACCCTGCACGACTCGCGGCCGACGCTGTCCTTGTACCAGCCCCAGTCGGGCTTTTATGCCGCGCCTGCCGCCGACGACTATGACCAACAGGTGCCCAGCAGCTTCCCCCCGCCGCCCCCAGGACTCACGCGTCGGCCGTCTATGACCGTGCCGTGGCAAGTGGCCGAGTCGGTGCTACATACCCCCCAGCAACCGTCGGGAAGGAAGCAAATCGTGTCTGTACCGGAAACTCCCTTCCACCAGTTTGCCCAAGCATACCCCCAGGCCAAAGGTCCCAACGGCGCCCCGAGTCCCCCTCGGAAGCCGCTGCATCGAGGCATCTCGGGGACGTCGGCGGCGGCGGCCGCCGCGGCCGCGGAATTGAACGCCGCAGCCCCCCTTGTTCGGCAATCTAGCAAGGAGCTAACGCAGCCGCAGTTGGCTCGCCGAGGCAGCTTTGGCAATGCTGCCCAAATGTTTCGATTCCGCCGGCGTAGCAAAAGCCGCCTGGACGTGGCGCGGGACTTGGCGTTGCTGGAGTTGAACGGTGACGACGTACGCCACATGTCGGCGGACGAGCGTGAGTTGCTCTTGCAAGGAAGCGGGGACGAGTACTATGGCCAGGAGAGGTATTCGACCTCGGATCTGGGTATGTACTCCTTATAGTGTGTTTGCGAGGCTAATGGGGTTGGCGGATCTAGACGACATGAAAGGATCGGACGATTTTGTTCCGTATTTCAACCACCGCGGCGGTCCGAAGCTGTCGATTCCGCCGCCGCCGCCCCCGATGGACGACGACAGCGACAATGATGAAGCGGGGCTGCCCATGATGAGCCCGAACGGCGCCAAGTTGCGAAAGGTGGCGCAGTTGGCCCGCAGCGGCAGCTTGAGCAGCGAAGACAAGACCCGCGTGAAGGATGAAATCATTCAGAACTCCCTGGTATTAATACCACGAAGCGGGAATCCTTTTCAGGGGATTGATGGTGTATGTGTCTATGTAGGGCATGATGAGCTTGCTGCCGGACGACTTGGCCTCGGCGCCCCCTGGCTTTGCCCCCCAAAGCTGGAGCAAACCAAAAAAGTCCCCCATCCGACCCCCCGGCATTGTGCGCAGTCAGTCCCGCGCCATGTCTGAAAGTTCGATGAGTTTAGAGGACCGATTGGCGCTGGCGGCCCAACGAGTGGCCGAATGTGTGGCCAAGGCGGACATGGTCGAGTTCCAAAAAGCGATGGACGTGCTCGACAAGCTGCGCCACGAAGCCAACCAGTTGATGCAGCAGTAGGAGGAGGTACAGTAGTAGAAATGTTCAAGCGACGACCTTTGCTATCTGTGTAGATAGATGTAACATGCGTGAATGCGAGAGAACAGTCACCAACCCATCAAAAGAGATGAACAACGACAAGGATGCACTTATGGTGGTGGTTTACACTGTACATATATCGCAATATACACCACTGTACTACGTACCAACTCCAGCCCTATAATGCAACTATATGTACTGTAAGCTAAAGTTACTGCAAAACGTTCAGTGGGGGAGTGCAATTTGGGTCCAGCAAGCTGCAAAAAGTGTATATATACACTTTCAAGTATCTTGTGGCCTCGTCGTTTTAATCTCTTAATGTTCAGGTCCCACGCGGGGTTTACAGTACTGTAGCATATCGAACGAACGAGTGACAAACGCCAAGTTGTTGGCACATCTGTACGTTCCATGTCGAAAGAAGAGAGCAACGTTCGAATCGAGCATTCGAATATCCTCATGGGCTTGTCTTCCATGGAACGGCGACGAGGTTTGTTCCATAATATCCGAGTCGTTGGACAAATGCGATACAGTAAGAATGTAAAAGCAATCTCAAGACGAAACGACTCTTTTAATTTAAAACTGCAAGGGCAGACTCGCAGGTTGCTATCGCACTGGAACAGCATGGCCACTGCCAGGTTGGTTGATTTTCCGTGGCTTTTCCTTGATATTGTGGGATCGCAGCAACTGGCGGAGCGCGTGGGATTCGTCCTTGTAGCTGAAGATGGAGGACGTCTCGTCCCAACAGTGCTTGTTCCAGTTGAGGACGACCGTGGCCCACTCCTCTTGGGTTTCGGGCGTGGAGGCAGCAAAGAGCAGTCGTTGGTCATGCTCGAGTTCCGGCGTAAACACTTTGGTCATCGCCTCCTTCTTGGCTTCGGTGCTTCGTTTGCGGCTCGAAATAACAAACCGATTTGGCAGCGACGACGAGTCGTTGCGAATGAGATTCGCGTTGACCTTGTTCCCCGAGAGTTGAAGCTCGCCTAGCAGCACGCCGCCCTTCCCGTTGTAGTATTGCAGCGTGCCTTCTTCGAGGATGCAGTACACGATGCTGCCATATTCGTCGTCGAGCTTGATTAGGTACCCCTCGATGCTGCCGCCATTTGCCATCCCGTCGATGCCGTGAGTTGAGAAGTGCCGATGTGTGCGGGTTGAGCACAACTTGCACTCCGGTTGTTGGTTCGCAACCCACGTTGGAATCCACCAATGGCATCGCGCCGACCTGTCGCATCAACGAGCGGAAATCTTAATTCTCGATTCTGATTGGTCGAATTATTTGAGGTGAGGGCTCAACCGAAGGAACATTCGCCGTTGACAATGGGATTAACCCAAGGATTTGGGGGATTAAGGACAAGGTTTTAAGGTATTTTACATCGTTATATACGGTAGCCGCATGTCGAACCGAATTTAAGGTATTGAAATAGTAAGGGCAATGTAGGAAAGTCCACATGAGAAGATGACAAACACAGAACAGTTCGGGAAAGATAAAACTAATGGTTGGCGCTGCGTTCCGTGATGGAGAGCCAAGTTGAAGTCGATAGACTGTGAGATTTATAGTGCTCTGTGACTTTTATGCGTCATCACCACCCTGTTGTCCTTTAAAATGAGTCGCCAAGCAACGACAACACGGCGAGATGGCTGGTTCAGGTTTGGGTTATTTCACTGTTAATTCTCTAGCAGCAAGGAATAAGCTGCATGGCATGGTCATACTTACTGTTAATTACTTACTGTGCCCTTGTGATTGCGAAATCACAGTACCTTACGACGTTGAAGTTCACCTTTTGCTAACGTTAGGGTAAAAGCCACGATGTGAGTTATATCAGCAAACCTTCGTGAAAAAATCAAACCTTCGCCTGAACATGAGTGTAATAGCGAAGTGAAAACTTTTGCTTGCCACAGTCTTAAAAAGGGGTCTTTGTACAGCCACACTCCCTTTCTGCGAAGGTTTGCTGATCTACTCACATCGTTGCGATTTCCAATATTACTGTACTAAATAGTATACTGTACTACTGTACCGTACCGGAGTATTAATACTCCGAGTACTACTACGTAGTATTAATATGTAAGTAGTAACGTTATGCACTTTTGTCGTGGGATTGTCCAATCAAAATAAATCACAAGTGCTCAATTGACAGGTCAGCTATTTCGTCAAAATAGCTACCTGCCCCTTGGTCGTAAAATATCCGAAGTCGGACCTATGACTGACGAAAGAAAGCACCTCGTGGTCGCACAGCCGCCACGGACGCCATCACGCAAACCCCCGGTCCGCGAGGGTCATTACGGAGTCAAGTGCCTTCTCGTTGGCTTGAGTGTAGTCTCTGTGGTTGTGATCTGTATTGCGGTACGGTTCCTCCCACTCCCGGCGTCGCCAGGCCAGCCCGGCGTTCCGTCCTTCCATCGGTTGATCACGGCCAACCCCATAGTCGGCATCCTTTCGCAGCCGTCGACGACGCATCCTGAATATGAATTCATTGCGTCGTCGTATGTCAAGTGGGTGGAGAGCGCCGGCGGACGAGCCGTGCGCATCCCATTCAACGCATCCAACGACACCATTGCCGATCTCCTTGGCTCTGTGAATGGGGTTCTCTTTCCAAGCGGAGACGCCGATCCCAACCGAGTGGCGGCATTCATCTACCGCCACGCCAAGGAATTGAATCGGAATGGCACGCACTTTCCGTTGTGGGGCACTGGCTTGGGGATGCAATGGTTGTTCCAGCTAGAATCCCCAACCACGACCCTCTTGGACGATCTAGACGCCGACAAGATGAGCTCCACGCTGGAATTCATTCATGGGTCAAGAAGCAGCAGTAGGCTGTTTGGGTTTAGCGCCGTATTCGATGTCATGGCAGGTCAACCGATTGCAGACTACGTCGACACGCTCGGCATGCTGGTCGATCACTTGTATGCGACACCATCGCTCGCGTCGTTCTTTCGCGTAAGTGATGTGTGTATCAATGACAATCCCATGACTTGCATGAAAGTAGCCGCTGGCGACTTCGGTGGACCGACAAGGTCGCGAGTTTGTGGCTGCGGTTGAAGCGGTCGAGTTTCCGTTCTTCGGGGTGCAATTCCACCCAGAACGAAACGCGTACGAGTTTGGCCAAGAGGCTGTGGACCACACGTACAACGCCATCGTAACTTCACAGGCTCTGTCGCATGTATTCGTGAACGAAGCCAGGCGCAACGACCATCGATTCGCTACCTCGTTGGTTGAAAGGACAGCGTTGCTATACAATCGCAAAGCGTCCGATGTGGCGTACCCCATGTTTGAAGAAGTACTCCTTTTCAACGCAACGTTGGATTAGTGTGTACGGTAATAATAATAATATAACGTGGTGTTGGTTGTTGCATTTACCGTTTAGGAAGTAACGTTAGTGACTGACTATTTTGACACCAACCTATCGCATAACATCACTTGGTTGTTCCTTCACCTCCTGTAATAAGGGGGGCTAGTACAATCGAACCACCCTGCAATAGTATATATGCTGCCCCACTACGGAAGGATCACCAGGATGAACTTCAACGCAAAGGGCTAGATGGGACAGTCCTGAGCAACGTGGCTGGCTGGTCGGCGAGGGTGCGGAATGTCGTGCAGTTTCGATGGTTTAACGCCAAATATCATCGCCATCGTATACACCCCCGCCCAAAGAATGATATGGTTGTGCCATCGACCTTGATCCCGATGGGCACACGAGTTGATTGCTGTGTTGGTAGGTAGGTTCCCGATGGAGCTGCTTCGTTAATAGCATGGGCGTTTTCCCACGTGCATATTGGGTCAGTGTCTACGTTGTAAGATCAAACGCAACTTGACGGCGAAGGCCGACTTGTCTGTTTTAGGTCGACAAGCAACCACATACGAACGTTGCACCGTGTCTGCCTGTCGGTGGTGTGCGCCACTTTCCACGTTTGAGCCCAGTCAACCCAAGAAAATATTGAGTACGTAGGTATTGGGGGCCTTCTGCAGCTCGAAGTAAATTGATCGTGCGTACCGATGGGGGACACAGCTAAAATAGTGGATGGGTCAGCATAGTCTTTGAGAGGCCCCGTGCTGAACAAATCGAACTCCTGACTGAGCGCCGTTGAACCATCCAGCGCCGTGGGGGTCAATTCGGCGATGACTATGTCGGCGAAGTATGAGACGGCCACCACAGGTCGTTGGTGAGGGCACTCGACAACAGGTTAAGTAGTACGTACTATGTAGTACTCATTACTAGCGTTCGAAACGCAACTAACTGTAAGTAACGTTAGTCACAGCATGCTTGTACCGCCTGCATGCGATGGCAAACTCGTGGGTGGTGACTGGTGTGGAACTTTGAGAGTCATCCCGAGTCTCCAGCTGGGTCTGCTGAGGTTATGAGACGAATGGGGAGTCGTACAGTACCTTGGCATCTTCAGCCAGACGATGCGCCACTCGGATATCTTCATGTTTTTGTCCTTCGTTGCAAGTGTAACTGGTACATGGAGGTTGGTGTAACGATCTCGGACGAAACGGTTTCAGAAATTCTGGATTTGGGAAAATACGTCTATAAATAAATAAATATACGCAAAAACAACTTGAACTATTATGACCAAGTTTAGTTTGGAATTTTGATTGCAACAGAATGGACAACGATGACGATGGCGATGATACTCTTGCCGACACGGTTGCAGGGACGGACGCCGGGTCTCAGAACACCCCAAGCCAGTGGAAGAAACACTTTGCAGAACAAGTTCCTCCCCTGCAAGTGGCGAGTCCACCTAGAGCGTTGCCGCTTTGTACGTATGACGAAGATGAGACGCAGATCCTCTTCTGTTCAAACGTCATATCGCAGGAAGTGGGCTCTCCAGGACATCAGCCGAATAAAAGTACTCGATCACCTTACGATTCCATGTCATGGCGATGCTCATGTGCTCTCACGACGTAGATCAAATGCAGTTGGCCGAAGTGGAGCTGCCGTTGGTGCCTCACGAGAATTACGTTGGAGATGGAGACAGCTCCAACGAATCGGAAGATCTATGGACAATCGGCGACTCGACCTTGGATCAGCCACATCCGACGTTTGATGGCCCTGTGGATGGGGCGATCCCGAATGCTGCCTCGACGACGGAAGCTTCGGCACATGTTCCTGAACACCCCGTTGCATTATCTACGTCGACAGACACTGCCGACGATGATACCGAATTGGAAGACAACGACATCCCCACATACGTCGTCACACATGCAGTCGACACTCCTGTCCACATCGAGCGCTATTTCGACAACGTCTACAATACAACCATGACGACTTTAAAGCCGGTCCGCAGCCCGTCACCCCGAAAGCGCCTACGCCTTGAACATTCCCATCTCACGGAGCCACCACAGCCACCCATCACAGAACCCTCAGATCCATTTCCACCACCACCACCCATTTCCAACGACATCGTCGTGTCACGACGACGCAACAAGCGAAATGCATCGCCATCCTCCACAGCAGACCACGAGCCCCACGTCCCATCCCCACCACGCCGGCGCCGCCGCCAAGTCCAAACGGGTGCGCCGTCAACTGTGGGTCGGGCGCGGGCCGGCAAATCGAGACGAGCTGCCACATTGTCATCCTCCATTCCCTGCTTAGACACGGCAACCTCTCTCGAAGCCAACAAGGATCCGCCGCCATCGATCAGTGGCGTACGCATTGTGCTTACGGGGTTGGACCCCGCTCCCCTCATGCACCAGGTAGGTCCGTTGGTCCTCCTGTGAATCCCCCTCAATTATTGCTTCATTGGGACTTCTAGATCCACGCGATTCAAGGAGCTGCGTTTGAGCAAGATGTGACACGGGGCACGCACTTGGTGGCGCCTTCGAACCAACTGAAACGGACGGTCAAGATGCTCTGTGGCATCTCAACGTGCCTGCACATTGTGGACGAGAAGTGGCTGGCGGCGTCCGCCAAGCTGGGCCGACCCGCGCCAGAAGTGCCCTACTGCCTGCTGGACCTGGCCAAGCAAGCCCAATGGTCGTTTGAGTTGAAGGCCACGATGTACGACCACACGAACAGACACCTGCTGCTCCGCGGTCGCGTGTTTTACATTGTGCGGCACAAGAGCATCTTGCCGGCGCCATCCGATCTGGCCAAGATCATCGAGTGCGCCGGGGGAGAGGTACGTCGTTCATGCTGCTGCTGTTGCTGCGGAAGGAAGGAAGGTATGGACACATGGGAGTTGTTTGTACGTAGGTACTCTCGACGTCGACCAAACCAGTGGACAATGTGATTGTGATTGCATCTGCCGAGGCACTGGCGGTGAAGTCGGTGCAAAAGCAACTCGGACCGCTGGCGAACGCCACCAAGTACACGACGGAGCTGGTTTTGTCTGGGGTTTTGCAGCAGAGCCTCGACTTGACGACGACGCATGTCGTCGTGGAGCATACCAGTAGCCAGCAACAACCAACCATCCAACGAGGAAAACGTTAGCGGAGCTTAACACGTTTGCGATTCTTTGATGGCCGTGGCATCTTGATGTCGACCCTTCGGCCGTGGATGATGTACAGCGCGGCGTGAAAGCTGTGGTGGATGCGGCTACGCAAGAGAATGGTCATGCAAATCAAGTGAATCCACCGCCAGGATCATCCAAGGATGTGACAGGATCAACACAGGATTACGTACAGCAGGTCGTGCCACTCGGTCGTGTCGATGGCTTGGGGTGAAGGTGCGGCGGGGTTGCTCTTGTCCTCCTGGGGCGGCGTACCCTCGTCAACGAGACTTGCATCGGTTAAGACAGACACAGCGCCAACTTCCTCTTTCAGACTGTCGGTGCTGACTTCGCCTGTGGGCTCTGTTGTTTCATCGTGGCTAGTACAAGTAGCGGACGAAGGGGATTCGAGTTGGGGGGGCGATGTCTCTACTCCTGGCGACGTCAAGGACGGAGGAGGGTCCGTTGATGGGGGTGGAGAGGATGCGCGCTGAACGACTAGGCACTTGAGTCGGCGGTCGTCGACGTCTGGAAGGAAGATGAGCCAAAAGTCGCCGGTCAGAGTCGCCACGCCCGCCTACACAAGAGAGCGTGAGAAGGGGCGGATTCTACAGGTCGTGTACCCTGTCATGACTGGCAAGGTAGTGGCGGAATTGGGCGAACCCCGCGGCATCTTCCAGCGTTGCACCAGGAGCGGGAGAGACAAAGAACTCAGGAATCTACATGAAATAACGCACGCGTGAGGCAGTGGTCGGTCGACCTTCGAGTGACTTGTATACATTGGACACGGACGTTGCGACGATCCCTTGTAGCTCGCTTAGACTCACTCGCTTGGTTACTTGGATGTCGCCCGACCTACTCGACACATCAACAATAGGATGTGCGGATAGTAGTGATATGTACGTGAGCTGTGAGACAAAGGCATGACTGGCTAGGTCGGCTAGCGCTTGTGCGTCGCTTTGAATGGCGCAACAAAATGACCACTTGCCCTTGCGAACGATGAACTGGATCGCCGCCGGTGGCGCTGGCGGCGTAGTGGTTGTCATATTTGTTGAAATTGTTGGACTAGGACCTTTCCTGAATGAAAACTCATTTCGATGAAAATAGGCCGAATTTAGTTTGAAATACGGTTGCCTTGCGTTTTACTTCACTGTCAAATCTTGCGCTTCGGCGGCAAATTTCCGCATGCCCGCGACGCCCACCGCCTCGCATGAGGATACAAGGTCAGTATTACAGCATGTTGACGCCCTGGAGATCCGCGAGGAAGCTGTCGTGAAGGGTTTGGAACTCGCATGCAACCGAGCGTTCCGTGAAGAAACGCGCCTGCACAAGGCAATGTCCAGTCCCACATCGAACGAGCTCGTGGAAGGCGTGTACTTGGCGTGCTGGTCGTTCTTCCCGCTACTACTCGAAACCCATCGATCCCTTCTGCGCAGGATACGTTTCGTGCGCAGCGTGGACCCCACGCTGCGACCTCACCGTGTCTTAACGATCCTCGTTGAAGCCGTTCCGCACATCGCTGCCATCCACCAAGCATATGCCATGCAATTCCAGACAGCAGCGCGGGCCACAGCCCAGCACACGACTCCGTCCGATCTTGTGGATGTATTGAAGAGTCCCTTGACAGCCTTGGACGCATGCACGCGATGTCTTCATGGACTGCACTCCATTTCCTCCGACGTCGCCGCAGTGTCAGCAGCGCTTGCTTTGTTGGACAGCGGGATGCATCAAGCGTTTGAGTCCATGCATCTTCGCCTTGTTCAGCGTCTGGACATCGAGAACAAAGTGCCTCATGTCGAGTGGACGAATCGAGTTCTCGTGGATGTGGCGGCACCTGTCCAAGTCGCCAACGCGCAGGGCCAGTTCGTAGATGCCACCATGTTTCTCTTCGAAGGTGTGTTGGTCGCTCAGAGTGTTCATGAAGGCTCCATTCTGCTCACCCTTCTCGCGGACACGTCTCCCATCTCGATCGTACACGCTACAGACTCTGCGATGTGCGTCGTCCTCGGCGCCACCACCGCGTGCCACGTCACCTTTGCTTCGACGGATGCCTGTCGCGCATGGCTGGTTTCCCTGGCCTCGTGCTTTACCGCCCGATTCCAGTCGGTCTTTTCTTTCGATCTGCACGCGTTGCTGGCGTCGATGCAGCAATTTCCCAAGTCGTGGCTCGTAGCCGACACCGACACGGCCAACCACGACCTCGTCGCGTCTGCTGCGATGTGGTTGATGGATCTGTCGGCACCGTCCGCCGCCGTGCCGCCGCGTTTGCATCAGGTGTACTTGATGCGGGACATGGTTCTCTACGGCCGGATCACGTCGCTCTCGACGTGTGAGTTTGGCGGGTACATTCTGGGCGAGCACGTTACAGTGCACGACACGCCGTCGTCGTCGTCCGCCGCTGCCGTCTTGCATGTGCACGCTGCTTCTCCATTTGAAGTGGAAATCACGCCAGATGACGGCGGCGACGACGGCCAACCGTCCATGTCGCAGCGGCGGCTCCTTCTCGCTCCCGTGGACCCGTCGGTTCGACAGGAATGGGTGGAGCTGCTCCAGCAACTGAAAGCGGACGTCGTCGGTGCGTCAGACGAAAGCCAAGACTTGTATTACTCGCCCTCCCATCCTTCATCCATGGTCACATCATCCCACACGACCATGGCTACGTCGTCGGAAGGTGGAAAGCATGAATCAAAGTCCACAAGTGAAATCACGAGCAATGACCAAGCTAACAAGCCAACACCAGTGCCTGAAACGACTGGCTTGAAGCCAGCTGCTCGCATGCTTGAGATCGACGACATGGACCGATTGCCCACGTCCGACACTGAAATTGAAAGCGGTGATGATGATGGTGACAGTGCAAGCTTGGACTCGATGTTGTGCGCCAAGAACCCCCGGAAGCGGTCGTTTGCGCAGATCCACTCGCCGTCGCCAACTCGGCAGGGGGACGAGAGGTTGAGTGGCGGAGTGGATGATACATCTATTTGTGCGGAAACCCCCGACGCTGTCGACCACAAGAGTCGACTCGTGAATTGTTTAGCCCAAGAGGCTTCGCCGCCGTCGAAGCGTGCGATAGCGTTTGCCTGCGACTCGGTGGACGACACGACGTCGCAGGTTTCGATTCCGCAAGATAAGGAAGGCGGCAAGGCTATTCCGTGCCTTGCTACTCGACATCATACGGCCATTGCTTCCAGTGTGATCACACCTGAAGTACCTGCACCGCCATTCGCTGCTGCAGAAGTAGAAGGCACCATATCCCATGTACCTGCGACACGGCGCCCGTCGAAACCACATAAGAAGACTAGCCGACGCACAACCAAGTCACCCACCAATGCTTGTACTGCACTGGGCCTGCAACACACTGCCAAAGTCGCCACCTCGTCCAACGCAACCGACTTGTCCGATGGGGTTCCGTCGGAGTTGCCGCCATCGACGCAAGAGATGGAAGGCGGCGCTCTCCAATTCCTGCGCGACGTCCCATTTGCATCGAAACCGTCGGACGACGACGACGCCACGAGCATTCGCATTGCCTTGTCAGGGTTTGATGATCCCACCAGCTTGTTCTCCAAGGTATGTACAATGAGAAGCTGTCCATATATATATTGTGCATGGGATATAATAATGCATGACGCTGTTGAGGTACGTACATAGATTGCAGCGATCCGCCACGCCGAGTATGAGGACGACGTAGGCCGCGCCACGCACATCGTCGCGCCGTCGGGGGTGCTCAAGCGCACGGTCAAGATCCTCTGCGGTATTTCCAGCTGCGATCACATTTTGGACGAAGAGTGGCTCCATGCGTCGGCCAAGCTGGGCCGCGCGGCCCCCGAAGTGCCGTTTTGCCTGTCCGATCCGGCCAAAGAGGCGCGGTGGGGGTGTTCGTTGCAGGCCACCATGTACGACCACTCGCGGGTCCAACGCCAGAGGCTGCTGGCCGGCCGAGCGTTCTTCGTTACCCGCCACAAGACGGTACTTCCGCCGCCGCAGGACCTCGAGCGCATCATTGTGTGTGCAGGTGGCCAGGTAAGATGATATATGGACGATAAACCACAAGCTTGGGGTTGGTTTCATGATCGGTGGCTAGATGCAGGCAGCCGCGGACGTTGGACCAGACACTATAGTGATCACGTCCGTGGAAGCGGCGGCGGCGCCGTCGATTCAAAAGATCCTCAAACGAGTCGATCGTACGCAATGCTACACCCCGGAATTGCTCCTCCGATGCATTCTGACCCAGAAGTTGTCGTTGAACGAGTACCACGTTGGGCTCCCCGATCGACATGAGAAGAAGGCGACAAGGAAGAAATATCATTAACTTAAGTGGATCGAATGTGCCAAGCAGTGGTGTTTATGGGGTTGAGGACACCATGGCGATGGGTGTGGAGGTGGTGGTGGTGGGGCGACCTCAAAGTCTAGAGTGCAGGGAACTGGACGCGTCCTTCCATGGGTGCGAAACATCAAACACGTGTCGTTGTACCTAAGCCGTCAAACACTTTAGTTGGCCATGTAGTACAACTGCATGACACGGCGACATGCATATACCAAGGCAATGCCATGTTCATCGGCAAACGACAGCTGCTTCTTCTTGGCATGCGTGGCGTCAACGACAGGTTCGTCACAACCTTGAGGTATCGTGACATCAACGAACGGCAGGAGGCGCAAGATGGATTTCGCGCCGAGGGACGCCGATAGCATTTCAACTTCAGAAGTGTGATGATGGCGTCGCTCGCTTGCTTGGTCGCTCTCTCTCTCTGCTTGGTCGCTCTCTCTGTCTGCTTGGTCGCCCTGCCTTTTCTTGGCGGTTTCAACAACACGATTAATAATATGGCACACTCCTACTAAAATCAATAGTATGGATTATATTAATATTGATACCATTGGTATCAATATCGTACTTGTCACAAATCGACTGCCCAATCGCCGTCAAGCAGAATGTTTGTTGTTATTGATGCCCAAATGCGAATTCTGGGTTGACCGGGTTTTCCTCGGATTCTCGCCTCGACCGGCGCCGTTCGGCCTTGAGGCGCAGATTGCGCCGCTTGAGGTTTCTTCGAATGCAGTAGAATGACACCATGAACAGTATGCACGCGATGGTCATGAACGCCACAAATGATGCCGTGTACCGCTGAAAACCCGTCGGCTCGTAGATCTGCAGATGGCACGATTGGAATCGTCCTTTGCTATCCTCCAGTCCTTGGAAGCCACTCGAGCAATGCTTGGTGCCGAAGATGTACCCCGGAGGAATCGCACGGCCAAACACATCGTACCATGGTTTCAAGCAGAACTCGCCAGATTTTTTGCATTCGGCGTAGTCGTACCGGACTCGACACAAACACGTACACAGGTACGGCAACGTGCAATTGCCTTGGCCCATCTCAGCGCCATTGACCACTTCTTTCCCCCACCGACCCCCTTGGGTGCCGCACGGGTCGTTCTCAAAGGCCAGAACCTACATACAGTAATAACAAGTGACATGATTGAAGTTGGGAACGAGCATGCATGTCGTCGACCTTGGTTTCATCCACGGTAAACAGCTGGGCACGGATCTCCGGCGTGACTTTGACTTTGCACACGGGCTGGTTGCAGTCGTAGCCGGTCCAGCCATCGGCGCATTGACACAGATCCGGCGCCACACACATGCCACCGTTGGCGCAGCGATAGCAGCCTTCGTGGCCCACGGGGGCTTGGCCATGGCATTGCGCGTCGTAGAACCCTTGGACACAAATGGCTACGTACTATAGTCAGTTTCGGAGCAACGACCTCTGTTTGTACGAACCCATGGAGCAACTGGACCCAGCCCATCCCGTGTTGCCTCGAGGCGCCAACGGGTACTTCTGATACAGCACCGACTGGGTTTGAATGCACTCGCACGTGTCTTTGGAGATGCAAATGCCGTGGTGCTGACACCCCGTCACATCCCCCGCAGGCGTCGTGTACCGGCACAGCGGCAGTTGGCAGTCAAAACCCGTGTACCCATCCGCACAGCTGCACACGTCTGGCCGGACACACGAGCCCTTGTTGTAGCACTCGTACACGCCTTCGCCCCGGGCGACCCCCGGGTGGTTCAGACGGACGACGCGATTGGAAAACTCGCCTTGCTGCCACCGCAGCACCCTGCAAAGCGCCGCGTCGGACTGCCGCCCAGTCGTGGCCGTGTCGTTGTACGCGTCCCAGTTGGCCTGGTTCAGCGTCGACGGGCCGGTAAAGACGGGGTTGGGGTACGGAATACCCGGCGCGCATCCGGATTGGAAGGACGTACCATCGTTGGATGTGAGCTCAATGTCATACTGCGGACAGCGTAAGTGGACGCATGGCGTCTTGTGCAAGTCGCCTGAACGCCACACACAACGAAGCCATAAAGCGTAGCCGTTGAAAAGTATCATCAAAAGCACAACTCTGGCGAAATGCATCGACCAAATAAACATACTGTATATATACCTCGCATCGCGACAAACGTGGGGGTGTCTCGAACAGCATTCAAGAGGAATCGCTGGGCTTGGGTGCAGATGGGGGTATTGCAGTCGTATCCCGTCCATCTACATGTTATGCAGTTTAGGACATGGATATGTACTCAAACCACGAGGCAGTAGTACCCCGTCAACTGGGGCGATCCGTCGGGAAGGAGAAAGATGGGAGTACCGCCGTTGCGCCGGCCGTTCCGCCACGCGCTAGCCCATGTCGGGCACTCACACGTGTCCTACAAGCAGTAGATCGATCCTCATACCATCGTCCGCATGAAAGAGTTTCGTACTGGAGCGACACAGCGGCCGCCGTTGCGGCAATCTTGCGCGCATATCGCCACCGAGCACACGACCCCCGTCCAGCCCAAATCGCACGTGCATCGGTTGGGCAAGGTGCAGGCGCCATGGACACAAGGAACAACACAAATGGGGACGGAGCAGTCGGTGCCCGTCCACCCCGTCGCACAGAGACATGTGTCTGGCGCGACGCACGTGCCATTATTGAAGCAGCCACGACGGACGTAGTCGACGCAGCCGTCGAACGACTGGATGGACGAGGCATTCACCGCCGAGTAGCGCACGATGGGGCGGTAGGTCGAGTCGGGGTCGACGGAGACAGTGGGGGACGACGGAAGCGGACACGTTCGGACAAACTCGACCAAACACGTTCCTTTTTGCCACTGCGCAGGGGACTGGTACGACCAAATGCCGGCGCGGCGATATCCGTCTTGGGTGTTGTCCCACAATGGCGGCGACTTTGCGTAGAGCGGCGGCCAGTACATGGAATCGTTCATGTACTGCGAGAAATAATTGGCAAAGTTCCAGTAGTGGGCCGGGGAATCCAACGTCGCGGGTTTTTCAAACTGCGTGAGGCTGCGCGACGAACACGCATAGCCCCCCTGGGCCTCAAACCCCTGCGACAAGAACCGAGTGTTGCCTTGGGATACGGTTGCGACAGTGTAATGATCCCAAGACAGCGTTTCCACAGTTTGGGGGTACGCTGGGTTGCCATTTGAGGGCGGATGGTTGAAGTGTTTGCTTTCCAGTGGCTCGGCCGACACGAACGTCGGTTGTGTCGGCGTGTAATACCCTACATATTGTGACGCTGAAAATTCGATATCGCGCAGAGGGACGACTTTAGTACCTTGAGTGCATACAGGGGTACGGCAGTCAAATCCACTCCAGCCTTGGGCACAAACGCAAATGTCTGGCGCGGTGCAGTTGCCTTGGTTGGCACACACGTATACTCCCTGTGTCATGCGCCGCCTTTCCACGGACGCGAGAATGCGATCAACTGTGGCCGTGTACGGCGGTGTCGTGAACAACCCAGGGATGAGAACTGGCGCGCCTGGATATGTCAAGTTGACCCTGTCTTGCCCGTACGGGGTCGCTGTGGAGTACCGCCGGAAAGGGGTGCTCCCGATGGCGTGTTCCACCGCGTACGAGTAATGACTCAGGGCTGTCGCCCGGAGCTCCAGCAACTTGCACTTCGGTTGCAGCAACGTCGACGGCCGTTTCGCGCAATCAAAGCCCATGGTGGCCTGGCACCACGCGTCGAATTCACACGGCGCGTACACATCCCAACTGAACGGACGGAAGAGGCCGTACTGGTACCCGCTGGGGTGCGCGACAAACGAGCCCTGGATGCACACGGGGATGGCGCAATCGTGGCCGCTCCACCCGGTCGGACACAGGCATGTGTTGGGTGCAACACAGACCCCGCCGTTGGCGCATATTTGATGGCACACTGGGGTGCGGCAGTCCGTGCCTTGCCACTCTGGTGTACACGTGCACGTATTCGGACCAGTGCAATTCCCAGAGTTGCCGCAAGTTTGACTACACACTGGCGTGGTGCAATTAGCATCAAACCAGCCTGACGCACACACACACGTATCGGGAAATCCGCAGCTGCCGTGGACACAAGCTTGGACGCAGAGAGGGACATCGCATGCTGGAAACGACATGTAGCCTGGAACACACGCACATGTGTCGGGCGCGACGCAGAGCTGTCGATCTCCGCATAGCCCCGGGGTACAGACGGGGATGGTGCAGTCGTCCCCGCGCCACCCCGGCGCACACGCACACGTTTCGGCACTGATGCATTGGCCTTGGTTCTCACAGATCTTGGAACATGCGGCCGTGAGTCCGCGAATCCGGTGGTTGGTAGTGTCGGCAACAATCACGAGGTTCGTGCTTGATGGAGTTTCAAACACGTCGATGCCGGTTGGTCCTTGGAATTTCGCAAACAGTGGCGGGGCGCCGTCTCGATACCCGCGCGGGGATTCGAGGAGGGACACCGGTGCCCCGGCAACAGTCTAGTTCGACGTGTCATTAGTTTGTACCAGTTGAAACGAGTTAAGGCACGACGTCATGCAGTATTACCTGCACGAATCGCCTGGTCAAGGGGGTTATCTCCAGGGAGAAGAGTCGGGCGGCAGCCTGCGCGGACGGCATCGTGGCGGACGTGACACCGTTGGCGGTGGACCCTGTTCGAATAGCCAACGAGTCGTACAATGTGTTGGCCTCCAGTGTGAGCGTGAGCAGGGCCGAAGCACTGGATGTCATCAAACCAGCATGAATAGCCGCGTAGCAAATCTGGGACGAGTCCGTGTACATGGACGTGCCAAACACTTGGGGGGTACCGCTGTTGCAGTTGGCGGGACATTGCACCGTGATCGAAGTGCCAACATCGACGTCCTGCCACACAGATCGGATCACTCGGCCAGTTGAGTCGTACATAGTCACGCTAGTTGAGCTACAATGGGTGGCCATGAGAAGAACTGCCATAGTGCAAGGATATATATATCACAAACCCTGTGACGAGGGGGTCGATGGGGGGGGATCCCGTACACGACTGGACTGTGCGACCCAAGATGTTCTTGCCTCCTTCGTAACTCGACACGTTGCGGCGAACGGCGTTGTAGTAAACGTTTCCTAAACTACATTGAGTGGGGCATTTCGTGGTAGGGAGAATCCGTACCCACGGCCGGCGACACTTTTTGATCCATGGCGCCCAATGGAGGATCGTACGACCCACACCCCGATGGACTCAGGATTTCAAACCCCCGAGTCGAGCACGTAATCCGCTCCATCTGCGTCATGGACACCATGTGCAACGGTTAGAGGCAACAGATTTCGTTTCCAATCGCCCACCACGTACCACCAACGCTGATGGCGTGACTGTTCGAATGTGGGACGAGATCGAGCTGGTTACATACACGCGCTCATCTGTAGCCATGGCCACTCCTGTGACATGGAGCGACGCTTCGTCCGCCTTTCCATCTGTCTCACCAGCCACAAACGGCCCTACACCGGCTACAGTCACCACGCGGTCGGACGAAGCGATGCCTTGCACTGTCGCTGAGCCGTAGACGATGCGCCTGACGCGATGGTCATCGGCAATGATCAGAGTATTGGTCGGACCGAGGGTGATGTCGGTGGGGTGGTTGAATTGGGCATATGTCAAATTTCCGTCGCGAAAGCCGGCGACCCCCATCACACAGGGCGGGGCGCATCCTAGCATGGGATTGGATTGCAGGATGACATTACCGGCCAATGTGGTCGTGGTGCCGTCCACTCTGCACACAATATAACATCAATCCATCATAATTCAGTTTTCATATACAAACCCAACGCGGCGGATCACGTGGTTGCCAGTGTCTGCGACAAATACAATGCCTTGGGGGGTCACAGCGATGCCCATGGGGCTATCAAACGTGGAATTGTTGGGGCTGCCATCGGCCAGACCTGGCTGCGGCGATGCAATCGACTGTAGTCATATTTCGTTCTTCATGATTAGTTCCTTATTTGAGTGCTGGTAGACACTTACTTGTGCCAATGTCGCAGTCTCGGTACCGTTGCCACACCGCCCTCCCAAACACAACACGCGTTGCGATTGCAGATCGATTACCCGAATCCGGTGGTTGCCCGTGTCGGCCACGTATATCTTGACGACACTGCCGCCAGACTCCAGAACGGCGATGCCCGTGGGAAATGAGAACCGCGCGGCGCCGATGGGTCCGTCTATGGACCCCCGCACGCCGTCGCCTGCGATCGTCACTACGTCTTGGGTAGCGCTACGAATCTATCAACCATATAGCAGTGTGCTCCTCCGTGTTTGATAATACACCTCAAATCAAACACATACCAGTCGGATGCGATGGTTGTTTGTGTCCGCTACATACACGTTGCGTTGGCTATCCACAGCAACTCCTCGCGGGAACGAAAACTGGGCCGACGCCACGGGGCCGTCCTACGTGACAAGCCATAGTTGCACTTGGAACTTGCAAACGCAGCATTTTGCCTTTACCTGAAACCCGGGCTGGCCAGAACCAGCCACGGTGGTGACTTGCCCTTGAGCCGTCGACGGTTGGCTTGCAAAGTCCCATCTGTCGGTCGCATCGTCCACGTCTGGCTGTCTAGTTAACGGACCGGCTTGGTAGCCCCAACATCGCGTTGTGCAAGTTGCGTAGCTGGTGGTCGAGGACGGTGTCAGGCAGTCGGCACCAGAGAGTAGCACACAGACGTGGCTGACGTTGGGATGACCATAATCGTAGCGATGCGTGGGCACCGCAGTCGACACGACGAATGGAGTGTCGGTGACCGTGGGAATGTTGACGGGCAAGACCGACCAATCCACGCCTTGGATCTGAAAGGCGTCGTTCTGACACATGTGGCATTTGCTTTGGACGCCAAAGCTGGAGCAAACGTGGCGCATGTCTTGGGCGTTGGAGTTGACACGACCCGCGTATTCCACGGTTTGCGCGGGGTCCTTCTGGTAAGCAAAGGGCCACACTGGTGACACGACACTGTCGCACCATGGCTGTGTGGTCCAAGTGCGGTGGACTCGCATGGACGATACGACGCCGACCGACGGGACGAGCAGCAGCAGCCACTGCCTCATTTCGATCGTCGGATCCTTGTTGTGCCCCTTGGCGAAATCCGGATAATATCCTGACCACCGGATAATCTACCACTTCCAACAGAAAGCAACATCCGAGCGAGAGCGACATGGAAGTTGCCATCGTGTAAGGCATGATGTCATTGCGCCAACTTTGACGATGTGGTTATCCACAGGAACATGGTTGGGAGCGGGCGTCTTGGGAACAAGATTGTCCTGCAAGACGTCGTGAATAAGACCAACAAACGTGCTGAAATGAGGAAAAACTGTGTGTTGCTCAAGTTGACCCACCCCAAGTCGTCTGCGATGCTATTTCCGTCTGGCAAAGTAGTTCCTTCCCATGTTGCCGCCATCCTTGTCCAATGCTACTGTAGGTGGTGTGCACGGGCCAGTCCACCGAAGAAGGGCTCAAGGCAGCGGCCCAAAAGGTCGCCCAGCTGCTCAAGCACATTGATTTCCACGTGTCGTTGAGCGATTTTCAATTGGAAAACGTTATCGGCCGCGCGGACGCTGGTTTCCGCATCCTCGTCGAGGAACTGGCCTTGCGATACCCCGACGTCACCACGGTATGTCTGCCAGCGTGCACAAGACCTCATTCTGGTTGGCACTACACACGATGTAGTACGAGCCCGAACTGTACCCGGCCCTGGTGTTTCGAATGGCCAAGCCCAAGGTCCACATCCTCATCTTCGCCAGGTACATCAATGCTTCTCCTTCTTCACGAGGTCCCATGCATCACGTACATGCTAGTGGCAAAGTCGTGTTCACCGGCTCCAAAGAGACCCGACACTTGCGCGACGCCTGCGCCAACATTTCCATCGTAAGACTCTCGACGTTGAACTGGATGCTAGCCTTATATGATAGATCTTGAACGAATTTCGCGACATGAAAGCTCAAGTGGAAACATAACCTGAATATATGCAATTGCTTTACATCTTTTGCATGGTTACTGCGACAGAGTCCAACGTTCGTCTTGCACATGGCACCATAACCAAACCTTGTCACACAACCCTGTCTAAAGCATAGCACAAGGCGTGCCCACCCTCCAAGAAGCAACCCCCCAACACATTTGCATCTAAACCTTGTCGCGCATTGTGACGCATTCACTGTTCCGTTGCCTCCGTTAACTGCTCTTGCGACGACATGACGTCTTGTGCACAGGCCAGTGTCGTTTCTGGCACGCCTGTGAGCAGTAGGCCATGGCGTTGCACCGCGCGCACTTTTTCCACTTGCCCTGGGCGCCGCAGCTGCCGCACACTGTCGCATTTAACGGCGTTCCTTCGTCGTTTTTCCGATTCGGCTGCTTGTCGTCACACAGGTTGAGCTCCCACATGTCCCCGTACACAATATCATTGCGCATGGTTTCATACCCGCCGTACAAGATGGCGCGCTTGCGGTGGGGATCGAACGTCAGCGTGCACGCCGCCCGGGAGCTCGGCCACGGCACTGCAATGGATGATGCGTTCAACTTGGCCCATGATGCGGTGCCGTCGGCGTGGTGGGTGAGGCGGTAGCCGTCGCCGTAGTACTTGGAGCCCACGGGGAGTTCTGCGTACCCTCCAAACTGGTACATGGTGTTGTCCATGACAATCGCTTGGCTTTCGCTGCGAGGCCCTGGCAAGATGGGCGGCAGCATCGAAGAAGAGGACGGCGGCGGCGATGGGAGCCACGTGTGTGACGCCAGATCGAGCGTGTAGAGCGTGCGCTGGTACTCGTAAAAGTCGGCCGTGTCGGCCTTGCCGCCAAACACAAACAGTTTGTGGCCATGAATCCATGATGTGTGGAGGGACAGCGACGGCGGCGGTGCCAGGTCCGTCCCGCGTTGCGCAAGCACAGACCACGTTTTCGTCTGGAAGTTAAACACGTCGATGCGGCCGACGGCGGTCGCGGACGAGCACGTGAGTCCGCCCACGAGGATCATTTGGTGCTGGTGCACACTCGCCGTGTGTTCGTTTCGACTGGCGGGTTCGTCGGGCATGCGCCACCGCTTCCACTCAAATGTGTCGACGTTGAGCTGGTACAACGACCCGTGCCGTTCGTGGTCATCCACCAAGTCGTCGTTGAGCGGCGTGCCGCCAAACACGTACATGCACCGATCGTACACGACGGCGCTGTGCCCAGCGAGGCAAGGAGGCACTTGGCCGACGCCCGCCACATCCTTCCACCCCTGCGTCTTGAAGTCGTACACGTGAATCTGGACGTCGTTGTCCTCCGTACCAAACATCGTGGTGGACCGCCCCCCGAACACGAGCAGCCCCGTACCGTCCGGATGCAGCACCGTCGAGTGGAAGAAGCGCGTGAGGTGCGTCCCGCTCGTGCCCATGATCCGCCACCGTCCGTCCACCGTGCACGCCGCGAGTTTGGCCTGGATTTTCTGGCCCTCGTCCGCCAAGTACGCCTTGGGGGGGACGTCCGACCACGACGATGACGCCGCACGTCCGGCTTTGATTGGCTGCTTTTGCGCCTCGATCGCCAGCACATGCCAGTCGTCAAACGAACTGTCGTACAAGTGCAGGGCAGCGTACGCGCGTGCGCGGGCGTGCAGACATCGCACTACGTACGTGTTGGAGCACTGGGACACCATGAACGGGATCACGTGGTTGCAGTCGTCCACGACCTTGTGGAACCACTCGAGTTTGAGCGCGGCTTGGGCCCGATTCGAGTACAAGTTGTCGCCGTTGAGGACGATCTGGGGGTCCCGTTGGAGGGGCGGGGCCAGCGACGCCCGAAAGCTGTGGTACTCGTCCAGCACGGTCGAGTAGTGGGCGTACGCTTCACGGTACAGTCCCCTTTGGTAAAACCCATTGGCCGTCGCCTTCTTTGTCATGATATCGCGCATGCGACCGAGCGCCGCCACGTCCATGTGGTCATGGTTGTTGAGAACGCCATCGAATGCGTTGGTTTCGGCGGGGGAGCAACCGTGTCCAGTGTCCGTCTTGGCCGGCTTCTTCTTCTTCTTCTTCTTCTGCTTGGCCATGGCGTCCGATGGTTTCTGAACCCGCTCGACGCCCACCGCTTGCAAGTCGCTCAGAGCTGACACGTCTGTCACGGCGGGAAACGTCACAGATACCTCGCGCATGGTCAGAGGCAGCGAGAGGGTCTCCGGCAATGACAGCGTCGTCTCGAACGCGTAAAACTTGCGGTAGTCGCCAACGGGGGAGTGCGGCACGGCCAGCAGCAACCGATCCGTCAAGAGCGTCACGACAGTCCACATGGCCACTTGGAGGTACGCAATTTCTTCGAGCGTGGCCGACACTTGGCGCACGTCCAAGTCGGAGGTGCCGGGTTTGCGCTTGATGGAGATGCGGGTGAAGAGCGGCAGCACCGGCTGGGTGACGGGGTCTGAGTTGGTCGGGTCGGGTAGGGCGAGTGGGCGGCCAAGGCGGGCTTGGGCGTCGATGTAATCCAAGTCTTTCCACGAGCGGCAGCACTGGTCGGGCGGTTGGAACTCGGCTTTCACGACCGAGTAGCACCCTTGCGAGTTCATGTGCATAGTGCCCACGGACCAGTTCTCGTTCTGGACGTCGTCCCAGTGGGTGTGCACCATCACCGCGACGTCGCAGCACCCGGTGCCGCCCAGAATCTGGACGAACCTGAAAGGAGACCCGGCGACTTCCACGCGGAGTACGTGGTTGATGCGCATGTGCAGCCACGGCGTGGCGGCCCAGAAGCGGCTGGCCGTGTCGAACGCTGAATGCAAAATGGCATCTGTGACACCAGGAATCGCTTCCATGCCGGCGCACACGCACGGCCGCGCTGCCTCGCCGGAAAAGGGAGTGTTCATCTCGGTGCCGTCACATAGCGCGCAACGAGATGGAATGTTGGTCGCGAACTGGTCGGCGATCTCGGCAAACGCACGCGGGGTTTCCGAGTCGGGACGACCCACAATCGTGAGGTTGAGGCTGCCGGCGGCGGCGCCGAGACCTTCGCAGAGAAGGCCTTCGTACTTCAACGGACAAAACACCCGAGAATTGGGCGCGAGGGACGTGCGGAGCACTTCGAAGTCCGACGCGACCACTTGGCCTGAATGGATGATCGGTTCCACTTTGAGGATGATCGAGATGGGTGACAGCACGAGCAGTAGAGTGGGCGTTTGGTGGCGCGGTTGCTACGACAATCCCATAGCTCAGCGATAAGAGAGCCAAGTCAGGCAAGAACAGTACCTGGTATTCATCCACTGACGACACCCATTGACGCAGCCGGACCTATAATACAAGTGTCAATGCATGCGACTTGCATGTACCTCATGAGCGTCATCGCAACGTACAACATTGACCCAGCAGTCGTAGTCCGCTTCAAAGAGGTGGGACTCTGGCGCCTTGGACAGCGGGATGCGACGTTTCCTCGACATGACAATGACCGCGTCGCCTCCAGCCAGATATCACAATGATGATTCTTATTTCACCAAACAATTCCAGAATAATTATTCACCTTGGTAGGTTTATACGGTTCCGGATAAAACGAAATTATGAAACCATAATCAAATGCACTACGTGGCCTTGGTGCGGATGAGCGACTCAACTAGCCCTGCGAGCGCATCTCGGTCCTCCGTGGACGTGGCAATGTAGTCGTAGGACTTCGACTTGTCCGCACCGATGGACAAGCACAAGTTGTCGTCGATGTCAGAGGCAGCGTGCTTCTTGCTGAAGCCGGCCTTGCCCTTTGTCACTCGTGTGAAGGACGACACGGCTTGATGCGTGTAGTTGATGGACTTTAGCTTGCCGTCCCATTCATGCACGAGCATGTTCTTCTGGTCCTTGTCTAGTACGAGCACATGGGCTTTCAACTTGCCCAGCCACGAAAACTATCGTCAATAGGATGAGTACATACTCGGAACACATTTCAGTATGACAACACTACTGTATATACATGAGGTCGCACCGTTCGGACTTGGTATTCTCGCGTCAACCGAGTAGGTGATCCTGGAGCGCCTTCCGCACTTGCATCGGATGACAGGGAACTCACGCGCTACGGCACATACATGAGGAACAGCTCGGGCAGGTAGAATATCCTAGGCATAGGTCAACATACCCGCAACAACGGCGGACTGTCGGTGGTGTCGCTGACCCTGCGCTGATGCATCGCTTGGACTGGATCGTCGGTCAAACTAATTTGTTTCTGGAGGATTTCCAACGAGTGTTGCCTTGGCAGCGGCGCCATCGGAGGGCTCGACTTCGGGGATGACGGGGCTCCATGGGGAAGTATAAAGCGCAGCGTCTTGGCCGCTTTCCCCACATCTCTGAGGAACGCCGTGATGTCCATCAGAGACTTGGACCGAACGTCTACGCCATCGACGGCCACGAGCCGACTGCCCAATGCCACGCCTCCATGCAACTGGATAACGCCCACTCTGTCCGGTGAGGTTGGCACGGGCGCAAACCCTTGGACGATGGCGGCCTCGGCGACTGCGCTGTCGAATTCAAGACCAAGTGGGCCCGGAGGAACTGCCACGGCCACACACGATGTTGGCCACCCGATCGGCTCCGACGTCGTGAACGACAGCACTTTGCGATGTCCAGACAGCGCACGCAAGAGCTCGGTGGTCTTGGCGAGCGGTAAAGTGGTCACGTCAAAGCCGTCAACTGCCACGAGGACTGAACCAGGACGAATGCCACTGAATTCGTCGACGGCACTGCCAGGGGTGACCCCTTGCACGACTGTGCTCGACGCAATCGAGCTGTTCAAGGCCACGCCAATGGAACCTGGGGGGACGGACACGTCAATGAACGGCTGCGTGAGCACGGACGAGGATGTGCCGCCTCGAACGAACGTGAGTCGTTTCGGAACGTCTGTGAGTTTCTTGAGCAGGTCGATGGTTTGATGCAGCGGGAGGCGTGACACGTTCAGGTGGTTGACAGCCACAAGGACGCTGCCGGGACCGACCACGCCACTGCGTTCGAGAGCACCGGGGGATCCATTTACAGGGCGAAACCCGGACAACACGGTGCTGTTTGTACAGTTGCCATCGAAATCAACGCCGAGGGAGCCTGGGGCGACGTCCACCATGACCCGGAACGCCTTGGCGTGTAATGCTGCCATGTCATCCGATGTAACCAGTGCGATTGTCTTTGGCACCAACGTCAATTTGCCCAACAGCCCAAGCACGTCGTCGCGAGGGAACGAGCTCACGTCGATGCCGTTGACACTTGCCACGAAACGTCCTGGAAGGGTGTCACGATGAGGCTGATAGTATGATCGTTGAGCATCGGCGGGGGTGGCAAACCCCGTGATCAGGACATGTTTCCCCTCAGAGCTGTCCACATTCAAACCCAGGGACGAGTCTGCGATGATCACTTCGATGCTGGTGGGGCTATAGGGGGATGCTTGCTGCGAAGGTGTCGTCGCAAGCAGGGGGCTCTGAGTCCGGTAGCTGACAACTCGTTTTGGGAATGGTGTAGCGTTCCACACTGCCAGTGCCTTCGTGGCGTCTAATGTCGTGAGGTCGACCTCATTGACAGCCACCACGACGTCACCCACACGCAGTTCATCGACAGAAGCGACTCTCGTCACTGTCAAGTGCTCCAGTTGGACACTAGACCCAGTTGGAACTTCCACTTGAACCAACGCGGTGCACGTGGGCGGTGCCATGCTGTAAAACTCGATGGATTTCTTCTGGTCTTTAAGCTGGCCAAGTAGCGCGACCACCGCCTCGCGGGATTTAGTGGACACATCCTGGTCGTTGATTCGAATGACGCGACTCCCACAATGGACCCCTGCGTGTCCCTTTAACGGACTCGTGTCGAGGACAGTGTCCACGATGGCGCAATAACCGATGGACTGATGAAGATGCAACCCTAACGGACCAGGCGACACCTCCACTTGGACAATTTTGCCCACGTCATACGGGCCTCGCACAAGGCTAGACGGAGTTCGTGAAAATACGAGGTCCCGTGGCTTGTCGTGGGTGGCAAGAAGAAGTGAAATCACCTACCGGATTTCGGATTGGGTTGTACCCCATTCAAGACTATAGGGAACTCTACCTCGCTCAACGACTGATGTTCCAGCGTTTGTCCATTCAGCTCGATCAGGCGGTCGCCAGTCCGGACCAAGTCTTGGTGAACGTGCATGGTCCCTCGAACGGCTTCAAACTGACCAACATAAACTCCCCCCGCAGCAGCATTTTCTACCAGCCCAATGCCCAACTTGCCAGGAGCGACCTGAACGCGCGTGAATTGACGCCCCAATGAATCAACTGTGGGTGCCATCGCGATGAAATTCCCTTGTGGGGGACACGTGGAGGGGGAACTGGTATATTTAGCCGGTACAATGACACCATGTGAAACTGAATGTAACTGTCGAAGGTCATCCAGCATGGGCCGCAAAGCCGCCACAACGGGGGCTGAGGCCACGATCGAATGCCGAAAGTGTCGTGCAGCCTGTCCCCCCAGCTTTAAATTCTGCGACCAGTGCGGCCAAAAGCTGCACGTGAAAAAGTCCACCAAGCGAACCAAGCCACATCTCGCTCAACACAAACTTGACCTCCAAACTACTTTGAATGCTCCAGAATCGTCGAATGGGACCCAAGCCTGGTTCTGGGGCAGTCAAGCACTACCTAGCGTCAAAGTTCCAGCGAAGCCAATCCACGAGCACGAGCTAAACGAGAATCAACAAGAAGATATCAACAACCCTCCGCCTCGAGCAAGAAATCACCGGAAGTCGTATAAGCGACCCCGAGAAGCCACGTTGTTGCCACTACTCCAGTCGTCTGCAGCTTCTGTTGATGCATGGTCCGCTCCCAAAGTGACGTTATCAACAGCCCCCCAAGTCAACTTAATTTGGGGGCAAACATTCGAAAAAGCATCGGCAGAACTCGAGGCGAAAGAAGCGATGCTGGCAGCCGAAATCGCCGCAAACGCCCAAATTCTCGCACACATGGAAGCTCAAGCCCAAGCCCACGCCTTTCAAGACGACGACGTATTCAAGTTTGCATGCAAATCGAAACGAGACCTCGAGCGCGCCCTGGCGCTAGACAAAGCCGCCCTTTCTCGCGTCCGAGGCCAGTTGGTCCAACTCGGTCTTAATGAAACCGCGGTTAACCACACGAAATTGCACATCCAACGCCTTGAGGGCATCGAGGAACTCGCTCGTGCACGTCGACTCGCTGCAGCCAGTCGGGTTCAGGCGTGGTACCGTCGGCAACGCCAGCGCCAGATGATGCGGGGTCGGCTGCGAATGAAAATCTGTCGCGGGTACCTCCGCTACCGCTACGTGAAGCGCGCCCACGACGTTTTTCCGGGGCAATTTTTCTACTTTTACGACCGCAAAGTCATAGACTCACACGCGTGCTTGGAATTCGTGGGCGATTTCAGTCGAGGCGTGTACAGCCAGCCATTTCCGGTACATTTTAGTCCACATCCCGTGCACCACCTCGGCGCGTGCGCCACATGCATCCAGAGATGGTACCGCGGCATCAAAGCCAAGTGGCGGCGTGTACTTGAGGCCATTCAGCGGATGGTGCTGGACAAAGCCAGGGCAGTGGCGTTGCAGCGGAATGCCGCCGCGACCAAACTGCAGGGGCTCTTTCGGTCTCGACAAGCCAAGCGACGGCTGCAATTGCTCGTGTCGTCCACATTTAAAGAATGCGTCGACCCGGCTACGAATATGACGTTTTACTACAATGCGAAAACACAAGTGAGTCAATGGACGCGGCCAAAGCTGTGGAAACCAGCTGCTGCAGCTAACACCACAAAGCCACGACGGCCGAAACTGAACCTGAACGACATGGACACGCCTCGTCGAGTGCAATTGTGTGCTGTGAAAATCCAAGGACTGTTTCGAACGAACCTGGCGACGAAAAAGCTCAAGCTGCTTGTCGCGCAAACATATCAAAAGGTCCTGGACCCAGACACCAACCAGTGGTACTACTACAACGCGAAGACGAACGCCAGTCAGTGGGCTAAGCCTGCATTGTTGGGAACTGGCGACATGATTCATCACGCGTCCTCCTCGACATTAAAGGAACCCCGACGACTGGCAACCAAAACAAGTCCGTACGATGGCCTCCTTCCCACGGCTCGACGGAAGGACGTTGCCGCCGTGAAAATCCAAGGGCTCTTCCGCACTCGCAACGCCCGCCGCCACCTCCGCCACTTGATCGCGCAAACGTATCGAAAAGTGTTTGACGCTGACGCCAACATGTGCTACTATTACAATGCCAAGACTGGGGAGAGTCACTGGACCAAGCCAACATTACTCGGTGCCGCCGACGTCCCTGAACCTATTGCCTCCGTGTCAAACGTCACCACCGCCCTCCCTTCAACTGCCTTGAACACCTTACCAACCCCTCGCCGAATTGAAGTCGCCGCCACTAAAATCCAAGGGCTGTTTCGAACACGCAACGCCAGACGCCGCCTTCGCCATCTCATCGCTCAAACGTACCAAAAGGTGCTCGACGTCGACTCCCAGCAATTTTACTACTTTAACACCAAGACTGGCGAGAGTCAATGGGGTAAGCCTATCTTGCTTGGCACTGGCGACATGGAAGAGTTGGTCCCGCCGCCCCAGAATACCCCCCGCCCCCGAGTCAGTCAACAACGTTCCCCCAAGCTGACAACATTATCAACTCCTCGCCGAGTTGAAGTCGCCGCCACTAAAATCCAAGGGCTATATCGCACACGCAATGCCAGATGCCGCCTTCGCCATCTCATCGCTCAAACTTATCAACGGGTGCTGGATACCGACTCGCAGCAGTTTTACTACTACAACACCAAGACTGGCGAAAGTCAGTGGGTCAAGCCAGTGCTCCTGGGCACAAGCGACCTCGTTGATGAGACACAGGTGCGTTACCCAACGAATCCCCGCAAACGAGGGGGCGACCCGAGGGCCTTCCTCGTCGGCCTCAACCCCGTCCAGCAACTCCAAGCTGCCGCTACGAAATTGCAAGGTCTGTTTCGAGCTCGACTCGCTCGACGTCGACTGGTCGGCTTGATCGCTTCCACATATCACAAGTTTGTGGACGAGGAATCGCAAGCCAGCTATTATTACAATGTCAAAACCGGTGAAAGTTCGTGGGTCAAGCCAGCACTGCTCCGGTCCGACACTCTGCCACGTCAATAGTAACCACTACTAATGTAAGTTAGCCCAAGTACTACGTAGTAAGCCTGTTAAACTCCAAACTACGGGAGCTATGGTGCACGCCACCTATAAACTACCAACTTTTTACAAAATTTTCTGACTCCTATTTCATACTAGTATTCATTACTCAAAATTTCAGCAAATTGAGACGTAGAATCAATGTGGTGAAGAAATTCTACGTCTCCGATTCAAATTTGGTGATGAATAGATATTTACTGTTAACCTATTGTGTGAAATTTCGTGTTATGGCGTGGTTTCTCGTTGGAATTTTAATCGATTTGATTGGCTACCTCAGATGAGCTCAAAATTATTAGCCAATCAAAACCTTCTCAATGAAATTCAACCAATCAGATCGATTGTGGATCGGTTTGGTCGGCGCGATTCGATTGCACGCACCCCCTCCCCAAATTTGTATAAAAAATCGACAATAACGTTAGCGGTACTTTACAGGGGCTTGGCCATAGGTGGGCCGCTGAGATGTATCTTGATTTTTGTATGTGACTCTTATCCGTATATATTATCCGGAGGCAGTTGGGACCTTTAACCTCCCATATTGCAGTGATAAAACGCATGAAATCGGTATTTAACGTATTTGGGTTTTGGGTTTAACTATATTAATTGTAAGTTAAATAATAAAACCAACACTCTTCGATTTGGCCATTTGGAAATTTTATTAGATGACGTGGGTACACATCCAACTACTAGTATTAAAATAACTGGATACCACAAGGATGGAGTCTACGATCCAACGACACTGACGTTTGGGGGTGTGTTGATTTAATTTCTTTATATCGCGGTACGTGGTCGACATACATGGACGGCGTTGGTACTTAACGCGACACCCAGTACGAGCGGCGACGGATAAAGTTGTAGTCGGGCAACTCGTGGATGGGACCCACGGCGGCCAGCGCATGTTCCTTGTCGTTGATCACGTCGTCAGCAGTCTTGCGAACCGCGGCGGCGTCGACGGCGTCGATGCGCGCAAAGATCTCGGCGGGCGTCAAGCGGCGTCCGTACACCAACAGCTGGCGGCCAATGTCTTCGCAGACGGGGGAGGACCCGTCCAACTGCATGAGGATCGACGCCTTGAGCTGGGTCTTGGCGCGCTCGACTTCGTCGTCCGTGGTCTTGTGCACGAGGCGGACCAACGCTTCCATCACGTACCACGTCAAGTCGTTCAGCTTGTACTTGTCCGCGACGGCATACACGCCGAAGATGCCCGTGTCTTGGTAAGACGTGTTGAACGTCATGAACGAGTGCGCCAGCTCCTGCTCGGCCACCACTTGGCTCAACTTGGACGACGCGTTCAGGCCCGCGCTCGACGTGCGGTCCCAGCTGCCAAGCAAGGTTTGCATGACCAACAACGGGAACGAGTTCTCCGAGGTCCATCCGTACGATTCAAAGCCAATGGCCACGTGAGCCAACGGAAGGTCGTCGTCCTAGTGAAGACATGTATAAGTACATGGAGGAATCGGCGCGGTTGCATGACGTACACGAATGCGAATGTCTGACCCGACAAACTTGACGGGTTCGAACGCAGGCACGGGCACTCGGGGTTCCGTCGGCAAGTTACCGAACGAATGCTGCGCCAAGTCGACCAACTGTTGGTGGTCGACGGCACCGGCACCGGCAATCACCATGCGGGGCGCGGTGTAGTGGGTGGCGATGTAGTCTTGGAGGTCGCCCTTGGACAAGCTGCGCACGTTGGCTTCCGAGCCCAAGATGGTGCGACCGAGGCCGTTGCCGAGGAACGCGGTTTCGTGAAGGCGGTCGAAGATCACTTCTTCTTGTTGCTTGTTCACTTCCTCCATTTCGCGAAGAATGACGTCGCGTTCACGCTCGATGGCGGCTTCGTCGAGCTTGGAGTTTTGCAAGATGTCCGACAAGATGTCCAACGCTTGAGGCACGTCCTTCTTGAACACCTTGGCGTAGTACACGGTTTGCTCGCGCGAAGTATACGCATTCAAGTGGCCGCCCATGTTTTCAATCTCGACTTCCAACTGTTGCTGGGTGCGCTTGGCCGTGCCCTTGAAGGCCATGTGTTCCAAGAAGTGTGCGGCACCGTTATTGGCTTCCGTCTCGTAGCGGGAACCGGCACCAATCCACACGCCGACCGTGGCAGTTTCACCGTGGCCGCCTTCCGACGCCACGCGCAAGCCGTTGGCCAACGTCGTGACTTCCGTCGCGGGCGCGTTCAAGACGTACGCGGGGAACGAGGAAGAAGGAGCCGCCTTGGAAGCATAGCTTCGCGACAATCGTTGAATGCTCTTCGACAACATGAGGCGGCGAAGGAATTGACTGTCCCCAAAACGAAATGCTGTGTGGGACCGAAGTGCTTCATTAGTGGTGGGGAAAGTGCCCAATTCGGATTGGCTCCTTCGCGTCCTTTTTATCCAATCCAGTTGCACGATTGAGCCACCTCATCCGGATCCGGTTAGAAGCAGCCAATCCCACTCCGAGGCGTGTGTTGTTTTTTTACCAATCACAAGCTATTGAATCTGAAACCGATCTTTCGACGAGCCGACACAGCTCGAAGGAGAAGTCAAGTCCTCGACGACGGCGCAACATCAGCATGCCCATCTCGTATGCAATGATCGCCCGGGACCTGGCTGTGCTATGCGAATACACAGACGAGCCGGTCGACACGGAACCGGCAAAGTTTGCGCATGCCGTGCTCCGCGACATCGTCGACAAGGCACATCCGACCGAGACCCGCAACGTGTTTACGATGGGCAAGCGCGTGTACTACTACTACTTGTTTGATGGTCTGACGTACATTTGCATGTGCGACGAAACGTTCCAGCGCGAAGCTGCGTATGCGATGCTGGAAGAGACCAAGAACGAGTTTCTGTCTCGAAGTGGTCACCGGAGCAAGACGCCCAAGGACTTTGCATCGTACTTGCATGCCATCATGACCAAGTACGAGAACGTCAAGATACGAACCAAGATTGACGTGGTAAGTGTTCATGTACAGCAGCAGCACTGCCTGCCGCGACTGCAATGCAATTACCCACACCATATTATATAGGTCACGGATCAAGTGAAAGAAGTAAAAAACAAGATGGCCGACAGTTTACATCGGGTACATACCGCGACTCTCTCTACATGCAAAAGAACATCCCAAACCCACGAAACGCCCGATTCTGCATTAGTTACTCGAGCGCGGCGTCAAGATGAACGACCTTGTGACCAAGACCGAGAAGCTGCACCACGACGCCCTCGTGTTCCAGCAAAGTTCCACCAAGCTCAAGAACGTTCTGTGGTGGAAAAACATCAAGTACCAGCTTCTGGCGCTGGTGCTGTTTGCAGTACTCATGTGGATCGGCGCTAGTTGGATCTGTGGGTGGGATATGAGTTCATGTAGCAGCGGCAGCAACACGCGCAACATTCCCATGATCCGAGACATCTCGCACTCCGTGTCCAGCGGGATTGACTCGGCCCAGCACGGAATTGAAAGCACCGTCGATTCGGCGCAACAACAACAAGTTGGAAGCACGATCGACAAGGCCAAGGGGGTGGCCGCCGACGCATTGCACCGATAAATATGAATGTCACACATGAACATGTCGTAACTAGTTAGTACCGAAACTCCACATTGACCTACTTCGCAGTATCCTCCCAAGTGCCATTACCAGTAGCTGCAGTGAGTGTAGGTCGAGGAAGCCACGTCACCATTCGTGACTTACGTCCGAACCAACATTAGACTGTGATGACATGGTTGATCTAAAGGCCACTGATATGAGGCCTATGTGATCCATACTTGTAAGTGTTCATTTGATTGAAGATGAAACCCACTGCAAAGACGTTCTCGGAGACGGGGAAATCATATTACGCACGATTAAAGCGATATGCGCAGCAGAGAGACTGGCCTGCACGTCCTAAATGTCGCCAGAGTCGGCGGTTTGGGCGCCAACTTCCTTGAGCAAGGCTTCGGTTTCCGCCGCCGTGAGCAAGCGGTGGACCAACTTGCCCTGTTCGTTGCGGGTCAACGTGGAAAACTCGAGCTTTTCTGCGGTGGGGGTCGTCGTGTCCATGGTCTTGGCCATGACCTTGACTGAGAACTTAAGCGCTTCTTCAACCGACAAGTCTTCCTGATAGTCGGATTTGAGCAGGTTCTTCGCCGCGCGGTTGTTGGCGCCAATCGCCGTCGCCTTCCATCCGCCGTAGTTACCGCTCGGGTCACTGTGATACAATTGAAAGCCAAAGTGGCGATCCCACCCAGCATACAAGAACGACACGCCGAACGGACGCTGGCCGCCGAATTGGGTGTACGCTTGCTTGTAGTTGCAGATTGTTTGGACCAGTTGCTCACAAGGTTGATGTTCTTGGTACGACAGCTGGTATCGCTGCGCAGTCAGACGCGCGTAGTTGACCAGGATGTTGGCATCCGACGTGAGCCCTACATGGTGGCGCTGGTGATTCAAATGCATCGTCATGGAATAAGGTACCCGCGACGGCACAGATGATGTGATCGTCCAACTTCATTGTTTTTTCACTAGTCTTGACAGGCGCAAGCAGCTTGGAGACGGTCTTCTTTTCAGCTACGCAGAATGTCAGGGTACATTGCCCCCACAGGATCCAGTCATGCGGTCAACGAACCAGCGATCACGATGCCATCCTTTGCGAGGATCCCGACAGCGGACCCAGCGTTGTTGATAGCTTCCATAGCATATTCGACTTGGAAGAGTCGTCCTTCGGGGGAGAAGGTCGTTGTGCGGCCATCGTATCGTCGAGACATCTTCCTTCTTCTTTCCTTGAAACTCTGAGGCTCAAAATGGCACGTTGGATATAACCAGGTATTTTCCTAAAGGGGGGATTTACCAAATGAAAAAGGCCTAATTTCAAACTCGAAATTCGGAAGATCTCAACCGGTTTTATCCGGAGGAGAGCATTCACTTCCAAACAAGGTTATCCGTATACTAGTACTACGTAGTACATATGTATAACCGTTATCCGGACGATTTACCTGTCAGTCATACTATAATAACGCTAATAGCACCAATTTAACGTAAATTTTGCACTGCGAATCCACACGAATTTTCCAATACAATTTCCCTGAAAATAATTCGGGGAATATCTTGTTGGAAGGTGCTTTTGCTACAGGAAAAAATCACATTTAAGCTGAACTACCGCTGTGTTTGTTGTTGTGGCACTTTGGTGCCGACCATGCCATTCATCCACGAAGCGTAATTTACAGTATTAGCAAGTGTTTTGATTGGCAACTGTGTGTGAAAAGGTACAGTAGGTACATAAGAAGATATGCATCAAGAAATTCCCAATATAATCAGATCAAAAGGCTCCATTATGATTATGAAACTTTACAGGAAATATCACGTAGCAAAATTAACGTTAGTGATTTTGAGAAGGTCAGTAAATTGCCGGGGAACTGGCAGTTTTCAAACACAAGGTTCACATGTGACGTATTTACAATCAGAAACACTTGATGTAGTCGACCGACTTCAAATGGAAAATATATAGAATCTCGTTACACGATTATGGTTTATACCAACAGCACGGCATTGATACACCCGTCGTTTTCGGGGTTGTTGGTCACCTGTGCAAACTTCCCCCACACGACTTTGCCTGTGGTGGTGACAAGGCCCAATTCGCTCACGTTCACTTCGATGATCGTCCCCTTGGTCATAACACCCAGCTGCGTGTACAGCGGCGATGACGGGTTCTTCTTGACGCCCAAAATGTCCAGCTGGAACGTCGTCTTCAGTTCGGGGTGGGTCACGTGCGCCTTCTTGAAGCGCATGGCGGCTGGCCGGATGAAGCGTTCGTATTTGGGCGGCTTGCGTGTGAAGTTTTCGCCGACGAACGTCGCTTTGGTGATCATGCGCTTCCACGCCTTGTTGCGACGCTTGCCCGATCGCAACACTTTGAACATTTCGTCATCGGCAATCGGCTTGACTTTCGGGATCGGGACGTCCCACTTGCCCGCCTTCTCCTTTCGCTTTTGCTTGACTGTGTTACTGAGTACCTTGGCACGACTCACGCCCTCGCGGTCCAACAAGTATGACGGCACGGCGCCGTCGGGGATGTTGTCGTCGTTCGCGTGTTTGTTGGTACGTTCGTTGTGCATGGCCAACGTCTTCTTCATCGCGGCCTTTTCCTTGAATCGCTTCTGGTTGTACAACTTGGCGCGCAACCCGTGGACCTTTTGCGCAAACGCAGATCGTCGATGGACTTCACGCGCTTCCTTCTTGCGCGCGCGTTCATGGTGATCGTACCGCACACCATGGCGCTTCTTGTGCATTTCCATATGCTCATGTTGAGGCATGTTGTCTCGGCAGCTTTAGCGACGAAGGTGACGGCGGCGGTGGTGGTTCCCCCCAACAGAAACTAATATAGATGGCCTTCTGATTGGCAACCAATGAGTGGAAGCACACCCACCAACCAATAAAAATGACCCTGCCAACCATCGAGCTCACTCTATTTCCAGGCTACTGGTTTGGAAATAGTGTGAGACGAGTCCGGATACTTAACCGTATAAGTTGAAGCACAACCGGTTTTGGCCAATCAGATCCCTGGGTTGGCCGAAATCATCGTTTTCTCACAGATCTTTTTGACATCGCCACCTGCCATGATGAAGCGAGAAATGATGGATGCCATCCTGATGCCTCTATGGGCCACGGGTGTCTTGGCGGCAGTTCGAGCTGCGTACGGTATGTGTCTACCCACCCCACATGACGTCATGATGACGTATATGAAGAGTCTGCCTGGTTCCACAACAACGTGGTCGCTGTGTACGGAACGGATGCAATCTACCCGTCGTCATTGGCGCTGGCCTTTGTCGTGTTTTGGACACATTCCGCCATCATGATGGTGATAGATTTCACCAAACCTGGTACGATAGTCGTAGTTTCCGACAGTCAATCTCACAGTTGCCATCGATAGCGTGGGCCCAAAAGTACAAAGTGCAAGCGGTAAATGCAATATGCTTGTTGCCGAGGCTGACTTCCCTGTTGCCCTTAGGACAAGTTTGTGTCGGGTGAAATGACTTGGAAAGCCGTCAAAGTGGCCTTGTTCAATCTGCTGGTTGTGTCCCTCCCCATGTCGATCATCCTCTTCAAACTCGTCCTGCCATGGCGAGGCGTGTCGCCGCAGAGTCCGCTTCCATCGTGGTACACTACTCCAAACCGTTTCACTCCATCGTTTTCTCAATGAAAAGTCGACCTAGGGGAGCGGTCGTCGTTGAATTCTGTACCTACATCGTCGTCGAAGAAGTGCTCTTTTACTACTCCCATCGGCTATTCGTACAGTCGTGCCCGACATCTCCAGTGTATGGTTTTCCATCATGACACTGTGTAGCACACCAAGCCTTTCTACGCCGCGTATCACAAGAAACACCACGAGTTCACGGCGCCCGTGGGCGTGGCCGCCATCTACTGCACCCCCATGGAGATGGCCCTGTCGAACGTGTTGCCTCTCATGGCGGGTACGTCATTCGCGGGTACAATGATTCCATTACACGGCGATGACGTAGGACCGGCAATGATGGGCTCCCACGTCACAACGTCCACCGCGTGGTTTTGTGTGGCGCTGATCAACACGGTGCAAACCCATTCTGGCTACGACTTTCCCTTTATGGCGTGCCCCAAAGCCCACGACTTTCACCATGAAACGTTCAGCGAAAACTTTGGGTGCTTCTTCTTCATGACGAGATTTATTCTTTGCTGACAACTCACGATGGAGTTAGGGTGCTGGGGGTGCTCGATGCAGTGCACCACACCAACACAAAGTACATGGCGCGAATGGCTGCCGACGATCAAGCTCAGCGATTGAAAATGCAGCGCAAGGAAGCATGAACTTAGCTCGACGGACTTCCGCCACCACTGATAAGTAGCCCCTGAACTTCTAAAAGTTGTGGCATGTCTTCTACTGTATCCATACAATCCTCACAGCCAGCTGGGAATATCCTAGCGGCAACCATATTGGAAGGAAGGATATGTGGATGTAGCGCCGACCGCCATGTTCCACTTGATGGGGGTGGACATCCATCCCCATGCACACTGCATAACCAGCTGTGCTACCAACTCCTTTGAATCTGTTGTGGATCACTGGGACTTACGTTCGACGTTTCTCGGTCATGATTGCCGACGGTGTGCAACGGCGACCCGTCTTGTACATGTAACTTAAGTGCAAAGTCGTGATTCTTCCAATAATAATATGTTGCGGGGAACTATTTCTTGGCGTTTACTTCTTTTCGTACTTTTGGAGCAGGCCAACGTAGGCCAAGCCACTGTCTGCGCACGCGGCCAGCAGCGCGTACTTGCCTCCTTCCTTGACCAGCTTGTTCGAGCCCGTGTTCACCAGGCGGCTGCCCGTGGCCCCAAACGGATGGCCCAGTGCCAACGACCCTCCCCACGTGTTGAGTTTGTCGTGGTTGACCTTGCCCACGGCGTCACTACAAACCGCAAAGTGAACCAAAACGAATATATAAGGGGCCATTTGGAAGATAGACACATCTCGCACCTCCATCCAAACTCTTGCTTGCAGAAGTCGGCGTCGGCCAACGCGTTCAAGTTGGCCAGCACTTGGCCGGCAAACGCTTCGTGGATGTCAAAGTGGTCAATGTCGTTCAGCGTGAGGTTGTTCTTCTTGAGGATCTGGGCAATGCCGTAGGCTGGCCCGAGGAGCAGCAGCTCGAACGGGTCCACGCCGACAAACACAGAGTCCACCAAGACACTCTTGGGCGTGTAGCCCAGCTCCAGCGCCTTCGACTCGGACATGAGCAAGGTCGCGGCGCTTCCATCGGTCAAGAAGGACGAGTTGGCCGCCGTGTGCGTGCCGTGGGGCTTGATGAACGCCGGCTTCAACGACGACACCTACATCAGCATGCATGAGATAATTTGGCGATGGAGGAAAGATTTCTGGCGCACCTTTTCGTAGTTGCTGTCGGGGTTGATGCCGTTTTCGAGCGTCGTGCCCTTGTACGGAATGATCTCGCCGTCGTACTTGCCCTCTGCATGCGCCTTGGCGGCATTCTTGTGGCTCTTGATGGAGAATTCGTCCATTTCCTTTCGGGTGACGCCAAATCGGGCAGACAGACGGTCCGACGAGTTGCCCATGACTTCGTTCGTGTGGAAGTTCTTGATTGCCGGAGCTTCGGGCGCCAAATCACTCAGCTTCAAGCCGGAAAGCAACTTCAAAATGCCCAACGGACCAGCCTTCAAGGCCTTCGCAGAGTTGATCAAACGCTTGCGAATGGGGCGGGAAAAGCGAATGGGGACGTCCGAAAACGTCTCGACGCCGCCGGCCAGCACAATATCGGCGTTACCCGCAAGGATCTTTTCCGCCCCCGTGGCAATGGCTTGGCTGGACGAGATGCATGCTTGGGTGACCGTGTGAGCAGGGATATTCTTCGGGATCCCAGCACCCAACGCAGCTTCACGAGCAATGTTGCTCGTGCGCACTTCTTGGATGACGGTCCCACACAGAACGTAGTCGATCTTGGCGGGATCGATCGCGGTCTTGACGAGGAGCCCCTTGATGGCATCGCGCATCAAGTCGTATGCCATCAGGTCGCTGTAGACGGTGCCGGACTTGTGGAACGGCAAGCGAATGCCATCGACCACGACGACGCGGCGGGAGCTAAAGCCACGGGTAATGCTGCGGTACATGGTGGGTGGAGCGGAAGAAGCAATTGTGTGGTGCTTCTGCGATCTTTTCGGTTTTCGGTCAAAACCCTGTTTCGTCAACTTGAAGTCCTGATGCTCGTTTAAATGCGAGTCGTCGATTAGACTACATATTTGTATGGACTCTGTTAAGTTCGTCGACGAAACACCTTTTGGGCAAAACTGTACAACGACACCATGAGGAGAAGCCACATGGGATACGAGTCGCGGTGATCAAGCTCAAGTCGACCAAAGCTAGAGTATGTACAGACTACCACGTAATAAGCTTTATCGTTGTATGGTGTACAGCTGTACCTATGGCGGTGCTACGACTCCTCTTATCATCCCAACATTAGGAACTGGAGAGCAGCTACTGTAACAAGTGCACACTGCACATTGCAAACCCAGTATTGTAAGTAGTAGGTATTTAGTATTGGATGATACTTTACGTAGAAGCTAGCTCCTTGATCCGATTGCAGAGGTTGGTCTTATCAGGCGGCACTGGACCCGATGAACGCCTCCAAGTCTTCGATGGACTTGGGGACGCGGCTGGTCAAGATTTCAATGCCTGTGTCCGTGATCTACACAATCGCATCCATCAGGTATATATATACCACTCTACAGTAGTCCGTCCATACCAGCACATCGTCTTCGATGCGGATGCCGATGCCTCGGAACTCGACTGGCACGGTCATGTCGTTCTTGGGCAGGTAGATGCCAGGTTCCACGGTCACGACCATGCCTGGCCGCAGGGGCGACGATCGAGGGAACCGAGGGGTGTCGTGGACGTCCATGCCGAGGTAGTGGCTCAAGTGCGTGGGGTTGTACATTCGGAAGAGGCGGCTGAACTCGGGCGTGTTGAGGCCGACGGTCGCGGGGATGATCCCGACGTCCTTCATGCCCTGGCCCAGCAGCCCCACGGAGTAATGGTGCAGCTCGTCCAGCGACAGCGACGTCTTGCATTCCATCGCCACGTGCAGGCGCTATACAAAACTACTTTTTAACACAAACAACATAGACGTTACAGGCCATAAATCAACGAACCTCCAAACAACGCAACTGGACGTCCAACACCAGCGTGTACAAGGCTTTCTGGGGCCCGGTGAACTGTCCGTCGATGGGCCACGTGCGCGTGATGTCGCTGACGTAGTTGCCCGTGATTTCACAGCCAGAGTCCATGAGCACAAGCTCCTCCTTCTGCAACATGCTGCGCTTCGACAGGTAGTGGATCACAGATCCGTTGGCACCGGCCCCCACCACACACGGAAACGAATTACGTGGCGCACCCCTGGCTCTGCATTTGGCTTCGAAGTGGCCAGCCAGTGCCAACTCCAACTGCCCCGGCGCACACGACGCCATCACGGATCGAAAGGCGTCCGACCCAATCGCCGTCGCCTCCCGGATCTTGACCACTTCGGCCGGCGACTTGATCACCCGCAGCGAGTCCAAGTGCGCGTCCGCCATCTGGAACTGGTGGGTTTGGGCGATGCTCCGAGTGGCTTGCAGGAACCGCGGCGGGTATTTGCCTTGCACGGGGGCGGTAAGGCACAGATGCGTGTCGGGCGCGATCATCGACAGCAGCTTGGACTCGAACTCGTCCAGGGTGTACGCGGCGTCGGCGAGAAATTGAGACTTGGCCGTGTGGATGTCGGTCCGCGGGCCGTCCCACTGCTCGCTGCACGCAACATGAGGAAAGGACCCATGGAAGTTAATCCTACCTATGGGCATCGCGAGGACGAACGAACAGAATGTACTCGGACGTGGCGTCGGCGTTCTTCTTGAGCACGGCCACGGCCTCCGGCTCGTCGAGCCCCGTGAGGTACAAGAAGTGCGAGTCTTGTCGGAAGTCGTACGGAATGTCGTGAGACGAGTACTTCTCCTCTGCGGCATTCAGCTAGTGTGTGCACGCTGATGTCAACACAGGGTAGAACAAACAGCAACAGCAGCACGTACAATGAGAATCGAATTCGCCGGCAACAACTTCACCGCCTGCTCACGACGTTGCTGAAACTCGGATGCTTGGATCCCTGGCACAAGTTCGTTCGCTTTGAGCACAAACGGATTGTGAGGTGTGGTGTACTGTCGCATGCGGGTTGGAGGTAGCCCTCGCGACAACGCAGCTCCATGCGTGAGCTTCCGAAGGCCGATGGTGGTCAACCGATGCATCTGTGTTGTCAGCAGGCAAATATATGCTCATTGGCAGCATCGTATAAAGTTTGACGGTTCGACTGGGAAGGTTTTTTCATGTTTTAGGGTATTTTACTGTTAATAGAACAAACCAGCACGGTTTTACCTTAAACGTGATTTCGTTCAGTGAAGCCCAAGCAAAGCCCATGGCGATCTGCTACTATTGCAAAGATATTTAAACTTGGGGTTTGTATGGTGGACAACTCGGCGTGAGTTGCGTTCTAGGCCAGCCTCTCTCATCTCGTCCTAGCGCTCACTCAGATCACAACTGAATGCAGAAACAACGGCTTCGACGTAGCATCAGCGCCCGTGAAAGGCCGCCTATGATTGACGTTAGGGTCGCGTCGCCGTTCCTGGCTGTATCGAAATCGTCTCGATCGGCCAAGGCGTTGGTGCAGCATGCCCAGGCTCTCCAGAGAGTATCCCAGGACAGCGACGCACGACACGAATCCACGGATGGCGGCGCTGCATACATCAGTCAGAATCCGGTGCCACCGCCAGAACAGCCAGCTGGAGCCATGGTCGACTTGGTCGTAGATGAAATTTGCTCGACGGAAGCCACGTACGTGAAAAACCTCGGCATACTCGTCGAGTCGTTCGTGAAGCCACTACAAGACGACAAACACGATATGATGGCCAACACGGCCGTGGCCGTACGACACCGATCCACGCGAATGTCTGCCGTTCGTTGGCTAAACCTTAACTAACGTAGGTCTTCTTCAGCACCCTCGAAGAACTCGTGAAACTCAACTCGACATTTCTGGAAGAGCTCATGCAAGTGACGATCCAGGAAGAGCCAGGCCACGACGCCACCGAGCGCATTGGCGTACTCTTCAACCAGTTCATTCCGCTCTTCACGTCGTTCTACTCGGACTACGCCAAGTTCTTTGACGACTTCACGCCGCTGTTGCGCGATTTCAAGACCCAGTCCAAGCGCCTCTCGACCTTTCTCGACGTACCAGACGTCTTGTCCAGTTCCTATGCTTGATATTGGGTCTATCGATGTAGCAATGCCAGCGAAAGTGCAACTCGAGTCAATCGTTTGAGAGCTTGCTCATTTTGCCAATCCAGCGGATCCCGCGGTACAATCTGCTGCTCAAGGTACACGTGCCGTCACCATCATGTTAGCATGGTCCAAAGGTCTTGCTTTCTTTGTAGCGAGTTGTCGAACACACGCAAAGTGGCCATCCGTACCTGGCCTCCCTTCGACAGGTACTCAATTGAACCAACGAGTGATCTGTGACAACGTTATGAGGTCAGACTGTGCATGCGATGGGGGAAGCGGCGCAGCGCATGGACGAAACATTGCGACAGAAGGAGCAGACGGAGATCGTGCTCTCGATCCAAGCCCAATTCGCAGGCCAAGTGTCGTTGTTTGCACTCAACCGGCGCTTTGTGCGGTCTGGAATGCTCGTCAAGGTAGTAGTACTACGACCAACACGACCATAATATATATATATATATATATATTCATGCGATGGTGTGTAGATGTCCACCAAGCGCAAAGACAAGGTCATGGTCCACATGTTCAATGACATGCTCCTGTACAGCGACGTGGTGTCGGCTGACACTTTCCACGCGCGCCGCGTGGTGGACTTCCGCTCCAGCGCATGTCGGGTGGATGAGACGGTTCCGTCGTCGTATGTGAACCTGTTTGGCGCGGATGCCCTCGAGTGTGGCTTCATGGTGGGTTGAGTTGGTTTCTATATGGATTATCCTACGCAGCAGCTCCCTTGAGTGTGTTTGTATGGGGTAGATGATCAGCGCGGAAAAGTCTTTTGTGTTGTTTGCGGCAACGGTGCAGGACAAGCAGGCGTGGGTGTCTGCCATCGGCAGTCTGATCGCACACACCCAAGCCACGACGACGTCGCCAGCCGTGGACAACGCCGCAGCGGTCGTGTGGATCCCGGACAGTGTCGCAGAAGAATGCAGTCAGTGCGGGAAGCCGTTCCGACTGCTCTGGCGCCGCCACCATTGCCGGTACTGAGCACGACGTTTCTGAGCATGTGACGACGTTTCGATTGAGAGCGTAGACGATGTGGGTTTGTCGTGTGTGGCCACTGTTCCGAACATCGATCCATCTTGTTTGACAACGACCCGCGACCGGTGCGGGTGTGCACAACCTGCCACAACGTACTGACCAAAGTGAAAGAGTGCGCTCTGTTGTGGCTCGGGTGCGTGATCGAGTTCAAGAAGCGAAAGCTCCTGCGTCGAGACCGCAAGAACAAGGTAAACACATTGTCACCGTTTGCTTTCGTCATGCATACATGTAGTGGAGCGACTACGAGTTTGATATTAAGGGCGGGATCTTACGGCAGTACCACGGCGGGATGGTCGTGAAGACGCTCAACTTGTCAGGGGCGATTGTCGTGCGTCGTCGAGACCAGTACGCCAGCTTTCAGGGGATTTCTAGTATATCTGTATGTTGTAGACGGTCGCTGTACTGCTTTCAGATCTCCACCACGTTTGATGTAATCACGACCAACGTACCACCACCTCCCGCTTCGTCGGGCTTCAAGATGTCCCCGCTCAAGCCGAAACGATTCGACAAAGCCGGCATGGGTACTAGTACTAGTACTACTAGTACTAGTACTAGTAGCCGTTGGGATGACCAAGAGTGGCTACTGTGTGCGTACTCGAACGACGAGCTCGTCGAGTGGACCCATGCGATTGAAGAGTCGGCCAACAAGGCGTTGAAACGGACGTCGACGGTCCGGAGTCGATCGGTGGATGGCGACGATCCGGACGCGGGACGGGGCTTGGAGCACCGTACGTCGTTTGATTGTTGTGGTTTGTTGACGCCGGCATCATCATTGATTTTCATGTGACGACGTTCATGCAGTATTCGTATGTGTTGGTTGATGGTGCACATTGCCTTTGTAGAGAGTGGCAGCATCGACTTGGACCAACTCGACTATTTAGTGTACGATGACGAAAAAGCCGAGCGGTACCGACACCAAATTCTCACGGAAATCGTCCGCTCGGTACCTTGTACATATGATGAGTGTGGTGGATGCGTGTCGTCATATACACGCGAGAGAGTAGGAGCAGAGTTACGTCGAGTGCCTGGGCACGTGCATTCGCATGTTTGTGCAGCCGCTGATGCTGCGGGAAGTGGAGCGGAAGCGCAGCGTCGAGCACAACAGCAAACTCAGTCTGCAGCGCCGATTCTCTCAAATGTCATTGAAAAAGCACGAGCAAATCAAGAAAACGTTCACGCTCATGGGGCTCAATCGACGTACGTACGGGCCCTTGATTGGTTTGGTGCAATGTGTGTTGATAGGATTTACTTACGTAGGCGCGAACGTCCCCAATGGACTCTTGAGCACGGTGATCCAGGACAGCTGCACCAAGAAGACCCTGCTGGACGCCGACATGTCGATCTTTTTCACGAGGTGGGAAACGACATCGGACATGAATATTATTCCGACTCGCACAGTATCCTCAATGTCATACCAATGCTTGTAGTATGGGCCAAATTTACACGCTGAACCAGCAATTTCTGGAGCATTTAACACGCCACTTGAAGGAGACTGAAATTGGAGGCACCACGACCATCCATCGAGTGGTACAGTGGATATATATATATATGTATATCACTCGACTTTACAGTGTCTCAGGGCGCCATCTTCAATGCGTACGCGCCTCTGTTTCAAATGTACTCTTCGTATGCGCGATACCACGAGACAGCGTTGGCTGCGATAGAGGTATATGGATATATAGCCAAGAGTGTTTACGTTTTCTTCTGAAGATGCTATATATTTTATATATATGACTTCTTCTGAGTATGATATATATATATGCCTAGTCGGAACGGTTCATGGTCATGCTGTCTGAGATCCAAATGCCGATGGACGAAACGACAATGCACCAATTGCGCACGTTCCTCAACATGCCCATCGAGCGTATCCCACAGTACAGTTTGTACCTGCATGACCTGAAGCGATGGACCACCGACGGACACATGGACCATGCGCCGCTGCTGTCGTCCATCACGGCTGTGAATCGGGTCGTGCTCATGCTCCAGGACACGATCGACGCCCGCGACAGTTTGCGAAATCTGCGGCAAGTGGAGCTCAAGTACGGCTTACCGCCAGACAAAGACCGGCAGTTCGTCAAGGAAGGGCGGCTGCAAAAGGTGTGCCGCCACGCCGTCAAGGTGTACCACGTCGTGCTCTTCAACAACGGTAACTACAGTAGTCACAGTGATGTGCTAGCGCCTGTCGTTGTTTTCTCTGGATTTCTGATGGAGGTATGACGTAGCTCTGTTGTACGCTCCGACGGGGTGGAAGGCCATGTATGTGCGAAAGCACAAGATCATCGACTTGAAGGGATGCTCGGTCTCGGCTGTGGACTCGCTCACCGACAGCGTCCGGAACGCTTTGTCCCCGAATATCACCCACAACAAGTATGTACGCGTCGTAAACATATCACTTCGCATCATGGTTTGTCTCGTGGATGCCGTAAACATATCATTTTTCGTCGTATCTTATCTCGTCGGCTCCATGTCAACGATTGTACGTTTGTAGCGCACTTCAGTTTCTGTCGAGTCAAAAGTCGTTTTTGCTGATTGCAGACTCGCCCACCGACCAAATCGAATGGCTGGCCGCCATACATGTACAAAACCCTCCCTCGCTCGTCACTCTTTCCTTGCATTAACCCGCTCATCCCAAAATGTATAGGACGCGATCGTTCGCGTGGAAATGTCGGCGCGGCTGTCGATTTCGTCCGTGGACGACGAGGACGCGCACAATAATGACGCCGAGTTTGTCATCAAGTCGGGCTGGCTGCCCGTGAAACGAGGCCACAAGTGGAAGCGGATGTGGGTAACGGTCGACTACCAGCACGTGTCACTGGCCACGTCCTTCCAAGCCCCCCCCGACGTGCAGCTCCTGATTGCAGGTTGCGATGTTGAATACATCGCTGACAGCGCCAGCTGCTTTCAAGTGACTGGTGAAGACATGCTCGAGGTATGTGTGTATGTATGCGCCAAAAGTCCCAAGTAGAAAAAGGGTGGCCCAACAGGGACGACGCTGTAGGACAATGACGTCGGGGCTTTGACCAAAGAGTTTACGCTGGATGCGCTGCACGATCGCGATGAATGGATCCGCGCCATCGATCATTGCGTTCGATGCATGCATTCTGGGGGAGACATGATGTCTACCTCGGCTGTGTCCGAGCCCAACTCTGGCTACGCGCCAATTTACATGTTTGGCGCTGCCAAGGTTGGACGCGTGAATATCCATAGCTCACACTCGTGAATACTAACCTTGCGTATTAACTCTGCTGTATAGAATTGCACGCTTTGTTTCGAAAAGTTTGCCCTCATCCGCACAAGACACCACTGCAAGTACGGCAACCGAGATGATAATGGTTTGCTACTCATTGTGCGATTTCTCACGACAGACCACTACTGTAGGCGGTGTGGGAATCAGGTGTGCGGTAAATGCTCCAAATCCAAGATGGTCCTGGCCACAGGCAGCACCAAGCCCGAACGCGTGTGCGACAAGTGCATGAACGTCCAACGAAACTGCGTGCTGCCCCCAAACTTGTAGCCACGAGAAAAAGAGTATAAACACGTCAATATTAGATAGATATACTGTATGTATGTAGTTCTGTACTAGTAGCTATAATTGGGGGGGCCCGTGGCAAGGGCATTTTGCGCAGCGACGCGGACATAGAACGGCGTGCCGGCTTCGACATCTTGGACTACATACGCGCGCATCGCATAGCGGTACACAGGCAGCGCTTGGCCTGAAAAGGAAGGGCAGAGTTGGCCTGGGCCGACCGTGATCGACGACGCAGTGATGGCTTGGACGGTGTACACGCACTTGGTTTGGCCAATGGAAAACACATCCCCGACAAACAACGAGGCCGACATGTCCGTGGTGACGGCCACGGTGGTCCCCGTGAGGGCTTGGGCGCAGGATACGCAGAACGGTTTGAGCGAGTTCGTCCCAGGGAGGACGTTCAGGGCGAGCGCCGCCGATTTCGCCGATGAGTCGGATGTCGTCTTGCGGCCAACAGGTCGTAAATACAGCGCGTTGCACTCGTTGTCGGTGGATGTTTGCCGCCCGACGCCTTGAATCTCGTCCAATCCAGGACCAAATGTCTTGGTCGTGACGGTCAGGGTTCCCGTGGCAAAGCTGTTGCAGCCGGCAACGAGGGATGCCACCATGGTGGGTACGTCCCCCAGCGGCGCCGCGGTCAAAGGCGCGTAAAACGTAACTTCGTACATGTGGCCATAGTCCCAGGCAGCAGAATCGTCACCGTGCTGGACGACCGTGACGGCGCCGTACCCCGCCACACCCCGGATAAGCGTTTGCAGGTTGGCGGCGGTGATGCCCCAGTTAACACAACCGACTGTGGTGGTGCCAATGGCCAGTTGGAACTGCTGGGTTCCCACTAGAGGGGGCACCCCTTGCACGGAAAGGTACTGGACTTCGGCGTTGTCCCCACAGCGACTGCGGAACGTGCGCGTGTTGTCCCATTCGACGACGTAGCTGGCTACATTGGAGCCTCCGTAGCTCACTGGTTCTTCCCACACTACGCCAAACGACGTGGCCGTTTGAGGGACGACTTGCACGGACGCAGGCGCCATGGGCCCCTTTGGCACTGGGATGTATGTGGAGAGAGCAGGCTGGAAAGTCCCGTAGCCAACGTTGTTGTAAGCTGCCACCCGAACGTTGTACGCGACGGAGGGAGTCAGCCCCGAGATCAAGTACGACCGGGGAGCCTTCCCTATCCGGTGGTGGAACCGCCCCTTGGTGGTTTCAGCTATAGCGACGGTCACAGTCACACCCACGTCCGCGCCGGACGCCGTGAGAAGCGGGACGTCGCCCATTTCCGAATTGAATTGGACGGTCACAGGTAGGGGGGTTGCAGCGTCGCAGACGCTAACTTGGCCGATACTGAATCCGACGGTCGTTTTTACATACGGAAGGCTGGCTAGGGCGGCGGTGACTTGAGCCAGCGTTGCGGTGGACGAGATGGGGGAAGTCACGTAGCCCATATAGTTTAATTGAAACATGTGGCCCGCGCCGGCCGTGCACAGGAGCGTTTGCACTTCGGGGAGAGACCCCGTCACAGCCGTAGGTGAAATGGTTTCGCCTCCATTCACAGTGTATCGTTCGCAATTCGTCCGCGCAATATCCGAACAGACGAGGAGGTTGTTGCCCAGGACGGATAGCCGATGTCCAATTTGATTCTGTAGCAACGACGCATACTGCGTGAATTGGTTTCCAGCGTACATGACTTGCGCAAAAGTCACGAGCCACGTGTATCCCTAGAATCCCATGGGTTTAGTACACTTATAAACACAAGCGACGACTTACGTTAGGACCCAATTCCCGCGTGACGAGCACGGCATCGATGGTGCACAGTGCCTGCAACACTTGTTGCAGCTTGACAGCGGAAATGTCAAATGGCAGCTCGTCCGTTACTTGGTTGTCAAACATGAGCTGGAACGTGCCGTCCAAGTACGGGAATCCGCCGACCGACGGGGCCGACACGGAGATGACTTCGACGTCGTTCACGCCGTCGGAAAAGTCTGCGTTCTTGACGATTTGGTTCCACTTGGCAGCTCCGGTGTACCATTCGACGTTGAACTCGGTCACATTTTGCCCGCCGTTTTCCAAGGGATCTTGCCATTGGACCAGCAGCTGCGTGTCTGAGACGACGTCCACTCGAAGCGCCGACACCACACCCGGGACGTGGTTGGTTGCTTGTACCGACGTGGGGGTGGACACCGCCTTGACCCCGTACCCTGCGACGTTGTGGGCGGCCACTCGGGCGTACACGCTCTGTGCGTTGTTGAGCACGTTCAGTTTGACAATGTTCACACGGGTGACAGTCGCGAGCGGCGCCAGTGCCGCACGTAGCTTGTAGTCGTTTGCGTTGAACGTTAGGAGGTTCACTGGCACACCGCGACTGAACGTGACGAACCAATTGAAGCCGTTCTTGGCCACCCTGCGCACGACATCGACCTTGCACGACAGGGACAACTGCTCGATCGCAGCTTTCACATCTTCGGCGGTCGCAGTCACGGGGATATCGCTGGTTTTTTCAAGGCGATACGCGTTCACGTAGGCATTTTGAACTTTGGTGACCACGGCTGCCGCGGGAGTTGCCCCGGTAAATGCCCCACAACCATTCGATCCTTGGTCCACGACTTGCATGGTCGGCAGCTTTCCGCGAACGCGGAACCCCGTAAATGTGATCGAGTACACGGCTATGGTCGGGTTTAGGTACAGTTTGCGACTCACTTGCACTTGATCGATGGATGGGAGGGTCTCCAGCTCGGCTTTGAGCGCCGCGCTGTCGGCCGCGTCGGCGAGTGCCGTCACCCCCGACGCCCACAACAAGCAACCGTATTGGGCATTGACGTTAATCCCACCATTGCCGCCAGCGAGCGTCGTGGCGGTCACATCCGCTCCAAATTGCAGCCGAAACCCTCCCACGCCAGAGTTGAAGTCGCCTGTCGCTGTGGAAATGCGAATGGTTTGGATCTCTTGCGTGGCGTACTGCAGCGTGTCGTACGAGAGACTGGTTTCTAGATTGGGGGACGCAATGTCGCCCAGCGGAAGGACCGTGGGGGTGAGACCCGCACAGCCACACGTGGCACCGATACAGGGCGTGAGCACGCGAGCGATTTGTCCGGAATATGGGTCGCCGAGTCGGAAGTAGTCTTCGCAGCCTAAGGACGAGATCGAGTTGGCAGTGTTGGCTGCATCGTTCCACTGCCCCGTAACGGAATTTCCGGACGCTGCGGTCACGTCCAAGTTTGTAAACGGCCCCATGGCTGTGTCCAGCTTGAACACGGGCGCCTCCAAGATGGAAAAGCCAGTGTACGTCGCAGGTGTCCACGGGTTCGACTTGTCACAGATCGGAATGGCGCTGGGCCCCCACCGTACGTACACTGGATCTGTTGCCCCCGGTCCAACGCTGGCGAAACACTGATGCGATACGGAGAGGGTGGTTGTACTGGGCAGTCCCGTGATGACCATTAAGCAGTCACGGACGACGATGGTGGTGCCGACAACGAGGATCGGGTGGTTGTTCAACGCAGGCGAGACCGTAACCACGTTCGTGGCAAAGTTGAATTGCGTCACAGAAACTCCGGCCATGGCAAACGACGTGGTCGGGTCCAGACAAACCCGATACTCCTGGTTTGCAATCTTGACAAACTCCCCCCGCGCCACCAGTATGGTCAAGTCCACAGCGACGCCACCCCCCGGGGTCACCTGGGTGATGAACTGACTGTTAGCGACCAAATTGAAGTACCCCCCCAGGTCCACGTTGTAAACGCCAAAGTAATTGGACAGCGACAGCGTAAACACACTTGTGGGGTCGATAGGCCCCAAGTCAGCCGACGTGGTCACGCGAACGTATTTGTTTTGCGGCAGCACGGGCGGGAGCGCCGTGGCCACTTGAAAGGACGCGTCGTTCCCGTACTCGATCAAGTACTGGTCAACGGCTGCCCCGCCAGACATGTCCACTTCGTCGTACATCAGCTCGACTTGTGTTTGGCTCAGAGACCGCAGCCATACGTTGCTTAGAGCGTCGGGGATGCCGATCGGCGTATACGATGGAGGCGCGGGCGAGCCGAACATGCCGTACCCTCGGTCGTTGGCGGCTTTGACAGTGACAAAATACGCTGTCCCAGGCTTCAATCCTGAAAGCACTACCGACGTGGACGTCGACGGCACGAGCTGAATCTTGTAGTTTTGCGGACTGACGCCTACCACTCCAATGGAAGACACGAGGTTGGGTGCTGTGCCAGCTATGTTGAAGGAATTCACTCGAAGCACGTTTGGCGAAGCCAGCGGACCAAATTGACTGAGAAACGTGACAGTCCAGACAAAGTTGTTGGTGGAGCCGGTGCGAGCCACACGAACTCGTCCAATACTCGGCAGGTTTTCCAGGGCTACTTGCAAATCCGTTGGCAAGACATTGACTGAAAGGCGTGGAGTGCGGTGCTGGCGGTACACAACTGCACCTTGGACAGTGTTGCCAGTGTACGGTGCCGGCGTAATCGCAAGCGCTGCGGGGGCTTGGTTCAACCATGCTGTGGCATCGGCAAGTGGAATGCTGGAAGCAGACAAGACACCGGTAGTCGCCACCAAATAGGTCAAGCCGCTGATCGAGAGTAAATCTCCCCGTTGCAAAATCCCCGTCAAGTCCACTGACGTCGTGATGTAGCTTTGGCCGTTGACCGCATTCGCGACACCCGGCAACGGCACGTCCGTCGCTCCAAACGCCACAGTAAACGTGCCCCCTGTGATGGTGCCCGTGGAGGTCAACAGTTGCTGGGTTTGCACGCCAAAGTACGGCACGGCTACGGACTTGGTGTACCATTCGACCGCATATCCTTGCACACTACTACCCGGACTCGTAGGGGTATTCCACGTCACCAACATGGACTTTCCAGTCGTGTCAGTTCCTGCGGACAATGTGATCGTGTCGACGGCGGGCGGCTTTTGCCTCGGAATTGCACTGGGCGGCACTGTTGCCACCGGCGGTCCAGCGCCCAGTTGATTGTTGGAGCAGTATACACGTGTGAAATACGTGAGTCCGGCAGTCAAAGACGTGATGGAGTACTCGGCGCCGTTCGCGTTGGTTCCGTACAGAGTCGTCGTTCCTAAGGGTACACCGGATGGACCGTTGTTAAATGCAGACGTAGAATCCCATTCCACGGTGCAGCTGATGATGGGAGCCCCCCCTGTGAACGCAGCAGGCTGGAACGACACCAAGAGCGACGTGGGGCCAGTGACGTACAGCACTGGAGGGGCAGCCAGGTTGAAAAAGCTGGCAGGAGACGCGGGAAGGCCGAAGGGTACCATGAGGTTGTTGGGGGCCGTTAGTCGCAATAGGCCATAGCCAAGAGCTGTGAAAGCTGACACGCGAACGAAGTATGCCGTCCCAGCCACCAAACCGGCGATGGTATTCCGGATGGGGTAGACCGCGGACGCTGAGACGGCGACCGAGTTGCACACGTTGGCATTGCAATACGAGTTGCCGTTGAGGTTTCCGTTGGTCTTAACTATGGCAATCGCCCCCACGCCGTTGAGTGCGGTCAACGCATTCGTAGCGACAGTCAGCGTCGGCACAGTGCCCACATCCGAGCCAAACGTTACGCTCCACGACTGTTCGTTGTTTCCAGAGAGCCCCGTGGTGGTGACACTGACTTGGCCAATGTTGGGCATGTTTTGCAGAATTTGGGTCAGTGCTGCCACCGACACATCGGCCGCGATGGCAGAACTCACGGCCAACGACTTGACTTTGCACAGCGCACACGCCGTCGTGTCGAGCTGCAGTTGAAAGCTGCCCGATAATACACCTCCAGACGAAGTGGTGGTAATGGTTTGAACCGTCGACGTAAACGAACTCCAATCCACGGTACTCCACTCGACCAAGTATCCCGTGATCGGCACCCCACCGTTGCCGTTGAGATCGGTAGATAGCGCAGTATTGGGCGGCATCCATGACACAACCAACGACGTCGTGCGGTCTATGGGAAGCGCGGACGAGTCCAGCGCTGCCAACTGCACTTGAGTCGGGGGGTCCGACGTGACCGCTGGCGTGATCGTCTGAAAGGCGGACACTGTTCCCATGCCGAGCGAATTGTGCGCCGTCGCTCGAATAAAGTACTGCGATCCCATGAGAAGCGCTGGAAGGGTCGTGGATATCCAGTCGTTTTCGCCCAGGCTGAACGTTTGACTGGTGAAATCCAAGCACGTGTACCCTGGTTGCACCGCGACTTGGGTAGCACTGGTGATCGTTGCCACTTGCACGACACAATTCAGAGTCCCCGCCTCGATGGTGTACCGCCGACCAACAAACAAGCCGGCGGTGGAGGTCGAGACTGTGAGGGTGTTCGTATGCAACGAGGTCACACACGTCGGACAAATCGGCGTCAACGAGTAGCTCGATGTGGTTCCAGTGGACAAGAGCGTGACGCTGCCCTTGTTGGCCGAATCAAACGTCGACGCCGTGTCCCACTCGACGAGAAAGCTGTCGACGGCTTCGAGGCCGTGCCAATACGCTCCGTCTCGAACCAGCACATCGAGCGTGTTTTGAGTGAACCCGTTGGCGTTTCCCGTGCCAGACACGAGCTGCATGGGCAAAACCACCGACGGGGCGGACGGAAGTTGTCTCGTGATGATGACATTCAACCCAGGAGAAGCCACACAAGCCACAAGGGTGTTGTCGCAGGTCGGTGTCGCAGCTGCGGCGACGCCGACTCCGATGATGTTGGCTGCACGCATTTGCACAGTGTACGCTGTGTTGGGCACCACTGTCACTTCGACGGAATACGGCGACGTGAGCGAATTCACCTGCACTTGCACAAATCCACTGCCTGGCCCGTGCAAGTCGGTCATAAACACCGTTTGAGATGTGAAGCCCAAGCACCCGTGGTGGGGCTGCACTGGCACGGTCCCTGCCGTCCCCGTCCACGTCGGAGCTCCGGCCACAACCATGATACAAGGCACGGGGCGCTCCAATCGAAACAAGTCTCCCACTTGAAGGGTGGTCACTTGGGTGTTGATCGTGAGCACATTCGACGCCAACGCTGTCACACACGCACCACAGACGTCCGTGGTGGCAAAACTATCTACGGAATATTCAATCAAGTACGATAGCACGGCCGCGCCATTGGTCGTCGCTGGTGGATTCCACGTGAGCCGTAAAATGGACCGATCGGTTGGCTTGGCAAACACCAAGACGGAGACTGGGGCAGGGGGGCGCGCGACGGGGAAAATCGTATTGTCTGACGCACACCCACCAGGGCAAAGGGTAGGGGAAGCTACCTGGGGCAGCCCAGTACCCACTGCGTTTCCAGCAGACACACGGACAAAGTACAACCCACCAGGCGACAAATACCCCCCCTCGATCGAAGTGCCCGTCCAAACTGCCCCGGTGATGGCGGCACAGCCTCCGGACCCGTCGATCGAAGCAACTTGCAGCTGCGGAACATTGCCCGTGACAAGCGCACCCGTAAACGTAATGCGATACAGCGTTGCGCCCACGGCCGGCCCTGGTTCCATCGTCACAACCACGGCGTCGATGTTCGTCAACACTGTCAACGCGGTTTGGAGTGCAGTGCTGGTCAGCGAGGCCGTTGCCAAACATGTCGTTGTAGGCTGAGCGTGCATCGTGAAAGTGCCTGCTGTCAGGGCACAAGTGTAGCCAGGTAGTACGGTGACCACGTTGGCCGCGGACGTGGCCACTGCAGCCACCGTGAACGCACACGCAGCCCCTGCTTTGTCGACCACAAACTTGACGTTGGTGCCGAGCTGGAGTCGGAGATCGGGTCCATTGTATGTAATTTGGTTCAAAACAGGGTTCATGGTCACAGTGCAACTTGCACACAGCACCGTGGGGTACGTCGATGTATGAACCAGCTGGAATGTCCCCGCAGTGGCGGCCACAACCACCGTTTGCACTTCAATCCCGAGGGGAAAGTGGCACGCAGTGGTAGCACACGATTGGACAACTCCCGCAGCGTCATAGGTACTCACAGGATACGATTGAAACGTGGCAAACTGAGCTTGGGTGCTGACATCGATGGTATACGACGTAATGGGCGACCCGCCGTTGCCTTGCGAAAACCCCAGGGCGTTGAGTGTGGGTTCTTTCCAAGATACATCCAATTGTGTGGCAATATTGAGAGGACTGACAGTCACCGCAACGCTCGTGGGTTTGTACGGAATCTGAGGCAACGGAACAATGGGACTGCCCGTGGCAACGACAGCTGAGCCGTACCCTTTGGCTGAGGCGGCGATTTGTCCGTTGTACGCAGATACGCGGATGTAGTAGGTCGATCCTGTCGTGAGTCCTGGAATCAAAAAGCTAGTGGTGGCACCCGTCACGACTGCACTAAACAAGTGCGCGTTGGTGAAACTATTGCCAATTTGAATTGGAGACATGATTTGATAGTCCAGATCCCACTCGATCAAGTACTTGGTGATGCCAGTAGCATATTGTGGGGCTTGCCACTGCACGCCCAAGGTCGTGCTGGACACGACTGTCACGGTCACCGCTAATGGTACGTCCGGTGCCGTCGCTCGCGGCGTAATGGACAGCGGCAGCGGGTCAATTCCAGCGACCACATCGGCGATATTGAAGTCCCCTGCAGCTACAATACCCGCTGACACCGTGACAGACAACGCACCGAGCGAAGTTGGCGCAATGTTGTCCACGGACGAAGCGGCAAATGTGATGAACCACTCGATGCGGAACCCATTCGTGTCCACACCCGAAGAGTCCACCATGGCCAGCAACGGCCCCGTCGAGTGGTCGCTCCGGGTCACAAAGACCGTGCCAACATGCACGAGAGCCTGCAGTGCCGCCTGGACCTGGTCGGCACGGGCGTTGAGTGGAATGGACACGGTGGCAGGGGCAAAGTTGGCAAACGTCAACGTAAAGGTTTGGAGGGCTGCTGCCAGGATACCATCGATGTTTGCATGACTCACGACAACTCGAGTGACACGCTGGTTGGCGTAGAAAGGCACGGCCGTCGTGGGGTCGCTGAACCCCCCGGCGTTGTACGTCAAGACGCGCACAAAGTAGGCATTGGCTGCCAAGAGGTCCGGGATGACGTACGTATATCGGGTTTGCTGGTCGACGACTTGGATTGTAGCGGACCCAGACGTCGTTGTGGTCATACCAAACGAAGGAGAAACATCCCACTGCAATTTGTAGTTGGCCACCGTCGCATCTGGCGGAGCGTCCCACACAACGCCAAGTTGAGTGTTTGATAGAATGGAGACGCGGGCTCTGCGCACGGGCAAGGGGGCGACGAGGGCTGGGGCGACGTAGAAAGCATTCAATTGAAAGGCACTTGATCCAAATCGGGTCTGTGTTTGCACGCGGACGAAGTACGGAGTCCCCGTGCGGAGCTGTGGGATGATGAATTCGAGGGGAATACCCCCGGCAGTGACTTGGCGGATGGACACACACGGCGTTGTTCCAGTTAACGAACCCCCGCAAGAAATGCGTCGAGGGATTGCCCCGGCCATGGTGGTAGCCAAGAGCAGAGGTACATTCCCATCTGAGCTTGTAAACGTGATGCGCCACTTGCGCCCGTACTCTTGCCTTGCCAAAATCGAAGACTTCACCTCGTTAGAAGTAGTGACAGTGACACTCGAGATCGTAGAGACTCCTTGCAATGCTTTCGTCATGACATCAGCGGACGCGTCGAACGGGATGTCGACTGAACTTTCGCTAGAAAACACAAGGTTGAACGTCCCTCCAAGGTCCGCGGCGCCGGCGTACGCAAATACTTCTTGCACCTCGGACTGCGACCCCACAACCATGCTGCCTTTGGTCAGTGGATTGAACGGTGGATTCGACCCAGTGACAGTTTCCACCACTAGTGCAGCCACACCCGAGCCAACCAAATTCGACGTTTGCACCCCCAAAAGAGGCAAGTTGCCGGGGTTGGCTTGGAATGTGACTGTCCAAGAGTACCCAAACGACACGAGCGCACTTCGAGACACAGTGACCCCTGCCACACTTGGCAACATGTTCAGCGCGTCGGCCACCATATCTGCGGAAGCATCCCATTGCAAGTTTGTCGATCGGTAATTTCGAAACGTCATCGCGAAATACCCAGTGATAGGTGCCGTGGCGTTCACCACCACGACTTGCACTTCGTATGTTCCTGGAGTCGCATCCCATTCGACAGTGTACCCTTGAACAATCGACCCGCCGTCAAACAAGGGGGGGGTCCACGACACTGCCAAAGACGACGTGGAATTGGCCTCCACGACCAGATTTTGAGGCGGACCGGGGGGTAACTGTGGCGCTTCGATGGGCGGCGTGCTATATTGCGCACTGCCAAATGCGTTTTGGAACCCATTCCAAGCCGACACCCGAACAAAGTAGTACGCCCCAACCACCAACGACGGAATGTTGTATTGGATCTGCGTCTGCGAAGCAGCACTAGGGGAGACGGAGATGATTTGGGAGCCATACAGGGCGCTGCTCATGGCTGGTAGTCGTCCAGGAACTTCGAGTATATTGACGGACACGGTAGCTGTCGGGTCGGACGAATAGAGACCATTGGAACCAACTACGACCAACGGTACACTGCCCAGCCGCGTCAAGAACATGATGTTCCACGAGATGCCCAATCCACTGGCGAACCGGGTCACCCAAACGGTGCCAGAATTTCCCAGTGCTTCCAATGCCGACTTTACCGACAACGCAGCAGCATCAGACGCAAGGGGAAGGGTTGTTTGTCCATCAAACGTCAGCGTAAACGTGCCTTGTAGAGAGCCCGCATTGGTGGCCACCACAACACTTTGCTCTTCAAACCCGTTGTATCCCCCAACATTGGTGGAAATTTGAATCGCCGCCGTGGTTCCAGTCAGTGTCGCACCAGCCCCCGTGGATTTAGCCACGTCGAACGTGGCATAGTGTTCTGTCGGCAGAATAGATGCCACAAGGACGGGGATGTCGCCGTTGTGGTTGAGGTTTTCCCGATTCGTCAGAAACGTGACAAGCCACTCGAAGCCGTTGCCAACCGTATTGCGCTGGACGCGGACAGCTCCAATCGTATCGAGAGCTTCCAGCGTTTGTTGCATGAGGGTGGCGGATGTGTCGTAGTTGAGCCACGGGGTAACTGCCCCCGCAAACCCCAAGCGGAACGTACCCCCTAAATCAAACGCTGTTGCAGAGACGAGAATGCGCTGCACCGCCTGTCGAACGTATAGCAAGTCGGTCGTCACGAGGTTCGGGGTCCCTGCAATGGCATGTTGGTCCATGCAGTCCCATTCGATCTTGTATTTCGTCACGGGCGCGCCGCCGTTGTCGTGCTGGGTTGAAAACGCCACCGACAGACTAGCGTTGTCCCCAGGCGCTAGCTGCACAAGCGTCGGCGGCATGGGAAACGTCTGCGGGATCGTCGACAAGGGTGACGGCACCCCCGCGTCGCTCGAGTACCCATATGTGTTGTACGCGTAAATGCGGACAAAGTACGGTGTGCCTTTGACCAGACTGCCCACGATCGACTGACAAGGGGTCAACACGCAGTCGACGCCAGGCACCACCACGGACACGATGTCAGACCCGAGCGATCCGCCGTCGACGCCCGAGTTGAACGCTGCCGAGACGTCCCATTCCACTCGGTACTTTGAAATAGCATTTCCACCATCGCTTTGCGGATGGGACCAATACATGCTCAACGTAGAGGCGGAGCCCGTGACGACTTTGACTTGGAGGGGCCTGGACGGAGGTTGCTGCGGAGGCGCCGTTGGCTGCGACGCTGTTGGAACGTTGTATCCACGGCTGTTGTAGCAAGACACGCGCGCAATGTACGGAACGCCTGGGCGCAAGTTGGAGATGTGGTAATAGAATGGTGCGGTGGCATTTGTGTCGGTGGGAATCTCCACGCTTTGCAACGTAGGAGAAGTCACACCGGGCACCGTGGTTCCTAGAACGGCCGTGACACTGGCAGAGGTGGCGCCAACGTACGGCGTGGACAACGTCACTTGATTCGTCGCCACTGTGGCCACTTTGTACACGACACCGGCAATTTGCAGGAACATTCCTGGCACGGCACTAGTCTGAATGCCCACCGACGTGACGGTGGTCGAGGCTAGCGTCACCCCAGCCGTAACCGACGAAGCCCCCACATGCGCAGGATCGAGGCTCGCACCCACATCGAACGCCAGATTTGGAGATGCTAAGTCGTTCGCCCCCACGGCCAACACGACGCCGTTGGGCGACTCCGTGAGAAACGTGATGCTCCACTGGTAGCCCCCAGACGTGAGCCCGGAACGCACCACCTGTACACTGCGCAAACAAGGCATACTGTTGAGCGCGTCGGTCAGATCTGCGGCCGACACGTCGACGGCCAGAAAGTCCGTGGTGCATTGGCTGTAGGTTAATTTGAACGAGCCAGTGACGGCTTGGGCATTCAACGTGTCAAATATCTTGAGCACCTGCACCGCTTGCGTTCCAGGGCTAGAAGCTTCGTACCACTCAAGCAAGTATTTGGACACGGAGCTTCCTTGGGGGTTGACAGATGGTAGCCACGACAACATCAACGACGTCGACGCGTCCAGCACCGTGTGAAACCCGTCCGCTTCGATGGAACTCAAGGTCACGCCACTGGCCACGTCGATGGCTTCGGCATACAACCGAGGGGTTTCAGACACGGGAACTGACGGAGGAGGACTGAGCCCCATGATATTTTTCGCCCGCACGCGTACATAATACACTACCCCGGGTGTCAACCCTTGAATCGTGTATTTCATTTTCGTGGACGCTGGAACTTGGGCCGCAAAGTACACGGGGGTGTTTGTGTATTGCTGGAGCGACCCATTGATGAACGACGGAACGGTATCCCATTCGACCATGTAGTTGGTCACCACGGCGCCGTTGTTCGTCGCGGGGGGTGCCCAATACACACGCAATGAAGTGGACTTTCCAGCGACCAAGTTCAACACGACTGACGTGGCAGCGCTTGGGACCGCCATGGGTTTGAGCTGGGTCACCACCGACGGCAATCCGTACCCAGCACTGGTGTGAGCCGTCACACGAACAGCATACCCTCCATTGACTCCAATATCTCCGGGGCTCGAAGGGGGAGTGGCCAACGCTGCTTGAGTGAGGCCGGTAATGTCGTATGTATACCGAGCCCCAGGTGCAATAACCAACGATACGTCAGTTCTGGACCCGGCTACAACTGCCGTGCCAAGGACACTGTCCCCCACTGCACACGTGATGACGCCGCTAGCAACGGTACTGGGCGATCCATTGACCGTAGTTAACGCGTTGGCACATGTGGCAATCACAGTCGTTCCGGTCAAAAGGGTGCCGTCCACAGTCAAGATGGGCACAGGAGCCACTTTGGTTGTAAACACAACAAGGTAATTCCTTGTCGCCCCTGTGGACGTCATAGTGACAGTGCAATCCCCCGCATCTGGCAAGGCTTCAATCGCCTTTTCCAAGTCCGAGTACAGAATATTATACGCCAGTGCACCGGTGGTGCTGCCCCCCAGTGTTAGCGTAAACGACCCGCCAGTGACGGAAGTGGCAATCTTGAGCGTTTGCTGCGCTGGAACGCCATACAACAACGGTTCCCACCACTCCACGCGATACGAGTCCACGATAGCCCCGCCGTCGTCTGCGGGCTGGGAAAAGCTCAGCCGGAGCGACTGGTAGTCCAAGATGGCCAGACTGGGCAACACTGGCGCTGTGGGGTGCACGCCAAACGGAACGACCGTGAATGGACTGCTTTGAATGGCGCTGTCGGGGTGGAACAAGCGCTGCGTGGGCACCACCGACAGATCTTGCGATGGACTGCTCCACAGCAACACACACGTTGCGACGTCGGTGTTTTCGCGGTATTCAATCGTAATGTCATACAACCGACCTCCCACTAACGATATGGGCGTGGCGGAATATTGCACGGCGGCGTTAGTGGTCTCGTCGTACTGATCCAACACGAGTGTGTGGTCAATCCAGAGCCGGGCGCCGTCATCCACTGTCATCGCAAACGTGTACACTTCAGTGAATGCTGGCTGGACATAGCCTTCCCACCGGATGCTGATAAAGTCCTTGCCCGTGGGGGTGATAAACTCGGCCCACATAAAGTTCACCACGGCATCCACGCGGGTCACGACGGGGTCGCCCAGCAGCCACCGGTTGTTGAAGTACGTCCCGACCAACCCGTTCGGGAACGCGTGAACCACGTCCAAGTGGTACGTTCCAGAACGAGGGGTTAGGTACGACCCGACGTACTGCCCAGGCGTCGAGTACGACGCGTACCCCGTCACAGTCGACGCCCCCGATATCCGAGGCACGAAGAAGTCACCCAGCAAGCCGTACTGAGAGCTCACGCCGCCTGCCATCGCGACAGGACAAGTCTCCGTGACTGTGATGGCTACTTGGGCTCCCGTGAGTAGCTGGCCTTCCGCGTACAGCATGTCCACACTGCCGTCCACAGATAAGAGAGTAACTGTCCAAGAAAACGCATTGTTAGGACCTGCCACGGGCGTCGCAACGTTCACGGCGTAAATGTCTGGCAGTTGTTGCAATGCAGCGGTGAGCGCAGTCGACGTAATGCCAAATGGCAAGTCAGGAGTCTTAGCATTGTGAAAGGTCAATGTGAATGTGCCCCCAATGGCGGAACGGGCGGTCGTTGAAATAATTTGGGTTTGGTGGACTTGACACGACGTCACCGTGGCTGTAGCCGTGCCTGTGCCACCGGTGACCGTCAGTTGCGACGTGTCTACGCCAAGAGAGGGCAAATCCCCCACATTCGAGTCAAATGTGACAATGTACATGAACCCCACGGCGGATTGTTTGTATACACTTGTCGATGTGCTGGTCGCTCCGAGATAGGGGGACGACAGCAGGATGTTTGTCGTGGATATGCTCACGACCGTAAACACTGGTCCAGATGTCGAGCCGAGGCGAATCCAGTCCCCCACTTGGAACGATGCCGTCAAATCTGGCGTCGTTAATGTGTCGGAAAGATATGTAGCACTTACAGTGTTGACCAGCGTTTGAACCGAGTTGGTCGAGACAACCACGTCGCCAATGGAGCTCAATTTGTCCAACGCTGACTGAACCACGTTGATGCCAGCGTTCCATGCTAGGGCAGGTGTAGACACCCCCTCGTAGCTGATGGTAAACGTACCCCCCAACACCCCAAGACCATTGCCCGATTGAATGTAAGTTTCGACTATTTGCACTTCGGGATGGGGGGTGCGAATGTTGATCAGATTGCCGTGAATGTCGCGCGGTTGGATGACAAACGTCGACATTGAGTTGTACGCACCGGTAGACAGCCCATTCTTGCCCACTGTGCTCATGGACCCCGGCCAGAATTGCACGGCGGAATCCACGGCTGTGGTCTGATTGGCTACCAGGGTCCCCGGATCGACAAACGCCACGAAGGGGGAGGACCCCGCGATTGTTGTGATACCATTCGGCGACACAGCGCCATCTGCATACACCAACGCGCGAGGGCTTAGGCCGCCGGTCAGCCCCACCGCAGTCACTGTCATGGCCGGAAGGTTTCCAAGCATCCGAGTCGATTGGATGTATTGCGCCTCAAGGTACCGCGCCGAGGACCAGAACTTGGTCTGAGACACACCGGCCAGCGACCCCATGAACGTAACGACCCACTCAAGGCCAAATGGGGTGGTGGAGGAAGTGACGGAGACCACAATAGACGCATCGCCCAAGAGTTGCTGCAGGGCAATTTGCACTACTCCCGTGTTGGCATTATACGGCAATAGACCAGTCGTTAAGCCATTCCACGTCACTTGGAAGCTTCCAGCCGTCACCGCGGTCCCTCCGCCCGACTCAACGCGAAGGACTTGCACTTCATTCACCATGGCTTGACCCAAGTTGGACGAAGTTTTGATATGCGATTTCGTGCCGTCTTGAATCGTGGCCACTGCGCACGCTGAACTGAACACTAGGTCGTTGTTCACGACCAACGGGGGAACGTCTCCAACGTCCGAAACAAACGTGATGCGGTGCACGAACCCGTTGTTGACTGCGGTGCGGGACACTGTGACCGGGTTCGAGTGGATGGCCAACAGTGCACTGGCCACTTCGTCCGACGTCGAGTCCCACGCTAGTGGAATCGTCGTGTTGGCGGCAGCGATCGTCAGACTGAAAGTCCCAGCTTGTTGCGTGCTCGATGTAAAGTCCAGCGTCAGCGTTTGAATCTCTGGCAGCATCGCCATTGCCACCACCATGGTGTTGGCACCAGACAGATATGGGGCGTAGCTTACGTTGTACAGCCCGTTGCCTGCATAAGTCACCTGCCCTTGTACAATGGCGGTGTCCGTGTATTGGGTGCCAGAAGGAACGACGCGCACATCAAAGTAGTCCTTTGGATCCGAGTCTTCCTTGTTGTTGCCGTGGGTGTCCTTGGCTTGGATCGAAAACGACGACGTGTTGCCTGCGATAGCGTACACGAGGCCTTGTCCAAATGCCGTCGTGACTGCGGGATTCGTCGCCGCTGGACGCACCACCAGAGTGGATGGGAATCCACTCAAATGTTGCCGCGCAGCCCCCGCTCGTAAGCGGGCCACAGTCACAGTTGCCGAGTTCCCAGTCAGTGACTTTGTATACTGGGGACTTAGCAAGTCGAGAGAACCTTCGTCAGGGCTACGATCAAACGTAATAGTCCACGTACACCCAAGCGTCGGGTCGTTTCCAGTGCAAACAGCAGGCGCAACGGTAGTGCTCCCGACAGGAATGTTGGCACACCCTTCCAATGCGGCTTTCACCGCCGCAGCATTCGCGTTGAATGCGATGGCTGCAGTTGTGGTCGTCGCTTGCTGGCCGGTTGATTGCCATCCCTTGAAAGTCAAAGTGAACGACCCACCCAAAGCCGTCGAGGCAGCGGTGGTGACAGTTTGCACTTCGCGGATTTTGGGAATCGCAACGTCCAACACGTACGTTCCTTTGACTTGCGGGACAAAATTCACCAAATACTTGCCCGTGTTGACCCCAGCTTTGAACACTCGGACAAACTGGGCGTCGACTCCAGTGTACGACGTTGACATTGGAACTTGCAGGTTATCAAACGTCCCCAAGACTGTATCGACGGTGTGAATCTCTTGGCCAACCACAATGGTATCGCCGCGGACAAGCGGATTGTCGGAGGGGACGTTGCGGAAGTCCATACTTGTTGCAGACAACATCGTAGAACCTCGAGTGACTGATACCGTGCCCAAGTACCGCCAGTCCAGAGGTAAAAACAACGACAGACCCAGGGCTTGAGTGGCGAATGCACTGCACCCGTGCGGAGCCTGCACTGTGGCTGTTGCGGTGGCAGAGCCCGTGCTAAACGCAGTCGTCGACACCACTGTAAAGTAGCAATCCCGGAACTGAGTCGGTGTGGTGGTGCCTGCGTTGGCATTGATCACTCGAAACCGCATGCCAGGAAGCAGTTGGTCTAATACATCCACGTTGACTGTGACGACGTTGGACGCCAACGAGGTCACGCAAGCCGCACAAAGCAACGAGGGCTGGATTGTGATGGGGGTGTTGGTCGTGACATCATTCACACGCCCGATACCAGCCCATCCCCCGCTGCCTGTGACGGTGATATCCAGCAGATCCCGGCCATAATTGACGCGAACATTGCTCTCAACATCACGGGAGGTGACGACGAAGCTCACTGGTGACAGCGCAAAAAACGTGGAATTGGCTATATACGACGAAGTACTTGTGGTCGCCATCATGTCCCCAGGATACACGCTCACACTGAACGGACTTCGGTCGATCTGGCGGTGGAAAAACAGTTGCGATGCTGGTATCGGTGCCAACGGCACACTGGGTGTGCTCCAACTGAGCGCAAACTTGGGAAGGGCCCCTGCACTATACTTGATCCACAGCTTGTAAAACGCCCCAGCTGTTAAGTGCAATGTGCCTGACGTGGTCGCGGTGGTGTTGCCAATGTGTTGGATCAGCACCGTGCTATCCACCTGCACCATCACGTCTCCGTCGGCCGACACGACAAACGTGTAGTCGTCTGTGACGGGTACTGCCACGTCGCCTAACCAAGTCACGCTAAACCATTTCGACGGGAACGACGGGTTGAGTAGCTTTGGCGGTTGCGTCTCGCCCCAGGCAAACGTCAGCGGGCCTTCCACTCGAGTGCCATCGCACAGAGGAGTCGTGGACAGACGTTGAGTCACACAGTATATTTCCGGCAATGTGTAGTCGTCGTTGGAGTAGTACGTAGCTAGCAGGCCACCCGAGAGGCGATGCCGAATGGACAATGTGTGGTTGCCAAAGACTCGTGGCAGGTACGCCACTGTGTATGTACCGTCGGTGTTGGGCGAGGCTTCCGACACAGAGACTGGGAACTTCTGACCTGCCAGCGACAGCGTAGCAATAAACCCCGCCGAATTCAATTCCACGCTGCCGGACAGGGGGTTCAGATATTCGTCGCGCGCTTGAATCACGAGCGACTCGGGGGTACCTTGGGTGGCCACGGCATTGGCGTTGTGGGTTGAATGCGGACCGCTGGACCGACCTGGCGCCACCAGAATTCGCGAAGGATTCATGCACGCCCTGCCTCCGATCGTGACGGAAAACGTGTACAGCCCCGACACAGTGGGCGTCAAAACGATTTGATATTGCCCTTTGGACAACCCCGTCAACGACGTCAGCCCACGAATGGATTCCACAATCGATACCGACGCAATACCCGCTCGGAAGTTCTGGGCCGTGAACGAGTCTGGATTGCCCAACACATTGAACGCAATCACGACATTTGCAGGAGTTGTGGCGGCGCACACTGTGGCCTGGGAACTAGTCACGGTCACGCCGCCCAAGGCAACGATCAGCGGCATCCCATTGATCAATGTACTCAACTGCGCAATGGTCATCGCAGCGTCTACGTTTACAGAATTTGACCCGTACACAAGGTCAAAGGTCGCACTAGTCCCAGTACACACTAGCGTTTGCTGCTCGTAATTCGAAATCGTCTTGGTGGAGCTCACGGTCGGTATGCCAGTTTGGGTGCGTACGATAGATATTTCATTCGTGGACGCTCCCCACGCCAACAAATTGACGGACAGCGGGGTGAAAAACGTAATGGTGATGGGGAATCGGATGAATGGATGGCAAACTGCCGTCGCACCAGGGGACGCTACGATGACCCCCCCCGTCACAAGCGGGGTCAGCAGTGCCTTAAACTGTACCAGAGTCAAGCTTGGGGCGACGGTGATGGTGGTGCCGCCATACGTCAACGTGAATGAACTCGTTCCAACACATGTCAAGGTTTGGATCTCTTGTAGACCGGGATTCACGTAGTTCTGTTGCACGGTCACAGCCACAGCCGCCAAATCCGACACATCCGAGCGGTTGTTGCCGATCGTACCAGCCACAAGCTCTACGACATCCATCGACGGCTGGAGTTGGCCACTGTTGCTCGCGACCAATAACGAACTGTCGACGGCCAACAAGGCCAAATTGCCCGAGTTTTGAGTGAATGTGATGGCCCAGAGCGACGTGATTTGAGGAATGCTGTTGCCTCCTTCGGTAGATACATCCAGAACATCCTTGGTGACCACGACGCCGTCGATGGACAAGAGGTTATTCAGCGCACTGGCCAAGGCGGTGGCCGACACGTCAAATGGCAAGGCGACTGTGGTTTCACCAGAGTACGACAGTGTAAACGACCCCCACAGGGGTGCAATTCCGCCCAAGGCCCCGCCGACATCTTTCTCGGACGTCAATGTCATGGTCGCTCCTGTGGACGGTGAGTACGTCAGGGCTGGCAAATTGCCTTGGGCTGTTGTGAATTGAATAAATACACGAATCCCCGCCGCCGTACACAGCGCCGTGGTGGCTGATTCAGTCGTCACGGTCACTGGAGACCCCACAAGCGTTTGTATTTGACTCGCGAACGCACTCACGGTGCTCGTAGCAAGGACGTTGACTGTGTTGGCCACGGAGCCATATGAGACATCGAACGCCCCCGCGGTCGCTGGCGTCGCGGCCACACACGTAAACGTTTGAATTTCTTGCCGGAAGGATGTCACGCCGGGCGTGCTTTGGCTCACGATGGCATTGGCATTGGCGACAAAGTAAGGCAATGGTCCCGCGAGTCCGGTGAACGTGACGACGAACGCTTGACCATTCGTCACGGTGGTCCCGGTGGCTGCAGTGACAGTCACCCCTCCAGCACCGATGGTGGCAACGGCCCCCAACGCCGTAGCAAGCGCTGTGTAGGTCGTGCCGGTGGTGACAGTGATGGGAGCGGACCCTCGAAAGCTCAGCGTAAACGACGAAGCTTGAGGTAAGATTTGCTGCACAGTGTTAACGTTGGCGACAATGGCGGCACGGGTGCGCAGCACCTGCACTTCGTTTCGCCTAGCGTCTTTGGCTTGCAGCAGGAACGAAAAGGGCTGGCCAGCCGTGCTGGGCAACGTTTCCACGGCGTTGATCTGCGTGTAGTCTGTGGGGAGGGCGCTGGAGTACCAGTTGCCACCGGCCGCCACGGAGCTAAATCCGTCCACCACTGCATTCTGAACAGTCATCGTAAATGGACTCCCGAGGATGTGAATGTCATTCGCGGTAATGTTCATCGTGTACACCCCTGCAACAGTCATGGTGTAGCCCACGGGGTAAATCCCAGCTGAAGCTGGCGTCGTCACTGCTAGAGGAAATCCATACAAGCTGGCCGTGTTAGCTGGATATTCCACTGCCAGCTTGGCCGTGGACCAGCTGCTCAGTCTGGATAGAAATGTAATGCTCCACACGTAGTTGCCAGCACCGTTCACCGTTCTGGACACTTGAACGCGGTTCAACGGGTCGAGCAATTCCAGTGCATACTTGATTCCAGCGGCGTTGACATTTTGAGGCAGAAGGGCTGTGAGACGGGGTGTCGTTGCTGAAATGTACAAGCTGGTCGCTGCACCCGTGAACCCAGCGCATCCGTGGTTTGCATTCACAGTGATGGTGGTAGTGGTCACAGCTGTTGGGGTCAACACACACGCATTGACGGTGAATTTAGTGTTCACGGCAATAAGCCCGACTAGGTTGACGTTGACCGTGATGACGTTTCCGGCCAAACTCTGGGCACAAGCAGCACACAGCAATGTCGAGAATGAGCCATACGTAAGCTTGAATGTTCCTACTTGGGCACTGTTTGGAGAAGTCAGCACCTGGACGGCCGACGAGGTGGTCACAGTGTCCAGAGGCGATGCAATCGTGACTAAAAACACATCGGATCGTCCATCTCCCGTCGAAGTCGACCGGAGAGTGGTCGCACCCACTCGTAAGTTGCCAAACGAATCCAACGCGTAGATGGAAAACGAGTTGGGAACGTTGGACGTGGCCAAACTCAACCCTTGGGTCCCCGTGTCAGTCGCGTACGACGTGGGGGGATGGAGGACATTGTGCACGACGGTGAGGCTGGACGTGCTGCCGATGGCGCTGCAGACTTGACCTGGACACATGAGAACGGGCGAGTTCTGAAAGTACGTTGCCATCGTGTACACTCCGGCCTTGGGCACGGACAATTGGACGTTGTACAGTCCCGTCGCCTGGTACTCCAGCACACTGCTGCGATACCGCACGGTGGGGTCGGCTACTAGCACAATGCGCGTGTCAAAGACATCACCCCCCACTTCCCGTTTGTTAGCATACGTGTCCTTGGCTTGGATCGTAAAGTTGGAGGCTTGTCCAGCAATCATTTCGACCAGACTGTCCATGTTGGGGGGGTTTGCGCCGGTGGCAGTGCTAGTGTATGGTACAGTCTTGCCGGAGGTCACGACGACTGTAAATGGACTGCACTTCAAGGCGGCCCCCAAGCCACAGTAAATAGGGGAGCCCCCAATTTGAATCGACAGTGCGTACGTGCCACTCACAGTCGCCTTGTACGAGACCAAGTATTGCCCTTGTCCGAGGTACTCTGGGGTTTTGAATGGCGTTAGTTTCGCAGTCGTGCCAACAGTTCCGGTCAGTTGCACGTCGAACACATCACCGTCTACTGTCTTGTTGTTTCCGCGCTGGTCCTTGGATTGAATGATAAACGTGGCGACATTTCCAGCCGTGGAGCTTCGCAGACCGTCTCCCGTAGCAGTTGTGTATGGAAAGTCCGTTGCACCAGGTATGACATTCAACAAGTACGGGCTGCCCACGATATGACTTGGCCTGTAAAACGCAGTGGACGGGATCACTTGGATAGGCACAAACGTACTGCTCCATTGCAAGCTCAGGTAGGCACTTCCCGTGGCTTTGTGGAATTCCAGCCGGACGTCGTGATACCGGTTCGCAATCAAGTTGAATCGAACTGTGGTCGAGCTTGGATTGTCGTCGTCCCAAGTATCCACCACCAGCGAATGGTCCAACCATAACCGGACGCCGTGTGATGCATCCAGGTAAAACACGTACTCGTCGGTGAAACTGGCTTTGAGTTTGCCCCACCAGCGAATGCTCACGTAATCTTGTCCAAACGTTGTGATGGGGGATTGCCCCCATTGGAACTGCAGTCGAGGGTCGACTTGGCTTTGCACGGGGGCGTCTTGAAGCCAAAAATTGTCAAAGTACAGGGCGTTCAGACCCCCAGGGGTTAGCTGCGTGACAGCCAGCGAATACGACCCTGGTAGGGCCGGCACATAGTTGGCAGTGTAACTCGGAGTGCCGCGCAGTTTCTTTTCCACAGTCAGCACTGGGTTGTTGCCAGTCAATGCTTTGAGGAGCCCAGATTGCACTTCTGCCACGGACACCCCCGGAAAACTCCCCGAGAGCCGCTGGAAATTCGCCACGAGCAATGCATTCGGCCCCAACTCCGTGCGAAACGTGACAAGCCACTGGAATTGCCCGCCCGAGCTGAGCAAGTTGCTGCGGGTGACATCCACACGCCCGATCGACGTCAACGATTCCAAGGCCGCTTTCACATCTTTCGCATTGGCATCGTACGAGATGGGCGCCGACTCTTGGCCGTTGAATGACAACGTGAACGTTCCGTACAGTGGCGTGGGGCTGCCCCCGCTGGTAGTAACCGACTGCACTTGGTATTGGTACGGTGATGCCTGGAGAAGGGGCAAATTGCCCACGTTTTTCGTAAACGAAATCGTCCACTTGAATCCCACGTTGAGGTTTGTGCGGGCCACGTCGACTTGGCTGATCAACGGCATTTTTTCCAGTTCTGCCTTGAGCTGCAGCGCCGAAATGTCGTACGGCAAGTTCAAAGTCGTCTGGTCGACAAAACTGAGCACGAACGTCCCAGCCAGCGGCGACTGGCCCTTGATGACTTCGTTCACATACACGTTCGCGGACGTTCCTGTGAGTGATTTGGTCGTAATTTGAAGCGATGGCACGTCTCCCACGAGGGTTGTGAACGTGATGAACCACGTCGTGAGGCCCGTGGACGCGCCGTAGTTTGCACTTTGAGATGTCACCGTGACCGTTCCCAGGTTAGTCAGAGATTGCAAGGCCAGTTGGACTTGGTTAGTTGTGGCAGACACGGATAACGTCACTGGAGGCGCACCCGCAAACGACACTGCAAACGTCCCACCGATGGTGGTTACACCCCCCGTCGCATCTAACCACGTCGACACACTTTGCACTTCCTGGACGAACGCAGTATCTCCGGCGGCGGTCACCGTCTGAATCTCTGTGGCTCCGCGAGCCACTTCTGTAAACGTCAGCACGCCAGCTTGGGGAGTGGTGAATGTAGCGTCCGTGCTAACGAGCATGAGGGGCGGAATGTCACCCAAGGAAGTCACAAACGTCACAGCATACGTCCATGACGACGCACTGTTGGTCGTCCGCGTCACCAGGACGGTCCCGGCGTTGGTCAAGGCCTCCACACATCCTTTAAACGAAAACGCAGCATTCAAATCGGAGGCTGTGGCCAACGTGGCTGCATTGAGAGGGACTGTGGACGTGGAAAGGACGCCACCCAGTCGAGCCACCGACGTGTCCAGCTTGACTGTGAACAGGCCCGTCGACGCTGTGATTGTGATGCTCTGGATTTCAAACGTGGCGGGATTGTACGTAGCCACCCCCCCGTCGGCTACCCACGCATGGGTTCCGTCCACCACGTTGGCCGGACTTGACCACAGTTCTGTGAAGAACGTGTCGCTGCCCACAAATCCGGATGCCGCGTCCAGGTCCGTCACGACGTTGCCAGACGCTTTTTTCGGCTCGATTGTAAACTGGTTGGCTCGGCCTTGAATGAACTCGGCCGCTGTGACCGCCGCACTACTGGTTACCAGCAACGGGGCGTTGCCTACGTAGTCTCGAAACGTAATATACCACATCGAGTCGGCAGCGCCATTGACGGCCATTTTCGTGATGGACACCGTGCCAAGGTTGGTGGCTTGGAGCAGGCTGGTCAGCGTGTCGGCACTTGTTGCCACTGAAACGGGGGCCGTGGGGACGAACGAGCCGAATTTCAACGTAAACGTTCCCGCACCGAGGCCGTTGGTCGTGACAGTTTGCACTTCGTACACAACGCCCGCGATCCCAACATGAAGCGCCGTGCCGGACGCCGTCGTCATGGCTGAGCTCGCGCCGCCTCGGGCGTCTATGGACGGCGTCGTCGGACTCGCAATCCCCACGCCAGCAGTGTTGATTGCTACCATAGCGTACGAATACCACGTGTCGGACGTCAAGTTGGTCGCTTGGTAGGACAGCACATCCGGCGAATTCGAGCCATCATACACGATCCTGCCCGGGGTCCCATCTTGAATCGACGTGACCACGCCCGTGGCGCCGCCTCCCGTTAGCCGCCCCGACGTGATTCCAATCAACGGGACGTTGCCGAGTTCAGTCAAGAACGTCACTACCCAAACCCCGGCGCCGTTCGCTCCGGCCGTGTAGGCCCCAGCCACGTGCGTGATACTCGGGAGGTTTTCCAGCTGCCGTTTCATTTCCACCCACGGCGTGTTGTACGCCAAGTGCGGCGTCTCATACCCCAGAAACGACAAGGTAAAGTCCCCGCCGGCGACCGTCGTGCCCAGCGCGACTCGGGTCACCGAGTACGAGTACGCCACGAGCGGATTCGTACTGGTTAGTTGCTCGGGCTCCACGACCAGAAGGGGAACTGGGCCGGTCGTGCCGGTGTACGACACTGTCCAGGTGATGCCATTCGTGATGGCGACTTGGCTGACAGTCACCGTGAGCCCCGTCGTCGCAATTTGAGTGGCCAGCAGTGAGTTGGAGATCGCCACGTCCAACAGCGGCGTGTCTTTGCCGTTCATGTTAAGTATGAATTTACCCGTTGCGCCGGTGATGGTAAACGATTGCACTTCAGTCGTAGGCGTTTGAACAGTGATCGCAATTTGCTGCACTTCGTTCAGGACTGGCGTCGGCGACGACAGCAAGGCCGAGTTGACGCCGCTAAACTGCCAGAGGAAGTACCCTGTCAACGGACTCCCATTGCACGACGTTTGGCTCGACGTGCAGAGCAAAGGAGGGGACCAAGTGAGGGAAATCGACGACGGCGACACATCAGTCACGATGGGGGCTGCAGGGGCGTTGGGAGAATTCGCCATCGCGACGGTCAAGATGGGACTGTTGGCAGAATACCCCACTGCATTCAACGCTCGAACGTAGAATCGATACATGTTGCCTTCGGTGAGTGACCCCACGGACGTGGTGTACCCGTACGGAAACACACCAGTGAGGGTTTGCAGGAGAAATCCCGATCCGGAATCCATGTACACCTGGTAGTCGGTGATAGGTGACCCACCATTGTCGAGGGGAGGCTTCCAATTGAGAAAGATCACTCCGTCCCCTAGAACAAGAGGCAGACCCACGTTTGTCTTGGAGTCGCGGGTAGGTGCAGCCGGCGCAGAGGGGATCACAGGCGACCGCACCGTATACTTAGCGGGGTCGCTAAAGCTACCAAAGCAAGCGACCGACGGGTTGGCGGGTTGACAGTAGGTGATCGCACGCACTTTGAGCGCATACTGCTGCCCCGTGCTGATTTCATTGTCGTTGGTCGTCACAAGAGTGTACGTAGTCACGACGCTGTTTGCTCCGTCGTACACCATCCGGTAATTGTCGTTCCAGTCCGACAGCCACAGCTGGTATCCGGTCACGACTGACCCGCCGTTCACGGTAGGCAAGGCCCAAGACACTTGCATTGACGTGGCTGTTGTCGACACGAGCAGCACGGGCTCCGGTTTGCCAGGGGCGGTGGCTTGGGGGATCACAGAGGGGGGCGTCGAGTACACTCGGATTCCATGGCCAAGCGCATTGTGAAAGTTGGCTCGGGCGTAATATGGTCGTCCCGTCGTCAAGCCCAAGAGGTTGGTCAGTAGCGGCGCGCCGCCCGACAAGTCAGTTAAGTCGCGGACGTTGGCAGGGCCTGCACCCGGGGTGACTTCAGTTACCGCCACGACGGCATTGTTAGCCACGCCTCCGGTGAGCGTGCCAATGAATTGCGGCACGAGGGGGCTGAGGTTGCCTGTGTTGCACACATTCGTCACTTGATCCGCCAAGAGTCGGCAACCAACGAACGACACGAGCCACGTGAACCCGCTGGCGGCTTGCGCTCGAGACACACCTACCCGACCAATGGAATTGACCGTTTCCAACGCCGCTTTGAGCGCCGTGGCCGAAATGTACGGGCTCAACGCACTGGTACACAGCGACGAATAGCACAGCGAAAACGTTCCACCGACTGAAGTCGACCCGGTCGTGACCCGGGCAGGGGTGACCGTAGCGGTAGTGCTGGTCCCCGTGAGAAAGGTAGTGTTTGTGGGCGTCATGAGCGAGATAGTACCAGCCCCGTACGGAAAGTTGCCTGGATTCGACGAAAACGTCACGGTCCACACATAGCCCAACTGGAGCGTCGGACCAGTGCGCACCACGGTCACGGTGCCCAAGTTGGGTAGACTTTCCAGCCGCTGCTTCACCGTCGTGTCAGACGCGTCGTACGGAATCCAGTCCGTGACGTGCCCCATCACATTCAGCGTGAATTGTCCCGATACTTGATTTCCGCGCACAGACGCGACCACCGAGCCCAGCGTCGCCCCGTCGGCGTACACTTGAATCGTGGCGCCGTTGCCGGTGAGCTGGTTGTTGGCCAAACGGAGCGTCGGTACGTCTCCGCTGTTGACAAACGTCACGCGCCACAGCCGTTCCCCTGCAGCGATGTTGGCTGCCGGGAGGGCAGAAGTGCCGTCGGTCACCGTGATGGTCAGCCCCGCCTCCAGAGCTTGCAAGGCCGTTTGCACCGCTGCGGCCGTCGCTGTCGCTTGGATGGGGACAGTCACGGTATCGGATCCCCGATTATAAACCAACGAGAACATCCCCCCAGGTGCGGCTTGGCCGGAAGTCGTTTTCACCACGTCGATGCGGCGGTTCCCAGTCAGCAACGTCGTGTTGGCGGTGAGGGAAGGCAGGCTGCCAGCGTACCCCACCACCGACGTAAATGTGACCGCAATGCCGCCAGCGCACCCTGAGACCAGACATGGGGCACAAGCCTGGGTCGCGCCGCCCACGAACGCCACGGAGACGGTGACCCCCGCCAGTTCTTGCAACGTGGCTTTGATTACGGCTACCGAAGTCTCACTGGCCAAGATCGGAGCGGTGGTGGCGCCAACAAAGGTGAGCGTGAACGACCCGCCCGACGCGTCGCAGTTCACGCGTTGGACTTCAATCGCGGCTGGAGCGACGTACGTGCTGACAAGGCGGACGAGCTGCACTTCGCTGACGATGGCGGCCGCGGTGGTGATGGTCTGGACTTCGTTTGTCACGGGTACCGTGAGCACGACACTTTGCACTTCGTCGACGATTTGCTGCGTATCCCACTCGACGCGATATGCGTCCACGGGAAGCCCGCCGTCCGAAGTGGGAAACCCGAGGGATACCTGGAGCGACGTGTGGCCCAGCACGGACATGGTCAGGTTTTGGGGGGCACGAGGGGGTTCTACATACAATAATCATCTTTTGACCTGCAAAATGAAGCATGCAACCAACGTACGAGCGACAGGAATCGCAAACGGGGGGGTCGACATCTGCGGCACACTGCGACCGATGGCGTTGAGAGCCGTCACTCGAATATAGTAGGGGATGTTTGTGTCTAGAATCGGCATCGTTGCCGACAGCGTGCTTAAGTCTGTGATGAAACTGCGGCCCATTGGAACCCCTAAATATCATTCCATGTGAATTTAGAATTGTCATGATATCAAGGGTACCGTTGGCAACATCGCGCGAATTGAAGGGAGGCGGGATGCCAGGAATGGTTTCCGTGATAGTCACCGTGGGCACGGTCCCAACGAGGGCGGCAAAGTCGGCTGTCAGCGGGGGCAAGTTGCCCAAATTCAGAAACGTAATCGCCCACGAGTACCCGCCGTTCGGGTCAACATTGGATCGCACAACCGACACGCCGTCCACCGTCGAGAGAAGTTCAAGCGCGTTCTTCATGTCCGCCGCGGCGATGTTGTACGGCAGGTATCCCGTCGTTTGGCCTCGGAATTGCAACGAAAAGAAGCCCCCCAGCGGCGCGGACGTCCCCGTAGTGACCAACGCAGCCGTGACGGTCGTACCGGATGAAGTGGCCGCGCTTCCGAACACACCGCCCATCGCCACTTGCAACAAAGCCAAGTTGCCTGCATTGTTGTCGAACGTAACACTCCAAGTACACGTTTGCTTGAGCCCGGCGACGGCCGTGACGGTGACCGACGCAACATTCGCGAGCTTTTCCAGCTCCGATTTGATGATTTGGACGGTTCCGTCTTGCACGGTCGTGATCGTGACCGTGTCGTCGCCGACCGTGATGGCACTGGCGGGCCCATTGGTTCCAGACACGGCAGTCATTTGGTTTAAATTGCCTGCGTTGTTGGTAAACGTAACGTCCCACTGACATGATTGGGTCGACGTTGTAGCTACGTTGGACACGGTCACGGGCACGACGACCCCGGGCAGCTTTTCCAGCTCAGCCTTGATGGAGGCGGCCCCCACGGTGCAGTTGCCGGCGCTAGGGTTGGCCAAGATGCGGTTAGTGGTTTGGGTTACCCCGCGCGACGTGAACACGAGCTGGAAGAACGTGAGGGGGGACACGAGGTTGTCGCCGCCCATGTTGGTCGTGTCGACAGTACTGGTCTTGATGCGCTGGATCTCGGTCAGCGTCGACATGCATGTGCCATCGCCCATGGGGTTGGCCGGAATGTTTCCCGTGGTCGTGGTCACGCCGTTGTTTGTAAACTGGAGCTGAAATGTACTGGCGACGGGCACCGCCGTCAAGGTCGTGGTCGTCGCGATGGATTGGACGGCTTGGGTGGTGCCGGGCCGAGTGCGCACGACCGTGATGGCCTTGGACACGACGCTGTCGCTGCGAGTCTCCGTGAGGGTGCCCGTCGTAAACCCCAGTGCCGACACTGGGCCCTTCAGCGTCAAGAACGAGATCGTCCACGTGTACCCGAGCTGGTAATCGGGGCCAGATCGAACGACTTTGACGGTGCCAATGCCAGGTATAAGCTCAAGCGCTGCTTTCACCGCCGTGTCCGTAGCACTGGACGCTAATTGGGTCGTGGGCACGGTATTGTAGATGAGGGTAAAGAACCCGCCGAGCTGGTTGCCTTGTGTCCCAACTGTCACGACGGCGTTGGCCCCCGTGGCGACCAACGTATTCGCAATCCCCAGAAGGGGCACATCGCCTGCGTTGAAGCTGGACAAAAACGTTATCGTCCACACATACCCCCCTTGAAAGTCGGGGCCGGTGCGCGACACGGCCAGAGAGTCCACGGTTGGTAGTGCTTCGAGGGCAGCTTGCACAACGGCATTGCTGGCATCCCTAGGAATGCTACTTGTGGTACTGCCGCCAAAGGTCAAAGTGAAGTAGCCATCGCTGATGACGTTGCCAGGAGTGGCAGTCGTGATTGCCACAGCGGCCCCCGCGCCAATCAAAGTCGAACTCTGCAAAGACAATTGAGGCACGTTGCCCATCGATGCATCAAACGTAATGGACCATGCGTAGCCCCCTTGGGTATCCGGACCAGATCGAGAGACGGCAAAGACGCCGGTGGGGCCAATGTTGGCCATGGCGTTGAGGATTTCTTTCATGCACGACCGGTCCCCGGATGCCCCAGCTGTGAAGCCAATGACACCAGACAACCGCACGCTGCCACCAGTGGACGTCGTGTCAAGCTGGAGCGTGAAACCACCGCCCAGTGTCTGGCCAGGAGCGGCGGTCGTCGTGACAACTTGCACTTCCCGAATCATCGTCGCAGAGGTGGTCACGATTTGGATTTCGTTCACGTCGGCCGCTGACGTGGTCACGGTTTGCACTTCGTTTGCTCCCGTGTATGTTGATGTAGTGACCGTTTGAACTTCTTGGACACCAGGATTTGGGTCCCAATCCACCTACAAAACATCGATACATGCGGTTTACGTGTCGATACGAAGCAGTACCTCATATGCCGACACGGTGGAGCCGCCATCGCTAAGCGGGGGGGAGAAGGAAACGAATAGATCATGCTGATCCACGACAGACAGCTGTACATTTGTGGGAGACGTGGGTACTAAAAAAACTATGAGGACTTATGTATCGATGTGGAAGCACACCTGTTTGTAGCGCGGCGGACGTCAACCAAGGGATGCCGATGGCCGAGAGCACCAAGAGCCACATCGAGTGCTTTCCATGTGCAAAGAAATGCGCCATATAGTTTGCGGCGGGCAACGTGACGCTTGGCACGACCTGCTTCAATCAGGGGTGGCCAACCACGGAAACTGCGGCCCTCCCAAAAGGCGCGATCTTGGATCAATGCTGACACGGGATTGGTCGAAAAAACAATGGAAGATTATTCAGACAGGACCAATCAACGCACTTTCCATCAAACAATACCAAACAAACTATACTATACTGGACGTCGGCTTACGACACATACACTCTCGTTTAGCCCAATACCGGTGGGCAAAACCTACCAAAGCCGTGTCGAAACGGTATTCGATGCTTTTTGCGAATAGCAAATCATGGAAGCCTAGGCTACTGCACTCGTATACAAGGTAACGTTATTGCTGTACCTCGAGGACTTTAATCGACTGTCACGATGGGCGAATAAAGGGTACTAGGACAGTACTGTGGATTCGGTACAAATTTCCAGACCCCGTCGAATCGAATCTCGCCAATCACGAATCGACGCTATTGGCTAATCGAATTTTTAGCGGATTTGATTGGCTCTTAGAGAAAGGGCACGTACAATCAACCAATCAGAACTTGAGCGTGGTTCAATATTGATTATTACAAACAACCCGAATTTTGGAAGTTTAACTGTTAAGCGAATTCACAATCCTATATACTACTTCGAAGTAGTAGTACTACTGTAGTACTGTACTAGTACTTGAAGTACTTGGAAGTAAGTTGTTTGTACGTGTCGAGTGGGAGATATCCACGTCGGTGATTGGTGCGTTCTGTTGGATTTGTTCAAGGGCCACATTATGAACCCAATACCGTTACGAATTGCAAGCCGCCGTCTGTGATTGGTCCGATCCGATTGTACGGATACTACGAACGGGCGACGAAGAATGGGGGCAGCCATTTCGCAACTTCCTTCATGGCAGCATCCAAGGAAGATACGCTGCCGATCCTCGCCAAACCCGAGGCGATGGTGCCTCGCCGGACCAAGGTGATCTATGCCGTGGCAGCCGTGGTGGCGTTGATCGTTGTGTTTGTCGTAATTAGCCTCGTTCCAGCTGCTCCCCACTCCAAAACCTTGCCGCTGCATGGAAACCTTCCCATTCTCACCAAGAATCCAATCATCGGCATCCATTCCCATGAATCATCCACCTACCACGACGAAAACATTGCTGCGTCGTACGTCAAGTGGGTCGAGAGCGCAGGTGGCCGCGCCGTGCGCATTCCATACAACGCGTCCAAGAGCGAACTGAGGGCCCTGCTGCAGAGCGTCAATGGAGTGTTGTTTCCCGGTGGCGATGGTGACCCAAACGAAGCTGCGGAGATTATTTACAAGTACGCGATCGAGTTGAACGACCACGGGACGTACTTCCCCGTCTGGGGCACGTGTTTGGGCTTTGAGTGGCTGGTGCAGCTGCAGGCCAAGAACAACTCGATCTTAGACACGGTGGACGCCGCCAACATTAGCTCGACACTAACGTTCCAGCGGAACGCCAACGCCCCCAGTCGCATCTTCGCCTTCAGTCCTGTGTTCGACGTGCTGGAAGCGGCCCCACTCACCGACAACTTCCACGACTTTGGCATCTTTGACACGCACTTCGCCGCCACCGAGTCCCTCACGTCGTTCTACAACCCCGTGGCAACGTCCGTGGACCGCCAAGGCCGCACGTACGTGTCTGTGATCGAGGCGTACCAGTATCCGTTTTACGGTACGCAATTCCACCCCGAGAAGAACGCGTTCGAGTTTGGCGAGTACCCTGACGGGAACCTGTGGAAGTGGATCGACCACAGCTATGAAGCGATCCTGACGTCGCAAGCGTTTGGGCACTTTTTCATCCAAGAAGCAAGGCGCAACAACCACACGTTTGCCGATCCCATTGCCAAGCACAACTCGCTCTTGTACAACGTCCCCACGTCGAACCGATCGTATCCTACCTTCGTCGAAGTGCTAGTGTTCCCTTAAGCCCCATGAACGCTGCTTCATACACGTGTGTGTGTGGTGTTGCTTCGCATTACTACTTAACCACGTACACTCCTTCAGGACAATGAAGGATGGGCTAAAGCTAAACAGGCGACTTTGCCCCGGATGCACCAGGTTCAATGTCAAGCTCAACTTCTGCGTGTTGTCGAGGATGCGGAGGTCTCCTGTGTGGAGCTGCACCAGCCACTCAAAGGCCAAGCACGCTCCCCACAACGAGATGTACGTGCCATTTCGATTTAGATCGAGCGCGCGGGCGTACAGAAACGCCGCGGTGGGGCTCGGCTCTGGGTCGCCGCCTGGGAAAAGGATACCGTTCACGCTGGCCACGAGGCGAATCAGGTCTGCCTCCGACACGTTCCATGGATCCGCACCGCCCTGCCTCCGGCACTTTCAATACAATTGATGTACGACGCCGCAATGAACTCATCCCCAGAGGTCTGGTCTTGGTGCGAATGCACGCCAATGATGGGGCTTTGCGTTCGAACTTGTACAAGGACTTCCGATGACGTTTGGTCGATAGCGATGGATGGGTCGACGCAGTGGCATGGACACACCATCATGAGCGCCACCAAGGCTAACAGTGGCAGGGAGACATGGCCCCATCGAAAGCGTGTCGATCGTTGCAGCATGGGTTGAAGCTCGAGCGCATTGAACTTCGTGGTCATCGAGATGATATACCTATCTTGATGTGTAATGTGGATGTCCTGAACTCAAATTCGAATTTAGGGAGACTGTTGATCATGGAAGGTCCACGGAATATTCGACCTTTTATCACTTCAACATCCTTGTTGACTTGAATTAATTATTCACGGGAAACGTCAAAGTCGACTCAAAGTACGGGTAGGATCGACTCGAGAGCGTCGGGTTGAGCAGCAGCGCGTCGCGCTCAGCGGCTGGGTCGGCGAACGCGTGGCCGTTGCGGCGCGCTTCACCGATGAAGAAGTGCCCAAACGTCTGGGAAATCACAATCGCCTCTTGACTGTGGTCCACGAGGTTCATGGTGCCGCCCGTCTTGTCATCGCCGATCTCGTACGGGTTCTTTTCCGGGTGGAATTGCACGGCGTAGATCGGATAATCTTTCGCTTCGAAGGCCGCCACGTACGTTTGGCCTTGTTGGTCGTCCGACGTGGCGAGTACCTACGCTTTCGTTGGTTAGTCCTTGCTCCTGTGCTAGGGAACTTAGCGTGTACGTACATTGTAGAACGACGTGAGCTTGTCGGTGGCGTCAAAGTGACTCTTTAAGATCCCGTTGAAGTGGAAGTTGGCAGTGATGGGCTTGGTGGCCAACACGTCAAAATGGTGGCTGAACCCAAATAAACGGCTTTCACCCTGGAAGTTGTGGTGAAACTGCAGGGTCGAGCTGACGTTGTCGGCATCGACGTGGTCCAGGATCGAGTGGTTGCCAGCCTGCAGCACCACGAGCCATTCAAAGCCGAGGCAGGTGCCCCACACGGGGAAGTGGTCGCCGTTGTTGTTGAACTCAATCGCTTGGCTGTAAATGTACTCCGCGGCCGCGTTCGGGTCGCCCGATCCTCCAGGGAACAGCACGCCGTTCACACTCTTAAGCAGCACGTCTAGTTCCTCCTTTGTGGCGTTGTACGGGATGCGCACGCCACGACCACCGGCACTCTCGACCCACTTCAAGTACGATGCTACGATGAAGTCGTCGCCGTGCTCTTCGTCACGATGGGAGTGGATTCCAATGATGGGATTGCGCGTCAAGATTGGCAGTGGCGCACGAAGGGACGTCACGTTGGCGGTGGTGGTACGGAACACTGTTGATGGCACGTAGATGGCCAAGGCGAACACCGCCAGCACGCCGACGGCCAGCAGTGGCGCGAGGCGTCCGCGGCGGGGCTCGGACGTCTTGAACAGGATGGGCACGCGGTCCGTTTGATATGCCATCGGGCCTGTAAATGTTCGAATGGCACTTGGGGCTTGGAATGTGAAACGGGGGGCGGAATACCAATTTCTCTTCTAAAAGGTTCTTTTGGGACTGATTTTCTTGCTTTGAATGAACTTCAACATGGCTACCATACCTATTGAGGCAATTTGGGTGTGGACCCTTGGGCAGAGCGGTGTGGCCTCTATGAGAGAGCACTCTTGGCAGTGCCTTTGTCATGGAGCTGATGGTGGAACCGGCAGAGACGGCCGTCGCATCGCCCAGTTGCCTGCAGACGCTGCTTGCTCCTCCAAATCACTTGATGTAAGTTACATCCGCAATGTCGAATCACAGTGGGTGCTTCAACTCTGTCACGAAATGAAACGTGCATTCACACTATTTGTATTACCTCACATTATGGGGAATACGCCTGAATTTAGTGTGAGATACAACTTTGGATACAGCATGGCTGACGCTGCGATTGTCATCGCCGTGGTGGCGCTGGTGCTGCCCTTGGGAGTGGTGGGACTGGTGTACTGCGTCGACCCTAACAAGTAGGACGCTCAGTGCTTGCTCCAATCTCATATTTGTCATAATGCGTTTGCTAGAAATGGGGTTCTGAGCTCGTTGCGTCGATTCGTCCTCGATACGTTGCCGTCATGGAGCAGGTTGGACGTGGCTTACATTCGAGTGAACCCACTCTCTGACCATGCTTACGTCGTTAGTGACGTGCTGTTAAAGGTCTGTGGGCCAAGTATTCACAGTGATGTAGTGGATGCCATTGACTACGTCTTGAATCGACCGAATCCACTCATGCAAGTACGTACAGGTCGTGTTGCATGATAACAATGCCCATGCTCCATAATGGTTTGATGGTTGGCTATAGGTGGTGTATTTGCACTTGGTCATTGGGGGGTACGCCCTCTTTATCGTGTTTGGCCAGCCGTTGCTGCCCAACGTGTACCTGTCGTATAACCATGTGTACTATAAGCCAACAACAATTCATTTCTCTTTGTCCCTGAGGATCGCTCTAGTTATTACGCAGGAGGTGCTGCGCTGGCCGCGTTGGTCACGTTCTTGCAAGTCTGTACGACCAGTGCTGGCGTTGTCAACGCACGTAAGCGCTACCGATCGTCCATATATTGCATCAAGTGATGACAAGTATGATTCCTAGGTGACTCGTTGGTGCAGTACCATGCGTACGAGTTTGACCAAGTCATGTATATACGTGGAAACGCGTGCAAAACTTGTCACTTGAACAAGTACGAGACTATACATAGGACTACTACTGCATATACGATGGGCAATCTAGACCAGCTCGATCCAAGCACTGCACTGTGTGCAATGTATGCGTGCCGCGATTCGATCACCGTACGTTGGCGATCGTACCATAAGAACTGACGTGATGGGATTGTAGACTGCGGTACGCACGGGGCTTGGTAGAATTTGCAAACATGTTGTTGAGGATGTGTATATCCATGTAGCTTGGCTGAATGGTTGTGTGGGCGAGCAGAATTACCGGTACTTTGTCCTGTTCATTGTCGTACGTATACACCTACAGTAGTATCTTGTCGATATGGGCAAAGTCGACATGTGTACACTAGTCCAACTCGTTGCTGTGTGTTTACGGCGGCATCATCCTGCTCTACACTCTCTTGGGCGAGGTCAGTTTTTGCACGAGAGTAAGTAACGATGACGAATGTTGTCACAGATAGAAGTAGGTTGTGACGTTGCACTTGTTTGAGTCGAAATACATCAACTACGACACGGGCGCGCCCACGGACGCGACGGTGTGGATCGTGGCGCGATATATCATTTACATCCACCCCGTTGTGTGCATGCTATTTTTCATGTGTCTTGTCATGGGTATGTAGCTCCAGTACATCTTAATTCCTCGACAGTAAACTCGTCATGCTAGGAGCGGCGTTGGTCGCGTTTGCTGGCTTCCACCTCTACTTGGTCGCTTCGAACCGCACGACGAATGAATTTTTCAAGTATTTTCCAATAATTGGATTGTTTTTGGTTGTTTTTGAAGTATTTTTGCGTAGACAGTGGGCCATGGCGCCCCAAGTCCGTGCATCCGCCGCGACGTTTTACAGCCGCTCCGTTGTGGACAATATGGTCGAGGTATGTCATCATGACATGTCCATATACGTCACAGTGACGCTGTTTCCCGCAGGTTTTCTTTCCAAAAGCCACGGCTGTTATGCGACCTTGGACCAAAAAGACCAATTAAGATATATATCATTTTCGTTATTTGAGTTGGTCGACGATAGAAGGCATGTTCCGTCGCTTGGATTGAATCGCGGTGGGCGTGACAAACTCGGCTAGGGGCAAGGACTGTTTGCTGCAATGGGATGTGCATAGCCATTCTGCCACCATGCACACATACATGCCGCAATCATACGCATTGTGTTGCTGGGGACAGGGGACGCTGCGGACGACAGAGTCTGTGGGCAACCCCAACGCGCGTCCAAGCACACCTGCCACTTCCATAGCGCTGTCGAAGTTGTGGTCTGCACTCGAATCGTAAAACTGGAACCCGTGGGCGGTGGAGTACACCAAGAGCGCCCAATGGCTTCCTTGCGAGTCGAAACTGCGTCGGTCGTTTACGGGCAGCACTATGAGCGATTTCTCCTTGAGTTGAAGCCCTTGGGCCAAATCCATTAAGTCTTCGTCGTCGTCGCACTACAGACGCAGGGGTTCGTGTTCTGGTCAGCTTGCACAAGGTGAAAGGGGATGGATTTATGCATTGTACCTGTAGCATCATGCACGAGACCACAGCTGGATCCATGAGGAGAACGTCCCCGGGTGCACCACATAGTGTATGGAACACCACCGTGAAGTAGAAATGGATGGCTGCATCATTGAGCCATGCATTTGTCGTGAAAAGCCGCAAGTCGCGGTCATACAGCTGTGCGTCATGGAACAGGACTGCTGTGGCCATGCTGGATTTTGATTGATGTCTCAGTTGTGGTATCCGGATAATCACTGGATAAGTCTGCCCTTGAAACCGGTTTCGTAACCGAACATGCAAACGACGTCGCCGGGCCACTGCAAACATGACAAGCTTGCAAGCTATTGCACAAAGCATTGGCAACGCCAAGAACACCGAGATCGATGAGATCGAAGATGAGACACATGCCGATGTTGGGCCTAAACAAGTCACGTTGAAACAAGTTGCCCACGACATAGACGCAGATGGTGGCGTCGTTGGAGAGGACATCAAATCACCACCAGACTCTGATAGCCAGCCCCCAACGTCACTCAAAAGTGTTGCCAGTGCCCAACGGATGAGTTTGGCAGACTTTGCAAAACAACAACAGCAGAACGTGTCCACTCCGAATGCTGGGAAACCCTCGAATGAGGCTGCATTGGACCGACCACCCAGTCTTGTCGACGTGGCTAAGTCCACCGTCAATGAACAGTCGTCGAGTCGCGTAAGTTTAATGGACGTGGCCAACTCCAAAAGTTCTAGCCTCCTGGAGGTGGCCACTTCCAGACCTCGAACGAGTTTGCTGGAATCTGTGCAGAAACAACAAGTGGCAGACGGGGCCTCTCTCGTAGAAATTGCGAAGGCTAACAAGGCCAAACAAACGTCGACCGTGGCCAAAGTTCTGGGGTCCATTGCCCGAGAAGAAAGCCAGGTCATAGGCAACCACATCGAGGCCACGATGAAGCAAGTGCGGGACGAAGTACGGCGCGAGCAAAACCAGGACGCCCACGACGCACTGCAAAGTGCCGTTCGAGACGTGCAGTATGAAGACGAGTTTGACTACGAGTCGTCTGCGGACAAAATCAACCGGGCCGTCGACATCCTCGTGCAAAAGGCGCAGCAGCCAGCCGACTTGCCGCTGCGTCCAACCATGTCGGTAGACCGAGATGTCCTGCGTAGCCGACAAGGGCGAGGCCTGCAACACACCGGCCCAACCGTGAAGTCTCGACAGAACAAGCTGTCGTCGCATCAGCTCAACCAGTTGACGGAAACGCAAAAGCGACTGCTGTATGCGACACTGGTCGAGCACAAGTCACCGAATAATCGGCAACGAGACAACCAGGCGCACATGGTACGACACCCCTCGATTCGCGACATGTTGACGGATTAATATGTAGGAGTACATCAACCGCATCGCAAAGCCAGTCAAGCCAAAGTAAAAACACACTAGGACGATGTTGGTAGATTATTGATGCATGTCGTGGTAGAAACCGAAGGGGCAAGGAACAATACGCGCGAGAATCGGACCGACGCCATTGCAAATTCAAACCCCGCGTGGGCCGCGGGTCGGCCGAGTCTGGACGGCGGAGCGACGGTGACGACGACGATGACAATGCCAAAGACAACCAAGATTTCATTCGGCGCATGGAAGCTGCCGAGAAGGCTAAGCTCGACGTACGTGGTCAAACAAGACAATGGCTATAACGTCGAATATTGTGTAGGGCATCCAACGCCAACGTGCAGAGCGAGTGTACCTTGCTAAGCTGGACAAAAAGGTAGCTGTCGAGAAAGGCCCCCGTTTACTAAAGTGCTTAACAGGAATGCCCCAAGTGCGGCAACCCCCAATCGTACTCGGAAGTCCAGCAGAAGCGCAAGCAGTGTCCGAACTGCGGCGTCACGTATCGATCTCGCCTCGCCTGGGTATACCATTCATGGTGACGATATAGATTGATGGCAATTTTGACATTGTCGTTTGGCTAGGGGGACATTTCAAGCGAGTTCTTTGAGCGGGTGGACTTGAGCGAAGAGCAACGCGTGCGCCATCTGGAGCAACTGAGCGCCGATCGAACGCCTTGTTTTCGCGTTTCGGACAAACGAGTGTTTGACAAGCGACACAACCGCATGGTCAGGGCCAAGCCATTGACATGGGTACGTAATAGGACTACCTGAGCAATTCAGCAAACTTCACTTTACTTGGGTCATAGGAAGAGGTAGAGCTTGACTTTTTGACGCGAGTGCAGTTGGATGCGACGAACCGCATCACGGTACGGCAATCTCGTCCGTTTATCCATTCAAGGCAATACACACAGACAACTACACATCCCAATGCTGTAGAATCGACAAGAGCTGGAGCAAAAGTTCTACGGGTCGTTCACGTATCACCCACACATCACGGCCCTCGCCAAACGAGTAGAAACAGAAATCACCAAGTGCTCTCACTAATGTGTTTGCATATGTGGATTTATCTACTTAGATGGACTATATTCGATTTGAAGATCGTATGCAGCAGGACATTGACCAGCGCGTCGTGCGCAAAGAGCAGGTACTACTAACAACATCATAGACTAACTAGTATGTACTAGTAGTACATCATGTGACATTCGTGTGCCATGTGTAGAATCAAATCACGGCCGAGTCCCGAGCCTTGTATCGGTCCACAACAACGATGTAAACAACACTACGTTGCGTTGTACATACATTCTGCATAGTGGTTAAAAGAAGGAAAAGGGCAAAGACGATATTATTGTGCTTTCGAGTGAAATTTCGTTGTTTCTCGTTGGAATTTAAATCGATTTGATTGGCTACCTCAGATGAGCTCAAAATTATTAGCCAATCAAAACCTTCTAAATGAAATTCAACCAATCAGATCGATTCTGGATCGGTTTGGTCGGCGCGATTATTCGATTGCACCCCAAATTTGTATATCAAATCGACAATATCGTTAATGGTCCAAAATGCGCAAGTCGCCTGTCACGACCTTGTCTTCGAGGATCGTGCCGTCCGGAAGTTCGATCTTGGCGCCTTCGTTCGCGACGAGGATCACCGTTCCCTGCAAAACCAATTTCAGTCGTCACAACTACAGTACTACTTACTACTACTACTACTCTTGTGATTGATTGTATGGATATATATATATTATTACCTTGAGCGTAATGCCGCTGCCAAATTTGACGTCGCCCGCCACAGTCAAGTGGTCGAGTTCCAAGATGTTGGGAATGCCCTTTTCAAAGCGTTCGGAGTACTGCTGCGCCGTTTGAAATTCGCGCCCCAGCTTGACGATGGGAATGGTCGTCACGCCGCGGTCTGGGTTCATGAGTAAACTATACAAACAACACGAATCATCCGAATTAGTACATACATCGAGACTATCATAAATATTAATCCATTGAGAATAAAATATATATCATGACACGTCGATATATCCTTGCCTGCCATGTTTGATTTGGTACAAGTTGGACTGAACGAGGAACAAGTCGGAGGACGACTTGACAGGCAGAAACCGAAGCCGGGTCACTTTGATGCCGACAAAGTTTTTGAAAAACTACGCAGTGCCATCAACAACAACGAAATATAACAATATATATATATAACAATATATATATATCATACCTGAATAGCACCCCCCGCAGCTGTTTCCAGTTGCACGACCTTGGCATTTTTGACGGACCGATAGCTGACGATCGGGTGGATGTCAATCAAGTCTTGAGCCACGAGACGCTGCGTGTCGAAGGTTATAACAATGTTATAATACAATTACAACATTGTTATAACATGAAACCGACCTGGATCGCTCGCAAGTTGACCCACAGGTTGTTGGTGTTGAACATGGTAAACTTGTTCAAGGCCCTGAAGTCCTCCAAGTGTTCTTGGGGCACCTGGTTCACCTCTAGCAAGTGGGGCTTGTCTCTGTACGTGACCAGCGTGCCCCCCTGCACGTCGGCCCGAGTCTTGTCGGTCACTTCCATCATAAACTCCGAGTCGACGTTGATCATGTGGTATAATATGTCCAAGTTGACCTGATATATACATCAGACATGTACTTTAAAGTAGATACAGCACACATTCATACCGTCGCCCCCAAGTTGTCGACGTTGGAGATGAAAATGTACTCCTTCCCCTACAACGTGAGTGCAATACATCCCCCATGAGATCACATCATAGATACAACGAATCTAGCGTACTTGGTTGATGAGGTTTTCCAGCAAGCCAGATTCAAACAAGGCATTGTAGACATCGCCGTGACCTGGCGGGTACCTACACACGGTCATTTGTCTTATATAAGGAGGTATGATGGAGCCTACCATTTCTCCCGCGTCAGCTTGTCGTACTTGGCATTCGGCAACGGCACTGCCGACTCCTTGACCACGAACGGGTAGCAGCTCTAATGCACTTGGTTGTCAGTATCTATTGTTGTCTAATATAGATGGTACGAACTTGGTTGAACGTGTGAATGCTCAAATTGTGCATGCGATACTTGCGAATGATGCGCACGGTTTCTTCGTGGGTGTTGAACGAGTTCATGAGCACCAGCGGCACGTCCACGCCGTACAGACTGTTGAGGTACTACCAGTAGCGACATTCCAACAAGACCGTGTCGGAGGCAGACGTACCTCCACTTGGCGGACGGTCAGATCCAGAAACGACAAGTCTTGGCGCACTTCGATGGCGCTCTTGGGACCTTGACACCCCATGGTCGTTCCGAGACCCCCGTTGAGCTTCAAAATGACCTACAAATCAACGTGTTATGGCCAACGTCTTCATACCAGCGGATAGGTACGAGCTTGTCGAGCAATTCGTGCTTGAGTCCAGCATCGTTCGGGCAAGCTTCGACGCTGTTGCTGTTGATCACCATGCCTGGCGGAGGGGGATGGACGACTTTCCTATGAGATACCTACGTCAGTCCGTGCTCGATGGATGTTGCGTGGTACGTACCAGTCAATGGGACTCTTCTTGCTGGAGCAGTACTTGCGGAACAGCTTCATGAACCCTTTGCGCTGCCGCGTTCCCAGCAGTTCCGATGCGGACAACGCCTATATACATGTCGTCTCATGAGTCGATGACATGCGAGGAAGGTGCTTACTTCGGACATCTGATCCTCCACGGACAGTCGTCCCGGCGCATGCGTCTTGTACTGGATCATGCCGTATCCCCTCGCTTGGTTCTCGTGTTGACGCACTTCACGACGTTAGTCACTATTAGGGGTAAATTAATTTATAGGACCCCCCATATTCATAGTTCAACCTTCCAAATTTGGGGGGGGGGCATGAAAACGGCCAGTAGTACAAGGTGAACCCATGTACTGTGGTACAGCATAACATGTTATAATTACAACACGGCAAAGACGGTAACGTTATATTGATTGATCTACTTACTACATACATAGTAGCACTCTTACTATTAATAGTAAGAAGCAACATAACGTTAACAAGGAATGAATTAGGCCTTGAAGACACAACCACGGGCGCCCGAATGAATGCGTTCGCACACAGCGTCGGTCTTGGCAACACACCAGTCACCGTTGAAGCTGGCGAGATGTCGGCTGCAATCTTGAGATGCCACGGCACCTTTCTTGGGGCAGTTGGAGCCTTCGTCGCCGCAGATGGGGCCACTGACACAGTACGTCGCGTCACCCACGACCGATACGTTGATGCAACCAGGCTTCAACGTTGGCTTGGCCCATACAGTGGTGGAAGGCTTCGACACACCAGGGGACGTTGTGGGGTACGATGACGAAGGGATGGCCAGAGGGGTCGCCGAGGTGGTCACAGGGGTAGCCGAAGTGGTCGCAGGGGTTGTGGAGGTGATCACAGGGGTCGACTCGGGAGTCGACGTAGTAGCAGGGGTGCTCGATGAGACAATAGGGGTTGAGGCGGGGGCGGCCGTTTGGTTGCCGTTGGGCTTGTATCCGCGCAACTTCAACGTGATGGGTTGTAGGTCCAAGTTGAGGTAGTTGGTCATGATGCGGTTCAAGTGCGTGTTGTCGTGGTTGCCGTTGCATCGACGGGTGAACACGGACGGACCGGCGCAGTACAAGTTAACGTCCGTGCCGACGTGGCCGACGGTGGTCCACGCGATATGGGCTGTTTGCGAAATACATTGACCCATGTACACGACCAATTTGGAGGTCGAGTACTTGGCGTTGGCGACAATCTTCTTGACTTCGGCCGCGAAGATGGCATCCCATTCCTTGCTGATTTTCTTGGTGGCGCTGTTTTGGATGATCAGGTCCTTGACCTTTTGCAACGCCGTCGCTTCCGTGTACGTGGCGCGGTCATTGCTGAACAACGCCTTCATGCCTTCTGTGGACATGACCTGCTTGACCAGCGGCTCGGGCTTCCACTTGTACACTCCGTCACGACCCAGCGTGATCCCGCCGGTGCCGTGGTCGGCCGCCGAGATCATGGCCACGTTCGGGTTGGAGTACACGAACTGCTTGACCACGCTCACGGTGTTGTCGAACTCGATGGCTTCCTTGCCCATGGTGCCCGCGTCGTTCGAGTGGCCGGCGTGGTCGACGCGGGAGCCTTCGATCATGACGAAGAACCCGTGCTTCTGGGCCCGCTTGTTGTTCTTGAGAATGGCGAAGATGTGCTCGGTCATTTCACTCAAGCTCGGCTCGTTGGTTTCGCCACGGATGCGATCCACTTCGTACGACATGTGCGACTTCTGGTACAGCCCAAACATGCGCAGTGTACCGTTGGCTTCGTTGGTCTTGCGGTACGCGGCCAACTCGTCCTTGTCATGCGTGATGGTGTAGCCGGCTGCCTTGAGCTTGGCCAGGCACGCGTCGCTGAAGTGGCGCTTGCCACCACCCAGCAAAAAATCCAAGTTGGCGTTGGCGCAGTACTGGTCGGCAATGTCGTTCTCGAGGCTGCGGCTGTGGATGTGGGCCGCGAACGACGCGGGGGTCGCGTGTGTGACACGGGATGTCACGATCATCCCCACCACCATGCCGCGGGCTTGCGCAGCTTCCAAGATAGTGCCGAGGGGGCGCTTCTCCATGTCGACGCCGATCCCAGCGTCGTATGTCTTGAACCCCGTCGCGTACGCGGTGGCCGACGAAGCAGAGTCCGTGATAAGTGACGTGTTGGAGAAGGTCTGGACAGACCCACGGAAAAGCGGGTCGATGTGCAACATCTTCTTGTGGGTTGGGTCGACCATGTTGCGAGCGAGGACCCAAATGTTGGGCCCCGTACCGTCAGGGATCATCATGATCACCGAGCGTGATTTGAGCTTGTCTTCGTCGATTTCATAGTCGAAGTCAACGTTCGGACGTCCATCGACGGGGTCGAAGGCGTTGCAAAGGGCGAGAGACGCGGCGACCAGGGTAGATACTTTGGCCAGCATGGGGGACTACTAAATGGGGAATGACCTGTTCATTATTGGTAACCACCAGTATTGCAAGCCCCCATGAGCTATTGATGTCGCGTGGAACCAATCATGTTTATTCCCCTGACAACGATGTGCATAATGCGAAGCAACATGTACCTTAACTTTCAACCTGTTGGTCACCCGGAGTGGTCGAGATTCAATGGCATAGTGACCCACGGATACGACAATCTCTCATATGAGGGGGTCACAAACTAGTGGTCATAGGATACACTGTGCATTCTGACTTCAGTACTCCGGGGTACAACGAAATTGAGTACATTTGGTAGTTTGGTTGATCCTTGCTTCACTTGCGCCCTCGTGATTAGAGTACGGTACTGTACTACAAAGATGAATACTTGCACTGTATTTCAACCAAGCAATCGATCGCTTGACACTGCAGCACATCCATCCCTTCCGCTGTGCTGCTGAGATATGTTGAAGTACATCACCTTGCTGCAAACTTGAACTTCATGCCTTGGCGACGTTTCATTTGACTTCCAAGATTCAATCGACGATTTCACCTGGCCAAAGTAGGTTAAATGTAGCACGCGCCTGAATCTCACACCCGCGACATTGAAAGTGGGTGGGTGCATACGATAGTTGTGGGCGAGCCACGAAGGATCAACGATAAGCCAGTTGCACGCGTCTGCAAAAGGAGTTCCTTTTACCGAAAGCATGCAACTGGCTTGTTGAGTTTAAGTTTACGACTACGTTTCCTCAATATTTCCTCAATACAACAGTTCAAATATGCTGTGTAGGGTGCGTTATTCATGAATGTTCATTAGATTCAAACGCATTGAAATCGAATCTCAAACAATGATGTATCTAACGGCACGTTACACAACAAATGTATGCAAGGATCAATATTACGATCAAGCTATAATTTCTGTGTAGATAAAAATAAAATGGCAAACGCGACAAATCCAACCGACAATGATCTGATTGGTCAATTCTACAAAAAGAAATATTGATTACAAACCTTATCCAAGAAGTAGAGGGGATACCCCCTCTACTTACATTGGTCCGCCAGGTTTCCCTATTGGGCATGAATCCTAGACAACTAAGGGTACCGGTCATTGCAATACGTCCCCAGTTCAATCCTCTGGAAGACCAACTATTATTTGAATGAATTACAAATTATGTTCTCGTTTCCTCTTTCGCACTTCTTTTAACAAGCTAGAATAGTTACCCGTATAACCAACAAACGCAGCTTCAAATAGATCAAAACTCTGGAACTTTGAGAAGGCAGCACCCAAAGTCTGCCTTTCCGAGTACTTTCGCCGATCGCACTTGATCATGTCCTTTGTAAAGTCCTTGATCGCGCAAAACAAACCGCTCTTGGGGCAGGCAGTAAACCATTGATCCCAAGCGTCTCTTCCAGATCGTGCCGTTGGAATGCTCTTGGTCACCACGCACTCACGAAGTGACAGTTGTCGCTGTCGAGCAGGTGGCAGCACAGGTTTCGGCTGCTCAATGCCCATGCCTTTCTTCACAGCCTCCACAATGCTGTCAAACGTCAGCCCACTAGTGCCAATACCGGCATGCACGACACCATGTCCAGTACTATTCACCTTCCGTAACATGTTTCGTGGGTCAATGCCATCACTGATGCTCCTTGTCACCAAGTACTCACAACACGTCTTCGCGTCCGTCCAACGGCACCATGCCATTAACTCACGGAAGTTGAATTTCCGCTCCGGGGACTCAAACACTTTGTAAAAGCAGCCACCTCTCCGCACGCTGTGTAATGATATTCCAATCGGGAGGCTTGGTGACGCATGAACCAAGTCTTGGAGAAGGCGTCGGACGTAGTTTTGATCCAGAGGCTTGAACCAGTCCACACGAACACTGTCATACTGGTTGGACAAAGATGGGAACACGCACGCCACTTGAGACACGTTGACTTGCGTCTGGCGGACTTTGTCGAGGTAACCTTCATACAGCGTGCAAATTCGAAGACATGGGTAAGACACTTCGTCGACCAAGTGGTATACTTGACACTCCTTTTCCACACTTGCTTTCTTGTGCCATCGCAGCCTGATCGACACGTATCGACCAGATTCACCCTGGCGCAAGGCGACATAATGCCAGGACTTCCCCAATTCGGAAGCAGCCAATAAAACAGCAGCACAGCAGAAGCTGGAACATGGAAGCAACAAAAGGATTGTGGTTGGCAAACAAGTTGATCAATGTGGACATCTCGCGGACAGTCAATGGGTGCGCCTTTTGCTCGTCGTCGACGTTGTTCTGCCGGTTGTACTTCTGTAACCCAATAACATAGCGCTTCGCATGCATGTCCTGTGCTGGGTTTGGGGAGATGGAGCTCTCTTTGAAGAACGATACCAGCGCAGTTTTTGCCGAGTCAACAGTGCGGGCTTTTCTTCCCTTGCTGTATAAATGATGCAGGAAGTCCGTGCAGTCCTCCGGCGTGGCAGCGTTGGGGTTCAGGCCGTTCTTGTGGTGCGCACAGAACGCCTCGAACTGGCGCTGGTACGTTGAGTATGTCCTCCGGGTGGACGCACCGTGGAAAGAGTCTTGAATGGTCTGCTTCATCGGTGTTCTCTCCATCTTTTTGGAATCTGAACATGTCAGTTGAAACGACAGGTAAAACGAAATTTGACCAATCATGGCATGTACATGTTAAATGTTAACGATATGTTTCTGCACCGACAAATTGCTCGTCCAATGGTAGGACGACAAGATCTAGGGACCAATAAAAGTAGTTTGTATTGTCGGTTGTCCAAGCATCGCACCAAAAATTGTCGGTTTAGTGTCGCGTCTGAAGTATATGTTAAAATATGTCCCTTAACATGTAAATTGTCTTATCGTTGCCGCACTCCAACATCGTAGATGCTCTCCTTCTACCATGGTTTTGACGATGTTTTACTCTTCTGATAAAAGTAAAGGAAAAAAATACTTTTTAGCAATTTTCCGGAGTGAAATCAATTAACTACAGTACAGCTGTATAGTATTGCAGCGCATGGCCAATACAATTATTGTAGTGCTTGCTGCATCTAAATATTTAATTGTCTACGTAGTAATTGTCAATTATTTAAACGAACAATTATATTTCAATACAAATGTTGGCTCGTTGGCTCAAGTAAAATTTTTTTTTGGATCGCGCACAATCAATTATTGTTATGACCAGCGCTATGCAATAAATTATTTCCTGTATTTACTTGTCAGTATATTCGTCTTGCGCTAACAATAAACTATCGATTTATCGAGCGATGTCACTCAAAAATTGTCATTTGAAGATTTGTACGGACCCGTTTTGTATCTCATACTAGAACTTTTTACAGGCTTCAGATGACGTGCACTATACTTCCTCTGTTCCAAATTACAGGAGGCTGCGGGAAATCGTGAAAACTAGTTTGGCCTGAGCAAAGAGCCTTCAATACATAACCGTATTAAATTCGACAGGTTGACTTTCAAACGAAAATAGAATACTTTTGGCAGTTAACAAAATGTAACGTAGAGCTCCAATTTAAGAGACATGGGACAATTTGAGGGACATCGTGTTCAGCCAATCAATCACCCACCTTGAAATTTGTGTGGAAATACCTCTTTAAATAAATGTTCTTCTTGATCCCATGTGTTTTATATAAATCAAGCAACCAATTTGACTCTAAATACATAGCCTGTTGGGGTTGATTGCGGTACCTGACATAATATTATACCCTAACCACAAAAAATGTATGCAAGGATCATGATAGTCATACCTTAAATGTACCTTAGCCGTTGTTTTTGAACCCCCCCGAGAACCCACTCGACCCCGATGTCCCACATGTATATATTGCATCTGGATGCAGTTGGATGCGCTTTGGATGCGCTTGGATGCAATAAGTGGATGCAGTTTATCCCGTTTGTCCCAATATCATTTGTCTTGAACTCACTATCACCCTGTTTTGTCCCATTGGATGCAGTCACGTGTAACTCCTAACAGTAAATACTGTACTGCGATCAAGCTTAAAATATGTCCCTTAAATTGTCGCCTACTTGTGAGGTGTTTTGCTTGGAAAATAGGACATTAGGACATCATAGATCCTGTGAAAATGGATGTTTCAGTGCCTCCTGAGTTGCTCTTGAAGTATCAGTTTTCAGAAGTCGATCCCCAATCATCAAGTGCCACTGCTTCCATTTCCTGGCAGCGACTCCAAAATATGTCTCTTAAATTGGAAATCTACGTTAACTGTAAACAGGTGTTTACATTTTGTAAACTGACACTATTGATGCACTTTCGTGGCCAATTTTGAATCTATTTGAACGTATTTTCATTCCACAATCTCTAGAAGCGTAATCTCAACGTTGCGCTCTGTTATACGAGCCAATGCGATATGAAATTCAAGGAGGTTTAGGTTAGGTTTTTACGAAACTTCAATGTTCGAGGTGTGATTTCACATGAACCAACACGAAATTCATTAATCTGATTACATATTCGTTGACATGTGAAACCTTGTTGAGAGGACTATGGACAAAAAATTGGAAAGATTTGGACAGAGTTTAGGTAGTTTTTTTAGGTCAAAGTATTGAATTTTCAGTTTACAAAATATAAACTGGGCTGTTTACATTTCGAAAACATTTTATATTCATTTTAAATTAAGGCTTGTCCAACTTTTCATTCAAAATTACATTACGTTTTGCAAGTTTTGCCCAGGTGAAACCTGTTTTTGCGATTTCCCGCGGCCTCTTGCCAGCATCCAAATATGATGTGCTATATTGTCAATTTCACCCAAAAAATACCAATTTCGGGGGATTGTTGAAATCGACAACAAATCGTAGCAGAGATATTATTGGCTTAAAATATTGATGGTTTGAATTATGATTGGCTAAAATTGAATGTTAATTCCTTGCCACGCGGGGGCATGAGGTGTTATCTCTCACGGCACAGGTCCTGTCGTCTTACTGTAAGTTAGCCTGTTGCTGCACCACTTCACCATACAGCACAGTACTGTAGCTTTTCAAATCGGTACAGAAGGACACTGTACCTCTTAAACTTAGTTCTATATTGTATTTTGCAGGTCCAGCGAATTTCTGGCTGTTCATTCAACCAATCGCCGGATGAAATTTTGAGTCGAACACACAATATCACATTTGAAAGAGTATCATAAAATAGAGGTACCGTCTATTTATCGCAAAGCGCCAAAACCAAGTCTTCGCGATTATTATTGACTTCGTTTAGAGCATCCCCACCCACGACGCTAAATTCAAAACTCTCAAACCAGATTTTAAGTGGGATTACGGCACATAATTTAGCGTTTTTCACCATTTCACACCGGTTGCCGAACAGCGAATGAACTCTATTCGCATGGATGAACGACACCAAGCAGCAGAATCGCCTGGACAAAAGTAGTTGAGAACAAAGCATTTCAACAAGGCAGTGGATGAACAACTGGCAGGGATTATCGCTTAACGTAGAAAACCAATTTAAGAACACTTTTTCCGAGACGCTGCCGTGGAAGGAACGAAGCTCAGCTTGGATGTATCAGATTCAAATTCCGAAAAGTGCTGGATGAGGCCAAAGCGGAGTTGATTCATTGGACATTCAAATATTCGTGTTTCAGGGTCTATTTGACAGGTATAAATACCATTTTCGAAGCAATTGAACTCAAAATGTGAACACCAATTAATGGTGCACACTAGTAGCTAGCATCAAGTTTGTATACCCATTTGCATATTTTTTGTGTGGTTAGGTTATGTAATTTCAGTCGTAAAATATTAAATTTAGACAGGTAATGCAATTATACGGTTTAAGTAACAATAGAAAACAAGACAGGCGCCAAAATTCACTTCGTGTATTAAAAATGATAATCCAAACTCAATTAATCACTTCATGTATTAGATTAAGGAGGTTTTCTCCCAGTATTTTGACTACATTTGATTGGTTGATTCAAGTGCACCATTAAATGGTTCGAGCACCTTAACAGTAAATTGGTTTTCTACGTTACAAAGCCGCATCCGCAGTAGCACTCTGTTGAGGGGGCTATTGCGACCTATAATTGCGTCTACGCTTACATGCACGAATTGGTACACAACGTTTGCATTTATAGTCTGTGCATGCTTTGATATAGGGAGGGGGGCATGCTCAGTTGATCGAGAAACCAGTGCCTGCGATGTGGGCACCATATACGGCTGACGCATGCGGGCGCTGGTTCCACGCGACCTGCGTCGTCCTTCCATCTGATCAGGCGTCAAATTTCAGTGTGCTTCCTACGAGAATCGCAATAAGGTTAACTTCGTCGGTCCACGAGATCGGAACATGCTGAATAAAGGACGACCGCCGCCATGGCCAATGCCGTCAGTCACCCTTCACCATACAAGCGTCACATGCAGTCGTGTCGATGAGACACACAAGATAGGACTCATGGACTCACTCTAACTTAGCGTTGAGCGGCGGTTTGCGCTATGTGGGGTCGAAAGGACAGGCACCTCATGCCATTGCAACCAGGTAATCCTAAATGTATTGGGAATTGTATACTCATGAAATTGTATGCTCGCCAGAACTCTAACCAATCGTCGTCAAATCTGACGAATAACGTTAATCTGACTTTAGCGCCGGATAGCGTAGACGCTAGAATTTAGAGTCTCGAGGTGGGAGAATTAACCCGCTAGGATTTATTGTGCTTTGCACCTTTTTTGGCAATTCCAGGGTTAAATTCATTGTTTAAAAATTTCTCAGGCTTAAATAATGTCTAAAGTAACTTGAATAACGGTTGGGTGCGTTGTTTAAAGTTACTTCATCTAATGCGATGATTGGTTGGTTGAAGGTGGTTTTACTGGCACTTTCGTAAAACAAGTTGTTTGCCGTTTTCATTCTGGCAAACAACTTGCTTTACGTCAACATGTCAAGGTGCTTGACGCAATGAAACTGAAGGAGCTATGGCCACATACATGACCTCCCATCCGTGATCACTACAGTACTAACATTATCTACTCCGAGTAATGTATATAACGTTAGGGATATAGTTAGGCTACAGTACATGTAGTCGTCGCTCTGTCCAATGATTCAAAGCTATGCCATACCTTCAACTCTTGATCTGCTCTAACCTTAGCACTGTACGTGGAAGGCAATGGCGCACTACGACTACATGATGTATAGTACTCCCATTTCACATCCTAATACGGTATGCATCGTGATGAACTGGTGGTTGTACGGCGTAAGTTGGCCTGGTGCTGCAACTCGATTAGTTAGCAGTTGAAATAAAGTAAGCGTTGTTTTATTCTGCTGAAATGCAGAACTTGTGTTTAGCGTTGTTTTATATTCAATCGGGCTTATATTATTTTAAACGCCTGGTTGTTTAACGCAGTTAAACAACGGGCAAACTACATGAAAAGCACAATACTAGTAAAACGCAACAAAATCTGACTGAAAAAATACAGTTTTGGAGTTTTAGTGTCACGTATGAATAAAACACGAAATTTACTTCGAAGATTCTTTGATATTTTCAAAAGTGTGTGACTTGAAGTGGCCAAAATAG